CTCTTGCGGCGGAATTGCCAATTCCGGATTAAGCGCGTGCGTATTTATATTTTAATCGAAAAAGAAGAAAGGAAAGAAACGCAACGCAGACGGCGAGCGCGAGCGTGTACACGACGCGCATCGCACTCGTACGCGCGCGAGTGTCTCATTTACGGCAATTACATATCAGTGCGGTACGGAGGCTTCTGGCGGTGAAACCCAAGATAGTTCTCGCGGTCCGAAAAGTCAGCGTCGACCGCAAGATTAAATTCCTCGGGCGAGCCGCGCGCAGAAGCCGAAAGTTCTTCGGTGACCGTCTCCGCGCTGTATAAAAAGCCCTTCGATAGATAGCGCGTGTGTAAAACGGCTCGGAGACCGCAAGATCGCTTGGCGCGCGCTTGCATCTCGACGCAGAGAGAGAGAGAGAGAGAGAGAGAAAGAAGAGGAAGCAGAATCTGCCTTCGTCGTCCTTTCTCTCCGCCGTCGAAAACGGGAGCAACGGCCCTCTCTCTCTCTCTCTCTCTCGCTCTCCGCTGAGAGAGTTGACAGTCGCCATGCAGCTCTCGTGGAATTTCACTTCTTTATTTTCGCTGGCAACCCAACCCAACCCTGTTCTGTCTGTCTCTCTCTCTCTCTCTCTCTCTCTCGCTGCCGTCGCGTTAATCCTTTAATCGCGAAAACCAGAACGAGAGAGTTTTTAGCAGCCGACGCTCTTCTTCGATTCGAGCGCGCTCGCCGACATTCTCGCGCACCTTCTGAAAATGAGCGTCGCGTCGGGTTGGGCGAGAGAGGGGGACGCGCCGAGAGCGTTTGGAAGCTGACCGCGTTCACCTGTTGCGCGAGCCCGTGGCGTTTCGCGCTGTACGCGAGCGCGCCACGAACAACAAATGCCGGGGTGCGCGCGCGCGCGACTTGTCGAACTTCCCACCTGTTGATTTTTATCGCCTGCCGCTCTCCCTTTCTCTCTTTCTCTCTCTCTCTCGCGAGCGCGCGCGCGCGCGATTTCAGAAACGAGTTCCTGCCCCTTTTTTTCCTCTTTCCTCGACGCGAAGCTATACGTTCTCTCTCTTTCTCTCGCGCGCGCGCGCATAGCTCGTCCTTTATTCGCTCGTGCGTCTTGTCGCTTCCTTTTTTTTGTCTCTGAACGCGCGTCCGTCGTTCCTAGCGCGGAGAGGGAGAGCATTTTAGGTTAGCGGCGCTTAATCTCGCGATGCGTCCAAGAGAGTCTTATTTTGTTTCTTCGTGTCCGCCACTGCAGTCGTCTGAATTATAGCCCGTCTCGCTCGCGCCAGATAAGATCTTATCCGGGGACGCCATGTTGCGAGCGGATCTTCCATGTTCAACCGCGATTTCTCATCATAACCTCAAAGGTAGCTCGAGTCAATGAGAAATAACGAACCGCGGTCTCGACCGCTCCGGAGTGTAAGCTCATGAATAATCAATTTTACGAGCGGCGGATATTTAGCCACGTGAGACTCGATCGTCCGCCGCGAAGCAGCGCTAAAATTTATGTGTCGCATGCGTAATGGGGGATTTGCATTCGAAAGGAGACGAGCGCTGGTCTCGATATGTCGGCTCTAATCTCGCGAAGCCGCGCGTGCGCGATAATCGATGGCCTGCCTCGCGGCCGCGAGGTGGATTCCGCCTGCACGCGCCGCCAGCTCCGATTTGGCGCAGCGCTCGTTTCACTCGCGCCTCGATAATTGACTCGTCGCGTACGCGCGCCCTCGCGAGAGAGAGCCTCTTTACCTCCGCGCCGATGCACGCGACGGAAAAATAACGAAGATGCAAATGAGACGAGAAACCAGAACTCTCCGCGACGATGAATTATGGCGCTTCTCTCGACGCGCGTCACGTAAAGTCCGCGTGCGAAAGGAGGAAGGAGCCACGGCGGTTGCGCATGCATAACTTGATGGGTTTCGTCGCTCGCGCGCGCGCGCGCGCGCCAATACGCCAAAGTCGCGCTGACGACCGAACATTTTTCGACGCGAGCTTCCATCGCCGTCAAGAACGAGGGAAATCGATCTCTCGCTCGCGTTCAATAAACATAATCTCGTGTGCGCGCGAGAGAGGAGAGCTGCAGTCCGGCCGCTATTTCTTTTATTTTCGGCCGACGGCAAAAGGTCCGGCTTCGATTTCTCGCGTTTCGGTTTTTTCTTTATCTCTTTTCGTTCTTCTTTCGTTTCTCTCTCTCTCTCTCTCTCTTTCTCTCTCCGAGAGAGTCTAAACCAGCCCGTAGAAACGATTAACGACGTGTTTCGAATCCTCGCGAACGGGAACGCCTCCTTTGACACAGACTGTGGCGTTTTTCGTGCGAACTCCTGGCGGCAGCCTCTGTTTTACCGACGATTGACGAGCGATTTAGTTTGCTAATTTACGAGCTTCTCGGAAATACACCAAACCTATACGCGCGCTGCTTTGCGTGTCCAGCGCGTTTTTAAGGATAGAATATAACGCGTTATTTATTTCTTCTTGATACCATTTGTATGTGTCCTTAACGGTCAGCATCAATTGTCGTAATGTGCCACTTTTACTGTCTTTTAATGTGTTCAATTGTCCAGAAGAATATCGATCCGGACATTTTTCTCGTAATCAGTGGTTGTTAAGATAAACCTCGCTTAAAATAACATTTAGCACGCACGGACGAGCTAAATAACTTCCTGTGTTACCGACAAAGTCACTTCATCCGCACGCATACGCAATTACAGCAAGAAAAAGAAAGAAGAAGAAAAGAAAACCGGAAAAAACGTAAAATACAACGTCGAGAGCCTCTCGCGCGAGCAAGTATCAATTTTCTCCGAAGCGAAAATCTCATATTGAAAGGCGCATCCAACGAGCGAGAGAGAGAGAGAGAGAGAGAGAGCGAGAGAGCGAGTGGGCTCGCGCGCCTCGATGCCTAACTCATACGGACGTGCGCTGTTCACTTGGAGGGCTACACGGAGCAATATACATAATTCGAGATCGCGCCTCCGAGGCCCTTATTAGAGCGAGCGAGGGCCCCCTCCTTCTGCAGCGCGCGTCTTATTCGCCCAACGGCGCGTAATGCTACGTTGCCGCCACGCGGCCGCGCGTCGCTGCGCCCTTCTACACCTGACTAACAGCCAACAGCGCCCGGAGACGCGGATTAGCATTATGCGCGTTAACTTGTTCTCCTGATGGGTTCTCGCCGCCGAGGGGGGTCAGACTTCTTTTCTATACTCTGCCCTCCTATGGCCTACCCTTTATTATTTAATTTGTTTTTTTTTTTTTGTTTCGCTCGGCGAGAGCCTTGTCGTTGACGAATGACTCGCGGAAATAGTACACTGCGTCGAGGCTGTAAATCATAGATGCGTTGCGCGCTTTCATGAAATGGTTTCGCTGCGTTGTTTATCGACTGTGTATCACGCAGGCGAGAATTGATATGGATGACTTTGGGGTTTCCTATTCTTTTCTTCAGATATGTTTATAACTTGAAAATATTCATCGGATAGAGTCATCCTTGTTGTATACTGCATCGTGAGAAAAATTTTTGTGCATTCCAGTGATGGCTGACATCAAATATGCGAATTTACATATAAATTGCTACAACTTTTTAATTATCCAATTTCTCTTTTTTTTAACTCAAACTACCGAAAAAACTGACAGAAAATCAATATTAAAGACTCCATAATTAATCCACGGCGAGTGAGTTGAAAGATCGACTCTTTGTGCTCACTCGTTGCGTATTTTCGAGCCATCGCCGCTGGTTTCAAGTATGGTCTAAGCGAGTTGTACGGCCATTAAGAATCATACTCTGGAGACATTAAAATACGACTAACACAATCAATTCGCGTTCAGCAACGGAGCGACTTATCGAAAGGGGTAAAAGAAAAAGACGGTAACGCAACACTGCAGTGCCGATTTTCAATTTATATTTTCAATAATATTTTCAATATTTTCAACGGCACGCGTCGCTCGTCCAAAAAAGTATCGCCTTTCAACGAGAGTACACGCGAGTCGGCGCGCATAATCCTCAGGTGGTGCCTGTGCGCGACGCACCAAGTGGAGTGCATCGCGAGCGACGCGTAGGCGCGTGCCTCTCTCTCTCTCTCTCCTTCTATGAACTCTGCACCCACGCGCTACGCGAGCGAGCGAAACGCCACAGTCGCGTGCCATTTTCCAACGAACGGCGCGAGAGAGAGAGAGAGAGAGAGAGAGAGAGAGAGAGAGAGAGAGAGAGTATTAATCCGTTATGATCGACCGAACGTCCGATTCGACGTTTTTCATGCGAGTTGTGTGCTGTGTGCTGCCGACTCCAATCTCGCTCAGAAAAAAAACTTTCTCGCGTAGCCTTCTCCGCCCCCCTCCCTGCTCTTACTACGCACGCTCCATTCATAATTTTCTCGCTCTCGCTTGTGAAAGAAGTGGGTGTGCGATCGACACGCGGTCGCCTCGCCATACATGGTCGTAAGGTTGTTCGCCTACGAGAGATTATGATAGCCGCAGCGAGGTCGCGCGGGGCCTCCTCGGCTGCAATTAGGAACATTTTCGAGCGGCACTCGGCGTCGGCCAAAATCACGCGTGGGCTTTCAATGATACACCTCGGGCTCGTACTTTCGCCGGCGCGGCCGAGCAGCGCGCTTCCTGCCGTGCGCGGCGCGGCGCGGCTCGGCAAATTGCGGCCTCGCTCGGATTGTTTCATTGACGCGCGCCGGCTCGCTTTGTCATACCTCCGGCGGCCCCCCGTTCCGGCTCGTAAGCGATACACGCGCCCCGTTCGCCTCGACGACGCAGAGGCGGGAAATTCAAAACTAGCCTCGGCGGACGCGCGCTGCCGAGGCCGCGATCTATTTCCACGGCGCGGCGCGTGTCGTCACTGAACGTAATAGCCTCCTCGCGGCCTGTTAATTTTAGGCCGCTTCACCGCCGCCGGCTGCGCGTACGCGCGAACGCAGGAACAAAAGGGGACGAAATACCGGCAGATAAATCAGAGCGCAAATCGGCGCCTACTCTGTCCCGCGCAACGCCCGTATCTCACTTGCTTTTGCTCTTCTCTTTTGCAGAATGAGTCAAGATGAGCACGGTGTCAACTTTGTGCTGCGGCTTCGCTACTGCAGTATTGCTCTGCGCTCTCGGATGCTGCGCTTCTGGTGAGTTATCTTCTTTTTTTTTCTTTTCTTTTCTTTTCTTTTCTACTTTCGTCTTGACTTCCGCGCTTTCACCGGGATTCATTCCACTCCTTTCTACGACGACGATCGTCGCTTTTCGGATCATTCCGATTTGCGAGCTGTACCTACTTTATGCGCCGCGCTACTTTATTGGAATTCTCTTTTTTCGTTTCGGCGTGTCAAGGGGACGGCTGAGCTACAGGAGCCCGTGGGGATACAATGTTGATGACATTTTTCTCGATTTCCTCGTGATCGTTCAAATGTGACCTTTTTGTGAATAACCGAGCCGGTGGTGTCGGGTATTCTTCCCCGAGTAATTTTGAAGAACGAGTGGATTATATATTTTACAAGTATTAATATTTCGTCATTTTTTTAGTGAAATTTAGCTTTTTAGTATTCACAAGAAGAGTACGAATGATATAGCGCCTAGTCTTCGAAAAGAAAATACAGCTATCATAATATTAATTTTCACGTTTTCCGTCGGCAAAACAGGCCAGAAGTCAGAGCCGGGAATGGTATTCACGAGGCATCCCCAACCATTCACAGCACCATTGGGAGACGAGGTGATATTCGAATGTAGCCTTAATCTCGCAGCCGAGAAGTTCGCCTGGAAGCACAAGCCTCTTGGCTCGAACGATTGGATACTCCTGGAGTCTAACGCTAGCGGCGGTAAAACCTCCAAGATTGTTGTCGACTTCGACAATGAGTCCAAGGCTGGTGACTACCGATGCGTGGCTTTCTACGGTAATTAATCTTCTTTACCGACATTTCAGCAGCGCTCTTAAAAGCGCTAACGGCACATTATTTACGCATTTACAGGCACTAGTGGTTTAGCGTCAGACTCGGCGCGACTTACGCAAGCCCGCCTAGAAAAGTTTATGGACAAGGGCAACGTGTACCTTCGCGTAGCCGCAGGTAATAACGTGCCGATAACATGTCCAGTGCCCGCGTCCGTACCCGAAGCAGTCATTCAGTTCTTCAAGGATGGAAGTCCGATCCAGAACGCTAGTCTCACCGGTAGCAAGATTATGCTGATCGAAAGGGCGAAGTCCTCCGACTCGGGTAGTTATCACTGTCAAGTGAACAACTACATAACCTCTGAGACTTACACTAGCAATTACAAGACCGTGCTGATGGTTGAGAAAAATGCGTCCGATCAGACCCCCTATTTCATAAGGCAACCGCAGCACGAGTACAAAGTACAGCGTGGAAAGAACGTCACACTGGAATGCTTTGGTGTCGGTTATCCCATACCTCAAGTAAGACTCGCTTTCCTTTTCATCTGTCGCAAGTAATTTAGCGTCGATAATTTCTGTCTTACCGATAAACAATACTTCCAGGTTATGTGGTCGAAACTGGGCAGCACATTACCCGTTCGATCAACCTACTCACCGACCGGCTTGAACCTATTTAACGTTCAACCGGCGGACAGAGGTGAATACGACTGTATCTGGACGAATCGCGCTGGTAGCGTCAAGTCCGTCATAATTCTGACGGTCGTCGAGCCCCCGATGGTTCTCCGAGCGCCAAAATTATCTACATTCCCGGAAGGTGGCGAGCTTGAGCTGTCTTGCAATGCGACTGGTTATCCGGCTCCTCATATCGAGTGGCTGATCAACGGTGAAACACTGAAGCCCAATAGATATCTCGAGATCAAAGGCTCCACGCTTTACATTTCGCTGGTGGAGAAGAAACACGCTGGTCTCGTCCAGTGTGTTGCTAGTAACGAGTATGGATCGCACTCTGGTTACAACTACCTCAAGGTTCATCCCAAGCAGCACATGAATGGCAGTTTCAAGGGTAGAAACGATTACGGAGGTCCTGTTAATGGACACAAACATACCAGAGTTGGTGGTAGAAGACGTGGAAAGAATGGAAAACGTAAAAATGGTAAGTCGAATAGATCATCAATGCTTCGTACAATGTCATAAAGCTACAGATAGTTAACGAGAAAGCTATTGATTTTTCAGACGTTATGGTGCCACCGAATCAGCCGAACGTCACGAGATTATCCGACGTGTCGGTAATGGTGAGGTGGTCGGTACCGGAGAATCATGGTTTACCGATTCTCTTCTTCAAAGTACAGTATCGCGAACTTGGCCAAAAACCCAACAGTAAACCAGCCAAATGGATGACTGCCAATAGCGATATTCCGAGCCATGTACGCTCGTTCGAAGTGACGGATTTGCAGCCTGAACACACTTATCGATTCCGCATTGCAGCTGTTTATTCGAATAACGATAATGCTATGGGTCCTATGTCGGTGAGTGTTGAATCTTCCGCAAAGCGGTCGTTTCGAGAGATAGTCGTAAATGATTTTTATGCATTGCAGAGTCGTTTCCACTTGACGCGTCAAGGCGACTTGAATACGAATCCTTTGCCGATTCCGTTATTAACGCACACGGAAGCTCTTAATCAGAACCAAGTTATACTTCTATGGCTAAATACCAACACTTCAGCGGACATTGATGGATTTTACGTATATCATCGGTTATCCACTTCAGCGGGTGACTATGTCAAGACAACCGTTGAAGGCAAAGACGCCAATAACATCACTATATCACACCTGCAACCGGATACCACCTACGAATTCAAGGTTCAAAGTTTCTCGGTCACCGCCGCCTCGGAATTCTCGCAAATCGTCCGTGCCAAGACAAAGAAAGCTGTAACAGAACCGCCAATACCACAGGTTATGGCTGAGAATAAAGTCGATCCTGTCGAGAGTGTGAGTGACTCCAATGTATACGCGATCATCGGGGGCGTACTTGGGGGTGCCATTCTCTTGATCGGACTGACAGCCATTGGTGTTGCTTATAAGAGGAGGAAGCACAAGACGAGTCGGGAGACTTCGCAAGATCAGGGTAATTATTAATTTTGGTTGAGAAATTGTATACTGTCGAATGTTGATTACTCAAGTAGGTATCTAATGTAGTTTCTGTTTCAGGCAAGCCGATAACGAACGGCCGGGTAATGAACGGTGGAATCACCGATTCCAAAATAAACATAACGTCGAATCCTCTGGCTGGTCTCGAATCAACCGAGGACCCAATGCAGCCTAAGGTCAGTTAATGAAACTTGCGATCGATGCTTTTTCACGGTCCATCTGAAGAAAAACATCACTGCGGCGGCTCTCTCTCTCTCTCTCATTTTTATCTCTCCTCTCTCTCTCTCTCTCTATTTCTCTTTATATTTATCTCCCTCTCTCTGCTCTTGTTTTTTCTTCCTCTTTCTTCTTTTTTATTTTCTTTTGCTCTGTCTGTTTCTCTATCCAATTGGCCAAAACTTTAATACTACAGTCTATGTAGCCTCTATGCCATTATTTCTCTCGCCAACTAGTTGGAAGTAATTATACATACGTGTTTTTGCATTGTATAGTCGCAGCTTCATTCTCTTGCGGAGGTTCGTCGGTTATTCTACAAACGAGATTAAGTTTTTTCCCAAGTTGCGTACATAAATTTGTTGAATTATTGTTGGAACGATCGATCGAGAGTGTATATAAAATTACATTGTTTGTACGTTTCCGAACGAACCATCCATTAGCAAACAAAAAAAAAAACAATCTGTCGCTCTATTCGCTTTTGACACACAAGCTACTGAAAAAAAAAACGAGAAAAAAACATTCGAACACCGTGTCAACACGCACGTAGGTCTGAAAAGACTCTGCTACTATCGCTGTAGATCTCAAAAGAAGCGAAACGAACGAACGAAAGAACACGCATGTTTCTAAACGCAGAGCGGACAACAATCGCCAATGGAAATGGCTTCGTTTCGTAACGGCCAGAACAACAACGGCGCTGGGCCACCGCAGCTCAACCACAACACCAGTCATCCACCAACAACAACACCAACGAGCAACCAGTCGACGCCTGAACCACCGCCCCCTCCTATATTGCAGCCGATCGACCAGCCAGTTTGATATCTACCGACTACGTGCTCTCGACTACGGAGTAATGATCCGACCGCTAATACTTTCGCATAGACTGAGGAACTATTTTTTTGTATAAATTCTCTTTTTCTTGTGATATGTAATTTACCTTTTTGTTCTTCATTTCATTGAAAGAATGAATGATACGAGACCAAGAATGTCTCGTTATAATGATTTTTTTTCGATGAAATTTCAACGAAATTTGAGAGAGAAGCAAAAAGTGATAGCTTATTTTTCTGTTCAGCGGAAAGCGCTAAAGATTTAAACTATTTTGTTCTTTCCTTCATAGTCAGCAAGAGGAAAAGTCATCTAGAGCGTTCTTTTTTATGTACCTGTGGGATTGCAAATTGAGTGCAACCAAGACTTCTATTTGCTTCGTATGCTTTACAAAGCATTGGAAGTGAGGGTGTATAGTTTAATTTATGTCAAACTAGGAGTAATTATTGACATGTGTACTTCCATGATTCAATTTTTCTTACATTGCCAGTTAGATTATAGTAAACGTCATATACTTAATGAGCGCAAGGAAGAAAAATTATGCTCAGCCATTTCACGAACATGATATGCAAATCATAAAATACCTCAAAAAACGAATTCGCATAATTTCTCTTTCATGTGAATGTCAGAACTTTTTTTATCTACAGTAGGCAGCTTCCGTAAAATCTAATGCATCGATTAACAATTAACTATTAACAAATCAATTAATTCGGAATTTCCCACTGTTACGCTCTGTACATAAAAATTTTAGGTGTAATTTATTCGTGAGATTAAATTAATTTCCTGTAGCGAATTGTAAAATTAAAATTTTACACGAGAGATTAATTTCATTTCGAAAACGTGATGTTTATTTAATAAATTGTATTTTTGTTAAATAGAAAGAAATTCCGTCTAATCGAGTAAAAAAATATGAGCAGTAGAGGAGAGACTATGTTCATCTTGCTAACAGTATTGTTCCAAGCATTTTTTTACACAAATGAACGAGCAATACTCGTAAGTCTCTTCAGCTGTCACATTTTAGTGAATAGTCAAAATAAAGAGGCGTCACCCCCGACTTGTAAATTTTTCTTTCGAGCGAATGCCTGGTATAATTGTAAATATGTGTAGGATGTTATTGAAGCAGTTGCAATACATGTATTTTTATTAAAATACACGAATGCACGGGAAATTTTGTAATGGGATGAGTTGCCGATGTAAATATTAGTCTTCGATTGTATTCCCATCAACTAACGGTGCCTTGATAATCGAAATGAGGCCTGACACATAGTTTTTATTAACAACGATTTATTTATATATATACACACACACGCACACACACACACACACACATATATATATACGTGAGCCAACAATCCTTTATATGTACTTAATATTTCTTACGTAATAAAGCAATTATAAAATACGATTATAATAACACGATGCTCTTTCATTTTCTGTTCCTACTCAATTAGAAAAAAAAATATGAATTAGGTTTATTTGAGCAGACAAATAATTATAGCCGTTATTTGTACTAACGAAAAACTGATTTCATGACAAATTCAACATTGGTAAACTTGTATAAGAAATGTCCACTTTCCTCGGCTCTGTCAAGAGCACATAGACTTTCACGGTCAGTGTAAACATCGATATAGATATATTTTTTATTAGTTTTACTCTAATTAGGTCATGGAATTCCATATATTGATTTTGTTTCAACTCCACATATTGATTTTGTTTTAACTTCATTCAGAAAATTTTTCTATATAACATGACAACGAATGGAAGGACACGTATGCCGAAATTGTCAAGGAGAAAGAACTTATTGTTTGTTTAACATCTGGGCGCTCAATGATTGCGTAGGACACAAGTAGTATGGTGGAACATATAGCTCTGCTGTTATCTTAATTAGTACAATATTCACTCATTTAATTATCTTTTTTTCACCACAGTACACGTTCGACGTCGTCTTCCTCCTTATGTAGAAAGCCTCTTATTCATCCATCCATTTATAAAAGAGAAGAACATAGAACTTAGGGCGCGACCATATTGAGTAGATTGTTATTCGACTTGCGATTGACTGTTGCAGATATAGCATTCGAGTGTTTTAAGCAATAAAATATTTTTTAATTGGTCAACTCTCATTGGATCATATTATTGTAAGTGAAACATTAAGGTGCACGCGCGCAATACATGCGCTTTTATATTTAAAGAAAAACCATTACACATGTTTTAAAAGAGATTAATTACTTTTCGCAATACGTTATAAAAACAAAATGTCAATGATATATTTCATGGTCGTAGAAATTTTCGTGATGTTTACATATATATTGAAGATAAATTCAACCCTTCATTTGAATAGTGACGTAAAGTACGAATGTCTTTTTCATTGTCTATAGTCTTGAAGTCTTTATCAATTTGATCTAGAATCACGTTTCGCTGCTAGAATACAAATTTGAAACTGGTAATCAACGTCACCTAATTATATTACTCTTCGTTATAACTATAGTGCAATAATTTGATACGTATTTTATTTGTTAGTAGACTCAGACAGTATAAAAAGGAGGACAATTATAGCTGACATAACGACATTTCTATGACAAAATTAACATTCCATTCTCTTACTGATCTAATATTCTACAGAAATATATGTATGTTGGTTTTTCATTTTCCAAAAATAGAAACTATTTAGAGGCTAAACATAAAAATCATAAATTTACCACTAGAATAATGTAAGAAACTAATACTACGATCAATCCCAAACGGAATGAAATTTTTCATTCTGTTTGATATAGCCAATATCCATCTAGTTTCTCAAATTTTGTCAATGTCTTCCATGCACGGCTCGGTATGGGAGTCATTTTTTTCGATTATAAAATCGACCAATTACTATACAATACTGTTAGTGTCAGTAATTTCTATCGTCGAAAGTCCTGGGACAGGAAAGCTATTGAGTAGGCGTATAACTGAGCATTTGCAATGAATGTATTCCGTCGTCCTTTACTATAGATACGTTGGCGTATAATGTTTTATTCAAAATCACAAAGCGTAAACAAACTTACGTAAGCCTTGGCCCTTTCAGTTTTGATTTTTTCCGACTATAGGCAATACACAAGACTTCGGTTCTATTGTGATAGATGCCCACTCATCTATGCATTTTACGTTACTATATAAACAACTATAAAGAAAACACAGTTTGGCATCATAGTATAATAGATGTTAATGAAAGTTTTTAATGTACAGATTCTCATAACTCCACCTTAAAATATTAAATAACATTGATAATATGCTCACAGGAGAAGTCAAACGAACAATCACGTAATTAGTCGTAAAAATAATTGAATATAAATATTAGTTGTTATTTTACGAAAATTATCGCATAAATAAATAAATAAAATCATTCACGATGCGCTTTTACCATTTAAAAAACATTAATATTTAATATCAACGAAATAAGCGAAGTAAACATTTTCTATTAATATAACGTCCGAAAACCCAACAATAAGTGCATAGGACGCAATAAACAACGCGGGATTTTAAAGCAGTGTAGCGATGGGCTATATTTATTGTTATTCTACTATATCATTTTTTTTGCAAACAAAACTACAAAAGGAATGCGTTGCAAAAGATAATTACGAATATCCGGAAGGGAAAAAAGTGGTACCCCAAAGTTTCTACATATATACGATCCAAGCTCTATATATGTAAGTATACGTAAATAACTAGCTGCAGGCTGATTATAGTTAGGTTTAGTAATCTTAGACTCGAGCCTTTTGGAATTTTGAAAATATTTGTTTTTAAAAATTTCTGAGATAATACGCGATAACATGCCGTTTTCTCAAATTTTTTCAAATGTTTCCAACAATTCCAACAGCTTTTTCAACAATTATATTTTTTACCAGCGATCGTTCGTGTGATAATTGAGATATCTGCATTGTTAAAAAAATTCATTAACGTCACTGTAACGTGTTTTAAATTTGAATCGTATTGTGTCTAACGTTTATAGAATGGATATAATTTGAATTAATACGATTGACGTGTTGTTGCGATTAGTAATTCGATAATTCATGAAAATAACACATTGAACTTGTGAATCTTCATGGAAACTCGGCGGAAAATACAGTTTGTGTAAGTAATGTTGACAGCGCAATTAATGCTTTTACTTTGATTGTTTATTTCCAGAAAAATCATAAATAGGAGCTTAGTGAACACTATACTCATAAACCAAACGAAGAATGAATCGTTCGAGGAAAAGAAAAAGCATGACGACAGGTGACTAAACATATAGTTACTGACAGGCGAAAGTATCGGTGATATAACGAATAGATTTTTCATTTAATTACAGGCAATGATACCTCCAAAACTGGACCAAAGCTGAAAAGAGTAAAATCCGAAGTGTCAGTCAAACGTAAGTTTGTTTGTGAATACGTTAGCGTAAAAAAAATGAGAGTGATTGCATTATTTTGGCGTAAAACTTTGTTAGAGGGCAAAAAGCACAACAAAGTGGTCAACGAAAATTCGTCTGCAGGGCTCGTGGGCGACGCGCGCATCGTTTTGGACAGATCGATCGTCGACAAATACTTTCTCGCCAAGAAAATATTGCACGACATACTTTCACGAGAGCCAAGGGTAGCTTATCGGAGAAGCGGCAAGAAATCGGCGAGGAACGACGAGCGGGCGAGAAGGTTGGATCGCTTGCAGGCGAGCAACGATTCGATTTCGGGCGACGACAGCCGAGTTTGCCAAATAAAAGAGGAGGAGCTGGAATTGCCAGCTGACGACGTCGATCCGAACGACACTGGCCTCGCTTACGACGTAAACATGGTGCCGCAGCCGCGGGTCGTGTACTACATGGACGAGCGCGCGAACAATTGCGTATTGCTCGACAGCAGTTTGGTGGTTCTACCGGGCAACGCGAAGTACACGCCGGAAGAGTTCGCTTACAACAATTACGGCTATTTGCCGGTCATTGGGCTGCCGTTGAAAACGGAGCCCGCCGAAGACGACGCGCCCGTCGAGCAGGAGCTCAACGGCGCGAGCGCGCATCGTTCCCCTTTCGCCGTTTGCGCTCGTGCGATCGGAAACGCCGAAGGCGCTTCCGCGGTTGCTACTGCCACGGCAAACGGTGCGTGTATAGTATTTGCCAATTACTTCTTCTCGCGCTGAGAATTTTGCGCATTTTAGAATTGCGTTTTACGGTCTGGGGTGAACAAATTTTGATAGCATGGTACTTTTGCAGCTACCATCGATGAGACAACGATCAGGCATTGCTACGACGACGACGAGACCAAATCCGCAAATGTAAACTTTAACAATCGTGGTTTTCCTTATTGTCCGAAATGTGGTCGCAATTTCAAGAAACGACCTGCTTTAAAAAAGCACAAACTACTCTGTGGACTAAAGTTTTTCTACGAATGTTTGTATTGCACTTATAAAACGCCGACGTCGATTAACATTAAGAGCCACGTTGCGAGGTTTCACAAGAAAGAGGTGGAAGATCGTGATTTGGAAATGATTATAAAAGAAATAAATAAAAGAAGGAATGACAAAAAGAGTATGAACAAATAGTCTAATTGCTTTATCGTAAATATAATAAACTCGTGTCTTTTGTTCAATGATATTTGATTATCTTTATACTTTTGTCTAGTCTTGTCGTTGACGACCAACACAAGTGAAGTTGCTTCTGATGCCGAGGAAAATTTCATTACGAATTTTGATCTACTCTGCCCCGAGTGTGAAATCGTCTTGTCCAGGAAGCAAATCAACAACGAAGTATCATCGAAGGAAATGTGTCCTGGTTGCCAGGTAACTTTGGTATTCAGATGCCAAACGTGCGGGGAAATTTTTCTCAGTTCCAACCAAGTTCACCATCACGTTATAACAGAACATCGCAAAAAAAACCCTAAAATTTATAACTGCGATCACTGTCGCTTCGAGACTACCCACGAGATTGCGCTTCGCCAACATATTCTCCACTGCCAGACAAAGAGAGACAAGCCAACGTATTATGAGTGTAATGTTTGCTCTTTTCAGACTTTTTACAAAAATAGTTTCAATCGGCACAAGCGAACTGTGCACAGACTAAACAAGACGAAAGATTTGGATAATTAAAGTATGACTAAAGAATTTAAAAAATTTTTTTGATATACGTTGAATCGATTTTATTTTGTTATGAGAATTTCCTAAAACAGATAAGCTCGAAGTTGATAGGTGTTTTGGCACAACAATGATGAGTCATTACGATGAAAACTTCCAAATTTTACGCAATAAAGTTTGAATTATGTTTCAACATATTAAACAAAATCAGCGTCAATGCTTCAAATTCCTTCCAAGCTTTTCATATCAAAGACATATTAAACGTGCGTGATTTTTTGTACGAGTTTATGCACGTCACACTTATGTATAAATCTATCCACAGTTGAAAAACAATGACCAAATAATCCTATTTATCGTTCGATTCATTACCCCCGAATGAAGTCAATCGCCGCTCATATTGCTGTTGGTGAGCTTACAACATACCAGTTTTTCATTACAATTCCTTGGCTCAACTAACAAAGTGTTTTTAATAGGACAAAATATAGTTGTATATTAAAAAAAGAAATAGTAAAGCGACTTGATTAACTCGGTCAGTCTTTGTATAATTAATGAACAATTCAAAGGAAATGCCCGCTTCGCGCGAAAATCAAAACGAAGAGATAAACAGCGGTGCTGGTGGTAATTTTACTATTGATGTCGATTGCTGCCTTGAGATATAGAGCGACGATATCTCTTTCTATAATCGTAAAGCTTGACCACCACGCGCTGAAAAAAGCTGTCATGTAAGTTGTTCGTCTTGTTTTTTTTATAAAATAACTTAGGCAACGAGTAATACAATCTACTATTGTTTATTTAAAATCTGTTTTACAGCAGAATACAACGGTAACCAAAACCTCCAACTTCGAGCAGAATTACAAACTAGGTCGCAAAGTTACGTTTTTGTGCGTGGCCACAGGTATATCTCGACTCGACGACAGGTATATCACGTGATTCAAAAACGGCTGCTAAGAACTCCACAGTCAATTGTTCGAGTACCATATTGCGATGGAAAGCTGAAAAAAATGGAGACATTCATAAATGTACCTATATAGCTGTTGAAAGTATAGCTTTTCAAATTGTTTCTACGTCGTACAGGCCGTATCACGACAGGTGTGGCTATCTCCCGTGAGATATCTCCCGTGTTAATATCGGTTACGGCGAATGCACGGGACCAGGACACCATTAAGCGTACAGGGCTCAACGGTGGGCGTTCGACCGTGCAAGCAAAATTAAAATTGTTCTAACATATCATCGAGTATCGTTTTGTTTGTGTTCGAATTAATTCAATTCTTTTGTTGTTGCTCGATCGTTTCGAGCCGGACGAGAACTTATAGATTGTCTTTTCCTTAAGCGTTGCCAAGTTACGAAAAGAAATGTATCATTTAGAATCAAGAAGCAAGTTTGTTAAAAAAAATGTGAGTTGAGCACAAGATCCCGTAGAGCTATTAACAACTATCTGTTTCAAGCAATCTTTGTAAAAAGCTCTGTTGTAAGTGTGCTTTTAATATTAACCTTCTGGTTCTTTGTGAAACAGAAAGTTAAAAAGATAAATAACATTGTTGAAATTAAAATACTATGCGTAGATATACGATACCCACATTGACAATTCTAGAATAAAGTCAGGGATGGAAATTAAGTCAGCGACACAAAAAATTACCCGTTTCTACGAGTGTCGAGCTGATAACATTTGCATGCCATCGATCGTCGTATTTTTCTCGCCAACTTCATCGATCATTTTAGGCATACTTTGCCAAATATTTCATCAAAGCTTTGATCTCGCAATTTTGTTTTCATAATAAAATTGAGAAAAGACTATTGAACCTATCGTAAAATTATCGTCCATCAATTTTCAACGTTAAAAGCAAGGTGATTTTCACAAAAATAATAAAACAAACAGGCGATACGACCACCGTTACTTTTCTACGTTACGTCTGTAATTAAGGAATGTTTCTCACTGTGCAATGCAAAATTAAAAATGTCATCGTGTCAATTACATTTTTGATCTAATTTAAACAAACGATATTTTAAACTGAAAGAATAATCAATTAAAGTCTAATCATTCACTTTACAAGTAAATAACTAGATTGAATTCTTTTTAGCATAAGTTAATACAAAGATTAAGATAGATTTACAATTATTATTTATATATTTTCTATTAATATTATTGAGCAAAATTACACATGAATTTTCTGGAACGACAACTCACTTAAAACGAACTTTTGAACTCGTCTTTTTTCATTGCCATACAATACCAAAGTCTACAATGCAAAAACCGATAAAGTTAAAATAATGTAATGATACATTATGTACTATTGCACTGTTATATTTAAAACATCTTGAAGTAAATATATTGTGATTATAATTGCACATTTAGTGTAATTAAATAAGAGTAATCTATCCGGTGACTTATTTTTTCAGTACGGCAAGCACAGATAAATAAGAAAAAGTAACTTGTCATATCTTAGAAAAGAATGAGTACATGATTAGATGGTTACATGTTGATATTACAAAGCTATTATGACTGTGACTAAACATTATATGGAAATACATGTTACTATTGAAACAGACATTTTGAAGTGTGTTCGAAATCTGTTCCGTATACCATTGTGATTTCAGAACGAAATTTAACTTACATGAATGATACCTTCCAATTTCATCTCGAGCAAGGGTCCAGCAAATCATGCAAACCATCACATACGTTGATCCGCAGAGCTCCTCACAGTTACCGATTAATTTTTAAGCCGCCAAATGATATAGAAACGGAGTTCCAAGCGTGCGGCACCCTATTAGATTGTTCAGATTATGTTGTAACTGTGACGCAGCAAACACGGTCAAATGCACAATCCCATATTGCAGCCGTAGATCGACAAACTTACATTTACAGTTATACGAAAGTAAAGAAGGCCACGAGACTCACGGTGAAAAACGCGGCATCGTGCGTTTCTTGAATCAAGTCTACAAATATTGTAAGCCAACTTTTTTTTATATCTTTTATATTTTTATATGTATATATCATTTTACAAAAAGCTTTTATTTTTTTATTACAATTTTAAACAAAACTTCTTGAAAAATTCAATGTTATTGATTTTATGAATTGTATAAAATATCAACGTGAATCGTAGTGCGAACTTGCATAGACTTAGTATTATTATGTTATAAATAGACTTCCAGAAATATTTCATGCTTACTGTATCCGGTTTTATTTGTTTCCTTGACGGTCTAAATTGTTATAATATCTGTAGTGACGAGTAACATGCAATTTTTATTACAGCAAGTGTTTAAAACTCTTTAATTGAATATTTTAGATTTATACACTAAGAAAAAAGGTCTTGATGTCAGTCCTCTGGCCCTATATTTCTCTGATACGAAGAGATTTTCTCTTCGGATTTATTTAAGATCACAATTCAACGCATTGTTGACGTTCTTTATCGTATTATCTATAGATATCTATATATGTCACATTATCATAGTATGCAGATCTATACACTTTTATTAATTCATATAATAGTATTCGATATGTAGGCGTCAAAAAAAATTTTATTTTTTATTATCACTCTAAGCTACGTACTTGTATTTATTGAGTTGTATGAAAAGAGTACATTTTTTAAAAAGCCTCGAGTGTTCAAAAACAAAAATGCACTAAAAACACCATTCAGTGAAACTGGTTTTTTTTAGACTCACTGAATTCCCGGAATCGTCCGCCTTGACATTCTCAAAACATAAATACATCATTACCGTAGCGCGTGTCTATTGTATTACAAGTCTAGCTCAGAAATGCACTCGTCGCTTCGAATTTGAAAAATTTAAAAGAGTCGCTCATAATATATTATATTATCAATGTAGCAGTAATAATCTTGCAACAATAAGTTTTTTCATTTTGCTGTAGGAAGAAAAAGTATCGCAACGAGCATTACTAAAAGAATAAAAAGTGTTAGTGTTTACGCACATGTCAATAACATATAATCATCAACAAGCAGCAGACATATATTTCGGATCATGCTACTTGAATTTCCTTTTTTGTGTAGTTTGATTTCATCGTGCTCTATCTCTGTTCGTATTTCGCAGAAGTAAATATATGTTGTTCGTCTTGTGTACTTTGCCGAGTGCAATTTATATTGATCCAAGCTTTGTATAAGTTCTTTTGTTTTTTTTTAAACAATATCTTACTATATCTGACTGTATATACATAAAAGCCCTATGCAGTGTAAGCTTATATAGTAACGAAAGTAGTGTGCAACTTTAAAAGTAACCTAAAATTTTTTTATTTAAAAATACTACTGATTCTACAAAATAATTAACTGCATATTTTTATAAAATGATTAACTTATATTATGTCTAAAAAAATAATATTTACAAATTATATATTTGTTTTAGAAAAATAATTCTAATCACTATGGAGCCTGACTCTATTTGGGATGAAAATTTTTTTTTTATGCCATCTGATGAATTAGGTAACAATTAAAGTTTTACTACTAGTATTTAAAATTGTTTCATTATTATTATTATCTTATTTATTTTAGATTATGAGTTCGATGAAAATGAATTATTTACAACTGCTGAGCATATTCTTCAAGAGACAATCCAATGTGAACATTCTACAGGAGTTTCTAGTTTTATGCAACCTGATTCAGGTAATACTGAAAGATATTTGTGTAAAAGTTTTAAATAAAGCTATTCTAAAAAGTTTTCTTTATTTCAGATAGTAAATTATCATTACATGATAAAACATGCTTAGTTCAAGCAGAAGTAGAAGAGAAACCAATTTTAGGTATGTGTGCATAGAGTTTTATAAACATTTTTACATTTTATATTTAAGAAACATAATTTTACATTTTAGAAAACAGACATGTCTCAAAAGATTCGTCTGTTATTAAAAGACAAGACTTCATAAATTCATCACTGTTTAATTATCCTCTTAAAAGTGAAATTAAGAGAAGAGACTCTGAAAATGAAATCAACATCATAGCTGGTAAGAATTTCATATGTCATATTTTTATAGTTTTATTTTTACTAGTAATCACTATGCACGCGCAGCGTGCTAAACACTTATTACTTTATACAAAGTGTATAAATAATTTCCCAATCTCGCGCCAAAACATTACGTCATATCAACAAACCAATCACGTGCCATAACCCTGATCTTCAACACCAATCATAATAAATATAAATTCATACACTCTCCCTACTCTTCTTCTCCTACCCTTTTTACCAATAAAAACTTTAAAATTCTTTTAAATTTCAAATTTTATCTCTCAAATTTGAATTATGGCGCATCGGAGTCCTCAGGTACCCACAGCCATTAAAACGAAACGAAACGAAACATAATAAATATAGACTTCACTTCTTATCATTCTCTTTTTTAGTAAGGATTTTAGTAAGAAAAAAAATAGTAAAGAATATAAAATAATATAAAATAATATAATAATATATTATTTTACAGACAGTAAATATATCATCGATGCTAGAATTTTGTTAGATACTTACAATATGCAATCTCTCAATTCAATGCCTTCCAACTCAAGTTAGTATTAAAAATTATTTTTTATTTTATTATCAATTACTCAAAGTATTATTTATAAACTTTCAGTTCCAAATGTTATTGATAGGAAGCCAAATTCTACAAAGGAAGTCATTACATTGCAAAACCGAAGTCAACAAATTGGTACTTACAGTCATTTTATTTAATGAATTTAGTTTTATATGTAATTATTATTTGAATTTTCGATGATTTATATTATTTTAGATAAATGTCAAACCATTAACAATACAAAATCCAGTCATAACTCTCATAGTAAAAGGGAAAAACTTGATAACTTTGTAATTTCTTATGTTGGTAAGTTTTGTTTTTGATTTATAAAGGTCTGTGTATGAAGTTTTTATATTTAATGTTTAAGTTTGAATATCACAATAAAGCATTTTTCACTATTCATTATAGATAAGAAGAGTCAATTAATAAAAGAAAAAGATATTGTAAAAACTAATAGTAAAAAGAAGTATAGTTTCAATACTCATAAAGCTAATTTTAAGAAAATACAGATAAATGATCTCAATAATAAAAAGTGTAAAGAATGCAGAAAATTCAAGTCTAAAATTCAAAATAAAGGTAAAGAAAGTCCGAATTTTCTTCCAGGTTCTACTCTTCCTCATGTTGGTAAGATGTTTAAATTATTTATAATTGCTTAGCTACTTTCTAAGTTTTAAACAAACATACTAATGTTCAAAGGACATATTTATGTTTACAGATAAAAAATGTGATGAACAAAGATATTTATGTTTGAGTTAAGTTTAAGTTTGGCTCTGTTACCATATTTCTGGTTCATAAATCATTAATTTATTATGATTACAGGTAAAGAGCACAAATTGAAGAAAAGAAACGACAAAGTTGAACAGGATTTTTTGCCTTCCCAAAAGAGTTAATTTTATACATATTCTATAAAAAGTTTTTTTTTATAGTTTTGCAATCAAAACATTGATTTATTATAAATTTAAACTATTTCAGAAATTGGCAAGGATACTTTCAATAGCGTTAAATTTGAAGAAAACATCGAGTTGAATATCGACAAAAATAAAATTATCATTGAACAGGTTACGCTGAGTTAGTATTATACACATATTTTACAAACTTTCTTATATCAATCGAATTGGAATCTGTGTAACATAGTCTACATAATTTTAGACAAATCTCAAGTATCTAAAAATTCGTTAAAAATTAAAAAGTCTAAGTTAAATGATAATAGAACATGCTTGCCGAAAGGTCCTAACAAAGATGAGTTGCCACTAAATAGAAATAATATTTTACCCGAAAAACTTGAAAGCGGTATGTTTTTATGCCAAATTAATAATTAGTTTATAAAAATGATTAAAAGAAAAAAAAAGCTTATTAATCATTCCATAGATATGAAAATAGAGCCTTCGCTGGACAAAAACCAGCTTAATACAGGAATGATCCTTAAGAAATATCCAAATGACATTGTTCTTTGCAAATCGAAAGGTAGTTTTTTAAGCAAATGTTTATTGTAATTATAAGTTTTCTGTAAATTTGAATTTAATTATTTAATTTATTCATTTTAGATATAATCTTGGATGTAAAACCAGTTCTATGTCAGAATTTTTTACGTCTACCAACAGCACGAGTTATTTTAAAAAAACTTACTGAAGCAGATTTGAGATCTTCAGCGAATTTACTTATTTACGTAAAAACTGAAATAAATGAAGACGTTTCTCAACAATTGAGATTACAAGGTACCATTTCTCTATTCATTCATCGCTCATAGTCTATTTTCACTCTGGTTTAGCAATTATTTAATTCAGGTAAAGCCAGAAACAAAGACTTTATTCATCGGTATTGCTGCAAATGTAAGAGCTTACAAGTCGATCGTAGTGGTTTATCTAAGACGAACAACTGCGAGAACTGTGATTCTCAATTTATTTACCTGTGCACGAAATGTAACGAGAAACATTATGTAAGATACTATCATCTTCAACGTCATTTGAAAAAATGCCGTGGATCTGAAAAAACGAAACCGAAAGGGTTGGAATCTATTGTACTTCATCGTTGCAATCAATGTACCTTCAAAACTACTCTCGCTAAAAGAATAGCTTCGCATATGAAGAATACGGGGCATAAGGCTGACGATGAAATTGATATTAATAAATTGCCGATAAGTTCAAAAGTTCAAATTAAACGTGAAGGTATGTACTGTAAAAAGAATTTCCAGTTTATATTTTTAAATTTGTAATAATTAACAATAGTCTTTTTTTTTATTACAGTATCAAATAAGCCAAAAATGTCGTCAAAGACATCTAAAACAAGGTACATTGAATTAATCATTAAGCAAAATATCGCAAGTAAGTATTATTCTTAAGGTAATTATACAATTTGAAATTACTATACTAATGATACATGAAATTCATTCGAATTTTTCTTATACAGGTGTCGCAAGCATTACTGAGCGTTATTGTATTCAGTGTAATAAGCCACAATTGTCAAATACACGCAAACCTAAGGACTCATGTTATCTATGCAAACAGCAACTACAATTACGTTGTTTGAGATGTAATCTCAAATACAGCAACTATCATAAGATGCTCTATCATCTCCGATCAAAATGCCAACCAAATGAATATAAGTGTACGAAGTGCGATTATACGAATACAGTTTTGTCACTTATGCAACAGCATGTAACGAAAAACCATTGTAATAGATCATTAAAGTCAGGTCGAAAAGCTAAAAGTGAGAAGAAACATCGAGAGATTTTCAATTGTACGGTGTGCAGCTTCCAAACGCATTACCAATACAATCTTATTAGACACATGAAGAATATTCATAAAAAGTAAAATTGTATATAATAAGATAAAATTACATTACTTTTTTATAAATTAATACTTTTTACTAATTGATAAACTGTTTTGTTTAAGTAATGTAAAAAAGTTCCATAATGTTATTTATATCAATGATACAAAAATTTATTGATGTTTTAGTTTGTTTATACGTAAAGATTCACTGAAATTTTATTTTTTTTAAACAAATTGTTGAAAATTTCACAACATGAATATTACGATGTTTCTTTTTTATATTAATTTTCATTAACTTCAAGAAACTAATTTAGTAGATGTAAATTGATGTATAGAAATTTGAAATGAAATTCATGTTAGCTTATTATAATTACATTCTTTCTGTTATACAAAATAATTTGGAACAATTAATGGTTTCTGGATTTACAAATATTAGTAAATTAAATTTTCAAAAGATATTTCGTTGAAGTTTGATTTATTAGTATAGAACAAATTATTCTGATCGTAATGCCGCGATTTTTTTATATTTAATCTAAGCTAATTTAGAAGGCCTTTAAAATGAAGGTATGAGGGAAGCGTCTCATCATTAATTTCTGCTAATTGTGAAAGATGTCCCATCTGATAGTGTCGTTACTTTTTATTTTTCTTTTTTACAAATTTAATATTCAAGATATTATCATTAATATTTGAAGATAAATAAATGCATGAATAAATTGTAATTAACTCAACACAAATTAAAAAAATTCCATTTATAATTTCTTCGAAAACAAATAAGAATAGATCGAAATTTAAATATTAAATATGTCACACCACATTGTCAGATAACATTTAGAAAATTTGCATGAATTTTATGTGGACAAGAAACAAGACAGTAAAAAATACAAGTAAATTGAATTATTCTAAAAATACGATGAGTAATATTTTAATTCATTGAATTGTGCAATTGAAAAAATAGATTTTTTATGCCGTGTTTTCTTCTCAGTAAATGTATTGTCCATTAGGTAAGTTTTTAGAACTGTAGACAGTCTGAAATAGTTTGACGTTTTCGAATGTAAATATACATATATACCAGTTTAAAGTGAGCTGAGATATTGGACGCAATCGGTAGTTTCTGCTTAGATTTGTAAATTGCGTCTATTTTTATTTAAATGCAATGCATATGATACTAATATTATTAAATCACTCATTATGAAGAGTCGTATAAACGTTTGATATGACAAGTTTGTACCAATACATGTATAACTATTTTTTAAGCTTCTATTTACTGTGATAATAAGATCTAGATTGATTAAAATAAACTGTATTTTCTCTGAAAGTTATTTTGGAGCTTTCTTAAAAATTGAAAGTATTTCAAATGCCACAGTTCCAAAAAAAAATCATTATAACATATGATAAATCAACACTTTACATTTCCGTAAGAACTACTCAAAAAACTTTCTCGCCAATTACGTTTCCGGTATATAATAAATGAACATTCAAAATCTACTATTACACAGATTTATATAATTATGGGTTGTGTTTGTTGTTAGCCAATTAAGGATCTTTTTTAAATAGTAATTTTTTGCATAGAATCTGAATTCGAAATTGGGATTTGTTCATCATGTTAGGTTTTTGAGACATTCTAATCTGAAAGGGCGGAAAAAGCTGTTTTTGGCATATATGAGGTTCTGCAATTTAATTAACAAAAGCTGGAAGATGAAATCGAACATCTGTTATATTATCCAAAATGTAAAACATCTCATACAAGACTAAAGAAAGTATCTACTCGAGAAAATGCCAAAAATGTGGAAGAGATTTAGTCTAGGTTTGCAACAAGTGCAACAAAAAAGTTTGCATCCAGTAGCAACACATGAATCGTCATCGAAAATTGTTTAAAGAATATAATAAATCCGTTTATAATTATCCTATAAGACTGCACGTGATGAGGACAAAGCATAGAATTCGAGGTAATCAAAAGCTTGAAAAATTATGAATTCTAATTATTATAAGGCATAAACCCGGGGTGTGTAAAAAATATTTGAGATTATTTTTTGTTTCATCCTAATTTAATGCTGTCATCAAATTGAAGTGATTGGACTTTTTATTTAAAAATGATTTACCTGTGATTGCAGTGATATTTGTTTTTCCTTTTTAAAAGTACGTAAATTACTTCTTTTGAGGACTTGCAATTGCAAATAATTTGTGTCTTCATGAACAATAATTAGTGAAATAATGATATATAGAAGTAACAATTGTTGTGATTGTTTAACAATGTTCATTTAAAAGTCATGGCATATACTCATAAATAGCTGAGGTTTAATGAAGTTGACTTGTTGACAATTTATCATGTAATGATCTTTTTGTTTTGATTAATCCAAACGCTTAAATTGTAATGAAACATCTATTAAGTAAGAATAAAGAAGATTTGGCGATATTTCTCTTTCATTAATGACAATAAGGATTCCTTAAATCCAACGTCATCACTTTATTTAACACGTCAAAACTATCTATTGATAATATCACCGCGGCCACGCAATCTTCTGACCAAAATAATATCCTTCTGCATGACAGTTACACGATTGCAGTGCAGACTCACAAGAATAGCATCCTCGAAAAATTGCACCAAATACATTTCGACAGATTCTTGTAGAGCTTCCAACGCTGAATATTGTATTCTTTGAATATTGAGTAGTGGAAATAAATCCCTGATGATGTGGCGAACAAGACGAGCAAACGGAGCTCTTGGTATTAATAATTTTGTCAATCTCTGTAGCTTACGAATCTCTTGGATAACATAATTTCTATTAACTTGTTTGCGATTTCTTTTGACTATCACCTCAGTTTGACTTGCGCTGTCGCTACTTTGGGATGATCTCGCAGTGGCTTTACGACGAACCATGCCTCGTTGGTAGATTATTCGGAAATATTATTTTGTTACCCTGTTGACAAAATGTTTTTTATGCTAGTTCGAGGAAAGTTCTCGTTAGAATAAATAATTTCATTTGAGTGGTGAACTTATATAAAAAATGGTTCATCAAACAAAATTTTCATATTATTTTAATTAAAAAATATTATAGATGGAAACGACTGAAAAAATATGATAATTTATAATTACTTACCTAATTAAAATATGCATATAATTTATGTAATAAAACAGTTTTATTACTCTTAGTACTATTATATTCGGCATAAAACAAACTCAATAATTCTTTTATGAAAAATCTATCCATATAAAGTCTTTATTTTTGGGGTGCTTTTTTTTGTTGAGCGAATTAACCTTTTAATGTCAATAAACAGAACGAACAAATAAAATTATGACAACTTGCCTGAAAATTAACGGGCAACGGCAACACGCTCAAATACGGTTACAATGCGCATTAAGTGAGACGAACCACAATCATGTTATCTTTAACGAAAAACTATAATTAGAAATAAAAATATTTTCACGAGAAAGATAACATTACGTAAAATTATTTTCGAAATTTATTTTTCGATCAACTGAAAAATTTTTAAATTCAAAGCAATATTACGTAAAACTTCAAACTCAAATAACTTTCTTAAATCAAAAGCTATCGAAGTAAATTTTTTTGAGTAATAGAAGAGAATCTAGACTTTTTTTAACTATATATCACATTAGGAAATCGATACGTAGAAGCATGAAAAAATAGGTATTTTCTATTCGACAAATCTTACTTTTTAACATTTTACTGTAGAGTGTTGTGGCAGGCCAGTAGTCGTCGTGGCCAATTCCTGCCTACTCGCTTACGGCTCTTGACCGCGACCCCTGATGTTAGTGGTGACTCCGTTAATTTGTTTTATTGTTGTGTGATTATTTCGGAAATTAAATTCGTGGTCAGGTATTACATTTGATTCTGATAGTACTTTACCTAATCTTTTAATTATTTTTTCATATACTTTGGAAAGTATAGGAAGTAGGCTGATGGTTCTGTATGAGGAAACAAACTTGCATGGTTTACTTGGTTTTGAAATAAGTATGATTGTTGCCACTTTCCATGTAACAGTAAAATAGGATAGTTGAAATATTGCATTTATTACTATAGTGATAAATCTTTTTGCTTTTATAGAGAGTTCTTTCATTAGTTTTTCATTAATGTTGTCGTGTCCTAGGCTCTTTTTGATTTTTAGGTCGCGATAATATTTATTATTTTATTTATTTTTACGCTGTATAAGTAATTTTTATCGCTTTTAGTGTGTCTGTTACTTAACACTGTGAGTTCTTCTTTTGTTACGATACGTTGTAGCGGGGTAAATAAGCTTTCGAGGTGTTTAACAAGTGTATTAGCTTTAACGATGTTCCTTCTTGTCCATGTCTTTTTATTTTTTAGAATAGAAAATGAAAAATGTTGAGGTTGCTTCATTTTTTGGTTGCTTTCCGAAGTGAATAAACAGATGCCTCTGTAGTAAGGTTTTCTAGGTTGTGATTTATTATCGTATTTTGATCGATAATAATTTGTTTAAATTCTTTGATTACACGATTTCAAGAGCATTGGTGTATTATTTGTTAGAATAAACTATACATGCCATTGTATTATTAATTATTATTTATAGAAATTAATCAGGTGGTAAGTGTGATTCCTATATACCTGCACCAGGTAACGCCCTTGAGAATCTCTTACCCGCGATAACAACTCTCCATGACCTGTCGTTAATGTAAACATCTCAAGCTCAATCAGCTGTTCATATATACATATGCAAACATGGCCGTGTGTATGGCTCGTTGCGCGTTGTAACGTACGTAAGCGGTTAGAAGATTTATCAGATATTAAAAACAATATAAGGTCAATCGAAATTTAAATTCATGATATGCATCTGAATAAATATCTTTTGTATGATATTTCATGTGTCGTGCAGAATGAACAAAAGTGACGTGGATGATATTAGAAAAAGATTGCATTGCGATGTAATACAAGACCATTCTAAATATGACCGCAATACAGCAAATCGAACCCAAGTATTAATAATTGATTCCAAATTGAGGTAAAAGAATTTTATTTGTATCGCGTTTTGTTTTTCGTCTTTCATTGCGTGTATTTGTTTTTTTTTTGCCGGCTTCTCTCATTCCCCCTTCCTCTTCATTTTCTCCATTTCTCTGTCACCATATCACACGCGCGACAAACTACATTATTTTTAAAGTTATGCCGAATGCCGGATTATCAGTTATGCTTAAAAATGTAAGCAAGGGCATGATAAAAAATGCAATGTATTTATTCGAATAGAAATCAACACGCGCCAAAGATGAATCGGACAAGCTATTTAAAAAAATATGATTAATTTATTAGTTATTCGAAATATATTGGCATAATTTATTTATATTATAATTAACTCAAATAATAACTCAGAAGTATCATCAATCTTTTATTATTAAATTGATTAGTGCATAAATAAAGCAAAGCCATTTTACTTCAACGAAAAGAAATAATTTAATGCTTGATTAATACCACCGGTAACCGTTGCTGAGTCGATACGTTGCAAAAATGAGTAAAATGAAAACAGACGAATATATTTGTCTATTAATAACACGAAATGTCATGCATAATCGAGTAGATATATCGATGCATATTCGAACTTATTAGTTCATGGCTTATATTTTACGTTATTTCAGCCCACAACAATCTACAAATAATTCACAGTCACTCAACGCAAGAGTAATGCCAGCTGATGAGATCATCACCAGGTAAGATAATAATATTGATCTCAACAGTTAAACGGTCAAATTCGCACTACTTTGCGTTACCATGGTTGAAATAATTACAGAGAGGAAAAAAGAAAAGAATTAAAAAGAACTAATCAGCAACGATACTGTGAAAAACTTCGTAGTAATAATTTGGCGCGCGCACGACAAAGCACTTCACAGCAACAGAATGGACAAGAAATCCTTATTGAGTAAGATAAAAAAATAAACTTTATAATACAGTCAAATAAGGTTTTTCTTACGATTCCAGAGAGAAAGGGACACAAGAATCGACAAAAAAAAGTCTGCAACGGAATCGTGCGGTATTACGGAATAAATCAACCCAGTCAACAATTCAGCAATGTTTATCACATGCGCGACAGAGCATGAGTACTTCACAAGAACAGATTGTGCAAGAAATTATTGATAAGTTAGACAACAACATTAATTTAAAAATGTAGTCAAAAGATTTTCGACTCCGTAAGCTTTTCAACTATGTTTATAATTGCAGCGAGAAGAGAAGAAAAGAATTACAAAATGCACGTGTTCAACGGCTCCGTGAGAAACATCAAAAGGCACGTCAGAATACAACAGCGTCAGAAGAACAGAAGGCGTCAGAAGTCCTTACTAGGTAAAATAATATTAATTTGTATAGTCTGGTCAAATGTATTTTTTGCAATATCGTGAAAAGTATTATAACTGCAGACGGAAGAGAAAAAAAGAATTGCAAAAAGAACATTATCTACAGTTTCCTAAACAACAACTGAATGAGCGTCAAAGTACAATAATTTCGCAAGACGAGATTGAGCAAAAGAATCTTGAGAGGTAAAATGATAATATTAATTGTTTAATGTCATTGAATAATATTTTTGTCATGCAAAATTGTAAACTTTTATATGTTATTTGTAATTGCAGAGAAAAGAGGACAAAAGATTTAAGCAGAGAACGTCAGCGACGATATCGTGAGAAACATCGAAAGAGCACAGTTACCTTACAAGCACAGAATGCTGAAAAAATGTCAATACTTGATAAGTAAGAAATAGAAAACATTAAGTTTGTCCAACGTAGTCGAATAATATTTTTTATACTATAGACAATTGAACGTATTTTAAAATTGCAGAGAAAAGAGGAAAAACGATTTAAACAGAGAACGTCAGCAACGGTTCCGTAAGAAACGTCGAAAGAGTACAAGTAACTCACAAGAACAGAATGCTCAAAGAATACTTGATAGGTAAGATAATAATATTGAGTTTATAGCATAGTCAATTAATATTTTTGATAACATTGTAAACGTTAGAATGTTATTTATCATTACAGAGACAAGAAAAAAAAAGAATTACAAAAGAAACGTCAGCAGAAGTACCGTGATAAGCTTCGAAATAATTTTATTGAACTACAAAAAGAGTTCAGACAACGTTTACTTCTAAAGCAGAACGCGACTACCTTACAAGTACAAAATAAACAAGAGCTGGAAGAAGGTAAACCACATTATTTTAATATAAACGAGTGTTAATGTAAGAGTATCTAATAAAGAGTTTAATCGAAGTTTTAAATATGTTCAGTTAATACCATTTATTACGTTGACGTACAATATTTGAAATTGAATTGAAATTAATTTCATTTTCGCGATTATTTTCTTCAGTGGACAAATTTTTGCTATTATTTTTGCTATTATTTTTGCTATTACAAATACTTTCGATTCAATTCAATACTTTTACATCTGATGAACATTCTATTATAATTTTATCATCTTTAATATTCGTTGTCCGAATTCAAATTTCAGTGAAGATAGAAATTTTTGATGAACCAACTTATCAGGATATAAGCACTACTATTATTCACATAAAGGAAGAGTCGAAAAATGAAAACGCTTTTGTACTTTCCAACAACACTGAAACAATTGATACGGAATGTATTTTGTCTACTATGGAGTTAACAGAGGAAAGACCTACTGAAATTGTCGAAAATGACACAATTATTGAAATAAAGCACGAAAGTATAGAAGAACCTTTGCCCACAATTAGACAAGACTTTGTTTTTGTGGCTTGTACTGATACTATTGCTGTCAGTGAAGCGGAACTGAATGAACAAAATCTAATTACAAATACAGACGTCTGTATTCCAAGTAAGTCTTGTTGAGTTTATAATTGATTAAAATAGCGAAGCTGCATTCTCTGTATACTTGTTCAACTTCTTTCTGTTTTCTATTTCTTGTGTATCCTTTGCAGGATACAACCAGATTTTACCAGCTAGATAGCTTTTTTATGACTAGCGATCCGATTTATTTAGTGGCTTGTTACTAAAAGATAAATTCTTCGAATATTTTAAAGTATAATAGCTCCAAAAAATACTGTATTTTTTCAATTTATTTGAATTAAATTAAAAAGATTTTTACAATATATAAAAATGTTACTTTACAAAAATTATAGGATTATTATAAGATCACCAACAATTAACTACTCCGTGTGAATTGATAAACTAACTGTTTCTTTCAAACTAATTGTAATTTTTTCGATATACTTGACAAAGAAAATAAAAATTATCCTGAAGATTAAAACTACTGATTGCAATTTTCCGTCTATCTAATGAGCATTACATTTTTATCAGTTATCAACATAGTCTGTAAAATCTGTATATGAAAATGAAGAAATAATATCGATAATTCATTTCCCATAAATTTCGATGAATTACTATATTATTTAATATTTAAACTTCTGGATGTTTGTCTTTCAATTAACATCTACTATTGATTATAAGCAGGTGTTCGAGATCAAGAAATCGTAGAAGATGCGTGCCCTTACTGTGGGAAAAGCGTTCAACAGTTGAACAAACACAAACTGACTTGTGACTGGAAATTCATTTATAACTGCACTTTTTGTCCGATGGTGTTAACACGTAGATGCAATATAAAAAGGCATTTATCAATGAAGCATTTATACGAACTTGAGGGAACTTCTAAGACTTTACGTGAGGTTTATGAAGAAATCGTAGCAAAACCAACGGAACTAAACATTACTATGCCGAAGGAAAGACACAAATTGATCGTCGAATTAATGAATGCTAATAATATTGCACATATGAAGGTTCATGAGCAAATTTCCATTATGACGGATAACCAACAGGAATTAATTATTCCTGATCCAATTGAGAATCATCAAGATTCAACAGCTGACACACAGATATCAAACGTTCCTTTTTTTCCACCTAGTCAGACTTTTAAAATACCTACTATAGAAGAGGTCGAAAATAGCAAAATTGATAGCACAGCAGCAACCACGGGACAACAATTAATTTACGTTGATTCGGGCCAAAAAGAAAATGTTCCCATTGTGTTTGAAAAAACAAATGAGAAAATAGATGCTCCCATCGACGTTAACATGCAGAATCAATCTGTTTCTACTAAGAAAACAAAAGGTATCTCTTTTTTATTCTTATATTTTGTAAATAAATTATTAGTGATCTATATTATCAAAATAATATTGAAGTAGGAAAACATTATGTAAAAAAATATATCTATTGCAACGAATGCGTATATAAAACCCATTGCAAAGCACATCTTAGAGAACACTTTATGGAAAATCACTCAGATAAAGTAAATTTGAAATTTCATAGATGTGTAAAAACTTTTCAAGATCAAAAACTTTTGCAAATTCATACAGATAATCTTAATGTTAAATATCAGTATCCCTGCGTGTTTTGCAAGAAAATATTCATGTGCCAACAGAACACGGTAGAGCACTTTCTGTCACTGCATTCTAAAGAAGTCGAAAATAAGAAAGCTGATGAAATTTTGGCTTTAATTGAGGCTAATAAAAAGGTCATTAAAATTTCAAATAAAAATACAGAAGACATACAAAATACAAACGTCGATCCATGCCATAATTTAAAGGATGCTTTTGTTGTTCTTGAGAAAATTAATCTTCCTATCTATGATAAGCTACAAAATAAACCTGTTAATACTCAGAAGAAGGATGGTCAATTTCGTTTCAACTTTGTTCTCTGAATATTTATACTCTACAAGCAATTTATCAATATTAATGCATTAATTTTACAGTGGAAATTAAAAAATATAATTACGTTCACTGTAACGAATGTATTTATAAATCAACTAAGAAAACACATTTGCTAGATCATATAATAAGAGTCCACCCTGATAAATTAAATGTGAAAATTGACGAAATGAAGCATTTGCTTATGACTAGAAAAAAAGTTTTCAAGAGATCAATAAGTAATAACAGACAAGGAAACGTGAATTCTAAATCAAAGAGTAAGTTCTAATTACCATGATTTTTGTATTTTATATGAAAGTATTATTTTCATTACAGTTGTAATTGCTAAATCTGAATATTTATGCGATCAGTGTAGTTATAAAACGTCAAAAAAAAGTAATCTCCTTTGTCACATTAATGGACCACATTCCACAAAATTAAATAGCCAATCTCAACGTTCAAAGAATGAATGCAAGGCGAGATTCAAACATATGTGTTTATTTTGTTTCAATTCATATTTTTATTTAGGGAATATGAAGAAACATATTATGCAACAACATACGTCAGAACTTTTGAAAAAATCAATACATAACATAATTAAAGAAGTAATTGTTAAAAGAATTCCAGTTCAGGGTGAGCAAGTTATAATGTCAAATTTTAACAAATCAACACAAAATATCTTTACTCGTAATCAGTTTGTTTACATCATTGTGATGCTATATATATATATATGTTGTAGATTTCAAAATATCAAAGCAAACAAAATCTAAGCATGTAGATATTGATCCACGTAAAATAAATAGTAAGTTTGAATAATCACATTTTCTTTAATTATAAAATTATAATTGCAGACAATTATAGAACGTTTCATTCAATCATTCATACGTATGAATAAATATTATAAATAAATAAATATTACGTATATACGTAATATTTGTATATTTTCAGCATCCACATTAGAGTATATATTTGTGTACTGTTTCAAATGTAAAAATGTGAAAGCAAGCTTTAGCAAAGTAGGACATCGTTTAAAAAACTGCGAGGAATGTGGTACACGAATGATTTATCTTTGCTCGAAATGCAAGGAGATGCATACGCTTCAATTTGACTTGCTCGTGAAACACTGGAAACAGTGTACTAAAAACTACGAATTTTCGCAACTTACACTTGACAAACTTGAAGTTTATTCCTGCCCTGAATGCTTGTACGTAGGCACGCATAAATATAAATTCGAATCACATTTAGCTCGATTCAAACATAATACTGAAGGTAAAAGTATTTAAGATTGAATAGCTATCAGAGTAACGGAATTTACGTTAAGTTTTTTTCTAATTCATATATATTACGTGTACTGTAGAAAATAAAAATAATAAAAACTACGATGAGGAAATAGATGTGTACGCTGAAGCTAAATTTGCTGTTCAACGTTGCGTTACTGGTGAGCTAATTTACAATTAATCGGAATTTATAAGTTATTAAAACGTTTCCAAAGTTCGATAAAAAATATATACATTTACTGTTTTCGCAAAACATTATTTTCTTGTAGATTTCAAAACGATGACACGACGCTATTGCCCGAAATGCGATAAAATAGTGACAGAAGACATGCAAGAAAGAAAATACGCAACTAAAGGAAGTTGCAAAGTGTGCGAATCTTACTTTCATTTTCAATGCGTTAAATGTAATGTCAACATCAAGTCACATGTACAAATGCGTTATCATTTAAACTCAAGATGTTTTCACGGTGACTATAAATGCACAAAATGTATCAAACGCACGCAAAATTGGCAAGTGATGCGGAAACATTACATGATCAATCATACTAATCGAAAAGAACTTCACTTATGCGAATTTTGCTCATTTCGGAGTAAACACAGAACTAATTTTTTTCAACACTTGAAAAGTATGCATCCAGATCAATCAATGCATATTGTTCCTGGTAACATTAAATTGAAGCAACGAGACATAGATTATGTATGTGATTTGTGCAATTTTACTAGTAAACATAAGTGTTCAATCAAGGTTCATTTGCAAACTGTCCATGGGAAGAAGAACTATAAGTGTAAAATATGTAAATTTAGGACTAAATATGAGGCGAATTTGAAAAGGCATTATTTTATAAGACATAAAAATTATTATTAGATTATTTTTGGCAATTCTTTCGAATACATAAATAGGTGACTCAAGAACATATTTGATCATTATATTTTTATAGCTTAGCATACTAGATTTTACTATAATTTAAAGACAATTATGTGGGAAATGTAATATAGTTTATAATCAAGTAAACTATTAATTTAATAAATACGTATAATTTAAAAACAATGTAGGTTATGTCATTGTAGTTACACATATGGACAATGTTATAAATATTTCATATGCTTTGTATATGTTTGTTATCAGTACACACAAACCAACTTGCACTACTCACAATCAGTCGGTCGACTTGTGTAATGTTTATAGTTGCGTCATACTGTATTATGACAATAGATAAAGTCTAAATAAAGATGTGTTTGTATATTTTTTCACTTGTAGCATATGATGCAATTTGTAAATAAAATTTCTCAGAATATATACGTAGGTTAAAATAAACATTAAATAATATTACCAGGTTACCTAATGATCCAAAGTTATTATTAAGCATGAATGTTAATTATTGTATAATCCAATATTTCCAAACGTGGACTTTAAGTATCTATGGACAGCTCCGATACATCTTCTGATAAAGAAATAGAAAAGTATAGTGTCGAGATAGCTCAAACGCCTTAAAACTGAAGTTTTTTAGTAATTTTTTTTGGAACGAATTTGATAACGACTCAAACAGATGCGCATTACGCATCATCTCTGTTCTCTTCCCGCCTCATAAGCCAAACAAACTCTTTTTGTCTGTAGCGCTGTTATTTTATTTTTTGCGCACCATTACTATTTATTGTAATTTGCTCATTGCTACGAGATGTCTCTAAAATGATGTACATTAAGTAATTTATCTAAAATAAATTATATTGAAGCAAAATTAGCAATCTAATTCATGTTACACATTCCAAAAGCTAGACCGAGCTTTCATTACATGTGCTGATGATCTACGCACACCAGACTTATCAGTTTTACCTCTTCTGAAGGTCGAAGCTAGTTGCTCGCAAAGACCTATTTTCACTGATGCTGAGCCAAGAAAACGATGAAGGACTTGTGATTAGCTGTTGCTAGAAATAAGTAATACAGATAATTTTCGAGAGGCATATGAACGCCGATTAACTCGCAAAGAGGCGCAAACTAATTGTCGTATCAGGCGGTCAGATAATGAGCCGAGCTTTCATTATGTACGATCTTTATCTGCGCACACCAGACTTTCCTGTCATACCTCATGCGCTTCTCATGAGTGCACGTAATGAAAAGCTCGCGGCTTAGTCTCTGGCTGCTGCGTACGATAATTCGCCTGATTTTCGCGATTTCACCGACGAATCTTTGGTTAAATTGCGAGCGCAGCCAGGTTTATGCCAGTAGTATCACTGGTACACACCCCGCGTACAAAGAAAGAGTTTAATGCTAAAGCTGGAGTACAAAGAGGCCGAGTACTATCTAATTGAAAGCCTTTAGAATATCGACTGTGGGGGAAATAAAAGGCTCTTTGATTTCAATAATAAGGATCGAGTTTGAGTTGTCAGGTGACTTATCTTTTGAGTGGAAACCTGGCGGATGGATGTCCGAGGAATTAGGAAGAGCCGGTTGAGTTTTAAGGTTGGGGTTAGGGGTCCTGACAAGGGCCGATTTTTAGATAGGGGAGACATTTAACCGCGAAATGAGGGGGCAAGAAGATGCTCTAAGGCCCTCGCCACATATGCGCATACGCGCGCGTACGAGGGCGTACAAACGCGTATAAGTCGCTAAAAATTTTGATAGTGCCAACAACAGAAAGTTACTACTATTCCTCTAATAACGCTATATTATTGATGGTTATGATACGTTTGTTCCGGGAGTAAGTGTGTTCGTTTAGGGCATGCGAGGAATAGTAGTAACTTTCTGTTGTTGGTATTATCAAAATTTTTAGCGATTTGTACGCGTTTGTACGCGCTCGTACGCGCGCGTATGCGCATATGTGGCGAGGGCCTAAGTGTGGCCAGAATGGTTGAAGAATAGGGGTGAGAAGATCAAAGGAAAGAACACATACGAGCGCACGAGCATGTACGTGCGAAAATGCAGTGGACACGTCGTACAACCCGGTGCAAACACCATCTAAAACAGCCTTGAAAGGAGAACTGGTAAAGTTTTGGAAAGGGCCGATTTTTCTTTTTTTTTAGATGGGGGTTTGCGGATAGAGGAGACCGTCGGCCACGGAACTAAAATTATCTGAAAGTAAAATTTCTGAAGTACTGTCTTTCTTAGAGTATAGTGCAGATGATGGAAGTGAAATAAAAGACAGTAACATAAGCAATAGCGAAATGAGTAGAATAAGCGATAGTAGAACTAGTGAAAGTGATTATAATTTATACCAGTGAATTACTTTTGAATATTATGTATATCTTCGTAAAAGTCTACCAGAAATTTTCCATAACCATTCATGTAGTATCTAGCCAGTATCTTGGTCTTTTATTCTCCCTTTTAGATATTTATAATAGATATTTATAATATACGATTGATAATTATATTATATATAAATATCTATATACTATTATATAGTATATAGATATTTATAATATACGATTTGAAATATTTTGAAACATTTTAATAACATATATGTATCATGATACAAGGTACTATTTATGTTCTGTTTTAATAATAATAATATAACATAAGCCTATTATTTAATGGACTACATAGAGTCATTTTTTATTTTTCTTGTAAAGATTACAATGTTAAATTTATTTAATTTTAAATATTTACAATTATAAAAAAGTACTAAGTTTAGACAATTTCATATTCTTTTAACTCATTTAACAAAACTGATTCATAAGTTTTAAGAATTTATTACATTAAAATATTAATAATTGAATACTTCTATATAATATGTAACAATAATTAATCTAATCAAAATTAATAACAAGGGAATTTTTATTTATTAATTTTACGTATTAAATTACCTGCTGTAGATATTTACATTTGATTGTTTTATTATATAATGTAGTCAACAATAAATATTTTAATGAAACTACATATTTATTTATTTAGTCTTTGAAAAAGGTTTTTTACCCAACCTCATCTATACTTACAGCAGTTCAAGGACGAAGGACAGAGAAGTTTACTTTCTCTCCTTCCTTCGACTTCGAAGTTTCACAAATTGTAAACAATGTAAAACTTGCCGAATAATAGCACATTGCTCACAAAGTTACATTTAAGTGATTGTTTTTTGTTGTAATTATTCTAGAAAGCAAAGCTTAACATAAGTTTTTATGCAAATTGTTTATTGAAAAGTTGTGCTTTCAATATAATTAGATCGCATTAATGTTTTAGAAGATATATTAACCTAATTCTATTTTAGAAATTAACCTACAAAAATATATTGGTTTCTTTTTAAAACAAAGATTGTTAAAGACTGAATCATAATGTTTTCTTTTTTTAAAAAATTATTCAATTTCCGAACGACAGAAACAAATTCTGGCAATAAAGACAAACAAGTCGATTTGGAATCAACTAATGGTAATACTAGATTTGAGAAATAATAGGCAAATTTATTAAGCATACAATTTGAAAAATGATTATGTTTCAATGTCGATAGCAGACAAATATTTGATCTATATATTTGTAAATCCTAAAATTTTCTGCAGTTGTTAGCAACACTTGTAGGTATTGTAAGGATTCACTATGATTTCAGATACTCATTTAAGTAAAAAATTGAAAAGCAATGACAATTATCAAAGAGGTCAATCAAGAAAGTATAGTAGCTTTAGTAGCTTAAATTCTAATAAAACTGCCTTCACAAGTTCAGGTATTTTAATTCCTTAATAGTTGTCTGATACTTAAAATTAGTAGTAATTCATTCAATACTGTTTGTAAGTGAAAATGCAGTCAAACAAAATTATTATTATTATTGATAAAATAGATAAACGTATTATTTTTTAGACAAAAGTCAGTGTCAGTCTTCAAGAAGAGCTGCAAAGATGATTACAAAACTGGCTGATAGTATGTTTTTGCAGTCTGATGAAGAAATCTCTGATGAAAGTGACTATGTAATAGAGGAATTAAGTAAATATAAAAATAAACCAATGAATACACCCAAAATGATAAAAAGTAAATTTTTATTATACAATACAATTGAATACAATATTCAAAGTCATGCTTTGATTTTCTTATGTTTTTCTCCTTCTAGAACCATCTAAGAGAGATTTGAAGCGAACAACAATACGTTTCTGTCAGAAGTGTAAAACACTCAAGACTATTGTTGGTCACGTAACTAAACGAAAGCATTGTGATAGATGCAAAAATATTTTATTTTATATATGTTCTTATTGCAAGGAAAAATGTTATGCTTCTCATAAGGGCTGGTATGATCATGAAAATATTTGCAATTTGAAAAATGCTAGCCTAAAGTTGTTTGACGTAAGCAAAGAGAGTATAATACATCAATGCTCGAATTATGTGAATATTTTTAATGAAAAACCGATAAGCTTTAATTCGATTAAATCTGATAGTTCTGCTAAGGAACAAGATTTAGCAAACAATAGAAATAAAAGAAAAATTGAAGGTAATAATAACAAAGAAGTCATTTTCTATGTAAATTTATTATAAAGGCAGAAGTGCATTTATTAATGAAAAAAATCTACCAATTAAGGATTGGTTTACAGTTAATCTTTTTCTGTTCAACTAAATTTTACATTTTTATAGTAAAACTTCTTTTTTATAGCAAGATCAAGAAGAGTTCACAAGAAAGCTATTACTGCTAACAAACAGATAAAACTTAGTAAGTTTGTTAATAACTTTTATTTCTTCAAACCAACATTAATTAATACAGCATTTAAAATACTTTGTTAACTTCTTACTTTTAATTAAATAAGTTTCTGGTAAATTGACATTAGTTTTATTCTTTTAGTAAGTTATACAAGATGGATAAGAAGATATTGTAAAAAATGTCAAAAGATAGTAAAATTAGTAGGAATATCAAAGATAAGGAATGATGTCACATGCAAAACCTGTAGTATACTATTGCAATTCTTGTGCATTAGGTGCCACACAACATACAACTCCAATGCTGATGTAGATAATCATTTTCAATCCAAATGTTTGCCTTTCAATTATAAATGCTGTAAATGCAATTTTGATAGTACTACTGAGAAGACACTGATGTTGCATTTTAAAGTCCAACATCCACTTATATTGTATTGTGATATGTGTACTTACCATAGCCAATTCAAAGCTAATTTAAAACGACATATTAACAGCATTCACTTGCAAAAGTAGCTTTGTTACTAAACACGTTCTTTTACAATACATTTACATTTACATTGGCACAAGCAAAGTTCATATTCATATAAATAATAATTTTATTAATGATTTATAGTTTTTTACGTTACATTAATTATTTTGATATTGATTAAAAAATTACCACATAATTAAAGTAAATGTTAAACATATAGACAAATGCTTAAGAACAAAAAGACATTTCTTCTAAAATAAATAGTAAAAAAATGACGTTATTTCTTTGAAATTGATTTTTCGGTTTCTGTTAAGGACTTGGATTAATTTTATCTATTAATTAATTTTAGTGTTCTATTAACTTATTATTATTCTATATGAAAAAAATTTTCAGTGCTATTAAAGAATTTATTTATTATTATATCACTTGCAAATACTTTGCTTCCAATAGATATTAAGTAGAGAACTAATATACAGTATTTAGTAGAAATGATATATAAAAAGACTTTCTAATTTATGTGGTAGACATTTATTTATGATTAAAAAATAAAAAATAGTGAACAATATAATTATACGAACAAGAAGTGTAAGTTTTTCTGAGAACATTTAAAGACTTATTATTATTTTATATCTTAAGAACTATATTATTGAAATTTGTGAATCTAAAATGTAAATTTAGGATGAGAATAGTAAAAATATGATATTAAATAATGTATGCAATATAGAACGTAATATTTACTTTATATTTAAATAGCGAAATTTTTAAGGTACATCAAGAAACTGTCTTTTCAAATAAATGATGATCCATATTACTATTCATTAAATTTGATGTCATTAAAAATGTTTATGTTATGCTATTTTAGTTCTTTATAAAATAAGTTTATTAAAGTTAGGTATATGCAAAACACGATGCGTTCATGCTAATTGACTGCATTTTGATATTTTGATCATTTGATATTAAGGACATTTCTTTTAATTATAAAATAAACATTTGATTAATGAACAGTGCTTATTCTTTTTTACATATATTTCTTTTTCAAATGTTGTTCGTATACATATTTAATAACATAAAATGTCTGACTAGTGTAACTAGTTATAAAGATGTATTCATAGATAAATATTTCAAGTAATGTACTCACAAAAATAATAATTTTCTATTTTTTCACAAGTTTATTGTATAAACAATAAGTAAACAAAGCAAAATATATTTTTCCACAAAAAACTAGTATTATCAAACAGTTTTGTTCGACAACTGAACAAAATCCACATTAGACATATTTTGTAACTTAAAAATGTATATTATACTTAAAAATATTTTAAAAAATACGGTTTTGCTTTATGAAAGCTTATCATTTAATTTTTCAAAAATTAAGTAATAATGGCCATGTACATAACTAAAATATCTTCGTTAGTTAAATAATCAATAATAATCTGGCAGCAATGCCGAGGCAAAGAAGGGTATACTAATTTTTCCAAATAATCACAAGCAGAATTAGAAACATAACTTCTAATTAGTGACTTAGCTACATGTCCTTGAATAATATCTTTGTAGCAAGAGAAATTTTCAATTTTAGAATAAATATTGCTCTCCTTGATTAATTCAAAAATGTTATGAGGATTCTCAACCATGATATCGTACAAAGTTATATTATTTTTCAATTTAGTATATTTCATACGATCTATTTCAGTCTCAATTTCTTTCAGTGAATACATTGGTAAATGGTTAATATCAAAATGGTTGATTATTTTTAGAACTCCTTCATCTATATATAATTCACCCATTTGCACACATCTTAAGTACTCTCCGATGAGAATATATATCCAATCCATAATTCCATCTTCAACTATAGTTGGTAATTCATGTAATGATTTTTTAAGAACATGTTGAATATGTTTTGGAGAACCATAATGCAATAAATGAATCAAATAGAATCGTAAATCACAATTATTTGGTAGAATCTGGATACTTCCACATTCACACTCATCAAAATCATGTATTAAAAACTTGAGAATTGTTAAGTTGTTTTCAAATGTAAATTTGAATCCATGTAACAATAATTGCTGAATTATAATCACTACTTGTCGTACTGTGTTTAAATTTGGGATCAAACATGGGTGGTGAAACCAAAGTGGATCGTTATGATTAAATTTCAAATTACTTAATTCGATACCATAGTTGAGCAACATAGCCACAATATTAACACTCATACTTGCAACTGCTAATTCTATAAGAGTTTCATTTAAGTTGTTTTTTGCATTAACATTTATTTTTTGGTTCGAAGTTAAAATCAAGCGAACCATTTCAACATGAGCAGTGTCAGCAAAAGATATAGATGAATGATCAGATGGGCATTTTAGATGTTTGATATTTCTTATTACAAGATGCATAATAGTATCACCATTGCAATTGATAGCATTCATATCAACATCATACTTTACAAGTAACTTAAATTTTTCTAGTGTCTCAACAAATACCATTACATCGAAGAAACATGTTTTTTTAAATGTATGAAATTCAAAGTAATTCTTTGGAAATAAACTCATCAAAGGTGTATTGTTATTTTTATCTTTGGCATTGACATTACTGTCATTTTCTAACAATACTCGTATAATTTCTACATTAACACCATAATATTTTTGAGTGAATTCATAAATACTGCAAGCTAGATGGAGTGGTGTTCTCCCAAATGCATCTACCATTTCCACACTGGCACCATATTCTAGAAGTAATTTTATTACATCTAAAGAACTTTGTGTCACAGCAAAGTGTAACAAAGTTAAGTCCGCTTCGTATCCTTGAAAATCCAAGTACAATGGTGTGTTGATCTCAAAATTTTCATTCAAAAATTTCTCAACAACTGCTGTATTATCCATATAACAAGCAATGTGTAAATAAGTCAATCCATTACTGTCTGCATAATTATTATTGTCATGCATATCAAGCAGATAAAGTCCAAGTGAAAATAAAATATTGCTGCAGTTATAGTAAAAGGCAAGATGAACAGCTGTTTGGCCATTGTCATTTAGAACATCCATTTTGTACTTGTTTTGTATTAAAAACCCAAAGGCATCTTGATGATCTTGTTCGATGATTTTTTTCACTATAAGATTCAACTTGATTTTTGAATCTATACCTTTATTTCTTAATAGTCTATAAATAGTTACTTTCTTATATAAACTTCCATCTTTAAAATAAAAAACTTCAAGATTGGTATCTTTTTCTTCAACTGTTGCTTCTTGCAATGAACTGAAATATCAGTATATTTTTTAATAAATTTTAATCGAACAGATATTTGTACATTTTCCAAATAAATATTCAACTTACTTTTTCTGTAACATAAAAGACATTTTAGACTTTATTCAAAACTCGACAAGACAAAAGATTAATGGGTTCGAAAAGAATTTTGTCACATAAATAGGTTAAATTCGTAAGAGTTTTAATGCTCGTCAATATGATGTATAATATGTATGTATATATAAATAAAACACTTTTTGAGAGTGATAGATTCACGTTAAAGATTGAAGTAAATCAACTTAATTCAATCCATCATAAGTGCTTTTGCAAACTGTAATAATAAGTAATCTTAAATACCGTCATGCTGATTTATCAAAATTTTTCCCGCTAATCGCATACATCACGTGATTATCATACCATCCATATATATAATGACTTCTTCACGCCTTTTAGCGTGGTCTAGCGGTTGCCTTTCACAACCCGGATGAACTTAGAACTTGTGACCGAACGGTAAGAGGGTTCTGGAACTAATTTTTAAGTGAGACGCCATAATTGTATCTCTTCGTTATATATACATATATAAATATATCTACACAAGTTTATGTATTTTTATAACTTTGTATTCGGCGATTAATTGTAATTATTTAAAAAGTATTATTTTGAGACTTTTCCCCCGCTTGAGACCGGGGCTTTTTATGCCTCTATCATTTCTTTCTTTCCTTCTTTAAATTTATTTTAATAAATAAGTCTTCACAAATTATGTAATTGTTTTAAGCCCTTTGCACAGACATCCATTCTTCCCATTCATTCCTCAATTATTTTCTTTGAAGCCGAATAAAAACACTGCTAATAAGTGTTATACCTGTCTAAAATTTGACGTTTATAAGCTATTTTTAACTGCAAACAACTGCGTGCAACAGTTTTTCGCGAAAGTTATTTCCAACAGAACAGGCCAATATCAAGCCATAAGCCAAGCGTACTGCAGCGGAACGGATAGAGCTTCACGCTTTCTGATGAAGGCTGAACTGGTGAAGAGGCTGAAGCGTCAAGCCAAGCGCGAAGCCCTGTTTTTTTCTACCAATTCTGATTCTGTCATTCTGCCACTGATTCTGCTTGCATACTCATTTCGTGTAATAGTATACGTTCAGCTATTCAAAGTAAGTAATGGAAGGTATTTAAATATTTTTCAACTTTAATGCTAGATTGGTACAAACTATCACATTGAAATGTGTCGTTATGAGTTTAACGAACGAGGGAAAGGGATGATAGATTTGCGGTTTTGTACTTTACTGCTTATGTATATGTACTAGAATCTTAATCAAAATACCGCGATATAAATAATTTCACTGTAAAAATTTATGCAAATGAATTAATAACCAACAATAAGTTGGTGAAAATAAAGACAATAGAATCAATATTTGATCACTTTGATCGTGTAAAAATTTTAACAATATACTCTTGCAATATGAAAGCAATCATTATAATAAAACGTAGATGATGTTCCATTGCTTATTAAAGCAAGTCAGTTAGTCGTAAGCAGTTTGTCAAAGGCGAAAATTTATTATAAAAGACAAGATTTCATTTAGAAAATAATATGTTGTCAGTACTTGTAAGATAATTGCGAAAAAAATCATAAACCCTCAATTATCTCACGGAGTCAATAAAAATCCTGGCAATCGTGAAATTAATTCTATGTTTCGCTCGATAGTTGATAGTATAGCAAAACATCAACAAATTACCAAACTGGTTACAAAAGTGTAAGATTTACAGATAAAGTCCTTGCATTTCATAAGAATTGTTACCGTTGCCAATGTGTTTTACATTTTTTTATCAGATTCATTTCTCCTCAAATTATATCAATCTATCATATCTCATTGTTACAAATTTAGTTAATGTTTACGTAAGTGGTTTATTGAAAATATTAATTTGTGAATTATAGTGAAGAGAAATTATAGAAATTATAGAAAAAATTATAAGTAATGTATATGAACATTTCCTCTCAGGGTCCTTACAAACCATCGCACAAAGTTATTTCTAGAGACCTTGAGAGGAATGTTGGCAGCGATGAACAACCGCCATTCTGCAACAACGTCAAGCATAACTCGTAGCATGGCTGCAAGGCAACAATATACATGATTGTGGCCTTAAACGACGGCCGTTTAGGATTTGTTTCGTTGATGTGGCTTAAACTAGGCACGACGAAGTACCATGGTGGAGGGCCTCATCACACTCCAACATATAATGACGTCGTCGTCGCGACAACACCTATACATTATTTTCGTCGGACGTCAAGTCGACGATTTGAACTGGCTTTTAAAGGTCTTTCAGGCTATTGCCGAGGCGTCGATGGACGACCACTATGACCTTGAACATAAACTCTGTCCAGATCGCGTGAACACTGGTCTTTGTGCCGAATGTAATCATTCGTTCCAACGTGGCATCCTTCGTCTTTATGCAACACAGCTGATCCTTACTGCAAATTAGTTGGCATCTCTGCGTTTTTGGAAAGCAATGTACCAGAGATACGTTCAAACGTTAAACAAATAATTGGCTTTTTACTTTGATAAGCTCGATACACGTCCGATTTCTGTTGTCCGACGTCCGATGTCTCCGACGTAGAACGCCCCTAAGCCGTGGATTCAGTAACTGGGGGGACTGGCATTCTCCGGTTATCTATAACAGGGTTTAAGCCAGGAACTAAGTAGATGTGAATAACGACTGCTTTGGAACTCGGTAGTCCGGTGCATCTCCGTGGTTCAAGGGAGGGTTTATCGAGCAAAAAGGGTATTAAAAAAGAGGGAGGGGGAATCTGTTCCACAGTACATACGGTGATCGAATGAATATTAAGTGATGAAATATAAAACTGGTTTTAATCGATGTTAATAGGTCCATCTAAAAAATTAATTAGATTATAGAAAATGCGAGCAATTAAAAATTAATCCAAGTTGAAAGTTATTGAATATTATTGGATTAAAACCCATTAGAATCATAATGAATGTTATTGATTTAAGTAGTTTTCGATAGTCACGTTATGTCTTACATTTTTAATTGATTCCAATTTACATTTGACGAGGACAGATTCACGATTAAAACTTATTGCTTTATTTCTAATCACTTAATTGACTATTTTTAACAAGATCCATCATCTGAATTCGACATGAATTACGTTAAGTCGATACTTGGGTGATAATATATTATATACACCCCTTGGTGAGTATATATAATGCATATATAAGTGTATATAGTGCTTTTGAGAACGTAATAGACCATAATTGTTCGACAATGTCACGACAGATAGATTCGATAGCAATTGTTATCCATAATTATTCTCTTAATGAAAAAACAACGAAAGAAGTAATTGGAACTGAGCAGCTGCGCCGAAAAAACCAAGGCGACACTAGTTCCTCGCGTTGAAAAATATAACTTTCCAGTAAAGATTCTACAAGCGAGACAAGAGATTGTGTACGTACGCACGGCTGCGGCTATCTGCCGCGAGTGACGAGACTTCCTGCTGTCGGCGCTGTACTCGATAGGCGGCGATGTGTGCGCATCTCTGCATATCGGTTTTCCGGATGCCGGCAAGTCCAGCGGCTCTTCCACGCAGCAGCCGCGACCAAGACGACGCATCAATCTCGCGGCCGTATCTGCGTCTCGGCTGCAGCGTTGCGGTGCACGAAGGGGGCGGGAAGGGTCGAGCGGACAAACAATGGAGACGAATATCGCGTCCGCAAAGGCGGCGCAATGGGGGGGTGCGCGCGGGGTGATTAAACGGGCCGCGGCAAGTGGCGTAGTCTATCTGGAAACGCGGATTTCGCGGCGCGCGCTCGGGCGCCGCCATCGGCGCGGAAAAGTCCGCGACCGACGACAATGGGCATCGACGCGCTTACGCCTTCTTTGCATACGTGCATAAGGCCGTCGTCAGTCGACGCTCGGCAGCAGCTGCGACGCGCGTGCACGCGCGCGCCGCCCGCCGCCTAATAGTCATCGATGACCGCGACGTCGCGCTCGGACCGAGCCGCGGCGGATCACAGTGCGCGGAGCCGAGGTGGAGTCCGCGCCGAGCGCCCGAAAGTGCAGCGCGCGCCCGGCTGATCCACGGCCGCGGGCCGAGCTTTCCTCGAGCCACGCCGGCCCACCCGATGCGCGGCGTTTCGCCATGAGCATCGTCATAGCAAATGGCTGCGAGGCGATAAACATTATTCTGGAGACTACGGTGATACTGAATTTTCCAGCGAGCAAAGAGCCGAACCACGGGTCGGAGCGCCTTGGCGAGCCGACGCACTCGAACCGTGAGTTTTTCCCCTCCTGCCACCAAATATTTTTACAAGTCAAATAAGTTGTGCGCTGATTATGCATGGAAAACGGTCGGCTTCGGTCTATGTTAATTTCGTGCAACGCCATAATCGTTCCCGAATGAGCGGAGTTTCGCAGGTCGAATCGAAAAGAGAAAACAACTAAAGAGGCCGAACGAGGGCAAGAGAGCGACATCAGCGAGAGAGCTTTCTGCCATGGTGTTAACTCGGAGAGAGACGTTTCACGCGCGTCTTATCTGTGCCGCGTGCGTGCGCTCACGTAACGTGCAGCGCCGCTCCGAAAAAAAACCACACAGAGAGAAAGGGAGAGAGAGAGAGAGAGAGAGAGAGAGAGACGGAGGAGAGCACATATAATATCTCTCGACACGTGATAACAGTCGCGCGAGATGAACGTTCCGAGAGACACTCAGTCGGCTCTGAATGCCGCAGTGCACGAGTGACAGTTTTCGTCTTCGCCTACATTGCGCGATGACTAGGAAAGCCGCGCGTGAGTCGATTGGATGTGTTCGTTTTACGAGTTTTTGTTTCGCGTGAATCAAGTGCGCAATTAACGAATGTCGACTCGACGGAGTGATCTCGGTGGTTGCTTGAACGAAGCTTGCCCGAACGTTTAAAAGATCATTCAACTCGCGCTTTGCCAATAGTTTTTTCTTGCTCCATTGTTTTCCTTTTTTTTTTAGATTAATCGAGTTAACTTTTATCCGACAATCGTACGTTTGTAAAGTTTGTTCGACAATCTTACGTTCGTACGACGGTAAATGCACGAGAAAGTACGAGGCTGCGCGAATACGCCGGTAATGTTGAGAAAAATAATCTTAGGCGTCGGCGGCGAGTCGATTGACGAATACATCAAAATCGTTTGAAAGAAGGCCGGTGCGTTACATTCCGGGCGCGGTAAATCAACGAAGATAATAAATTTGTTTCACGAACGCGACGTTTCGCATAGCGTACTAACGGCACGGTGGATAGTCGAGCCGAACATTCGTAATATGGATCACGGACAAGAGAGCAGCGTACAGCATTAGCTTGGCGCGGCACGTGTCGCTCCATATACAGAACTCGCACTAAATGAACTTAAATGAGCTGGCGCTGCGGGTGTCAAGCCTCAGCGCTCACTCCAGATTGATGCATCTCTTTACAGAACGCTCGGACCGTCGGAAACTCATACCAAGACTGTACAACAACTGGCAGCGCTGCCCGCACTGCACTTACAAGTCTAGGTTCTTGGGAAATCTTAACAATCATGTTAAATCATGGCACTCTCGTGGTAATTCCTGCACCTCTTCACATTAATGCGCTTGCATGTTGTGCTGGTATGGACGGAGGTTAATTTTCTTTTTTCCGTTGGATGGAAATAATGCAATACGCGAATATAATACAGATCAATACTTTTCAGAATCAAAGACCGGAGGTAGTGTATCCAAAGGAATTTGGTGCGCTGAATTCGAATCCACGCTCAGAATTGCTCCACCGTCCTAGGTTTTTGAGATATCCTAACCTATAAGTGCAAAAAAAACTCTGTTTTTCGCAGTTTTTGGGCTTTTCTTACATCGCGAATTTTTACTCTATTGCAGATCTGAAAACGAAATCCGAAAGAGCAAATCTACTCTTTTAAAAATCACTAGTTAATTTTTTGAAACCGATTATTACAACTAGAGATATCGCGTTTATCGAATAGTAGGACATTTAATTTCAGGTATACATGTAATATAATAAATTTTGCCCAAATGAAATAAGGGAATAAAGTTTTATTTACTATCTCTGAATCTGAATTTATCATGTGATCTATCAAGATACGCTTAACAAGTGTGAAAATTTTTTTCCATATATTACGTGTATACCTACGATGAAACCTACATTTTCTGCTTTCCAATGAACGATATCTCTGGTTGTAAAAATCGATTTAAAAAAATTAAGTACTTTTTTTGCTCTTTGCGATACCGATTCTAGATTTGCAATAAAATAAAAATTCGCGATACGAGGAAAGCCCAAAAACTGATGTAGCGATTTTGAGCCTGGATTCAAATTCGACACGCCTGATTCCTTCGGTTACACTGTGTCTGATCTCTGGTTCCGGATTCACCTGTGTAATTCTAACATTTTGTCAAATTTGAGAAATACATTTATTGTATTTAAGGTATAATGTGGGGGCGGTATATTGGTGAGAATTTTTCATAATGTATCTTGGCTCACCAACTTCAATAGCGAAAATTTAATGTGACGAATAAGTTTTTGTCCCAGCTGTTGTGAAACCATCGGTGATCGAAAAATTAAAGTTTAATGTAATATTGATTCTCCCTCTCAATTTAATTTTTACAGTCCAAACTTTTCCAGGGTAGACTTTGCTCGATAGCGAACGTTTATTCGCGGGTAGATTAGTAAAGCGTTAATATCCGAACGCGTGCAAGCGGATAATAAAATGACGAGAAACACGAGAGAAAAGAATATTGCAAAGGTCAGAGGGTGAGATTTCGCCAGTGGGTTCGACACGGACTCGCGTGTGCCATGGGAAAACAGAAGGAGATTTGTTTTCTCATCGCTGCCGCGCTTCGACGCTTAAAAGTCATACGAATTTCGGCGCAAAACAGGTCGCAAGCGCAAGGGGAAATTCGAGTGGCACGAGTACTACCAGTGCGCGCACTGCCAATACGAGAGCAGGAACAAGCAGCCGCTGCAGAACCACATGATGGCCAGGCACTGCGAGCAGGTGAACAAAGGTACGCCGGCGTTCGTCGACCGTCATCCGGCGACGTCGCCCGGGAGCTAATCAATCTGTGTCCGTCGTCCGCAGAGTGCCCCAAGTGCCACGTGATCCTGAAGAACCAGATGTGCTTGAATTCGCACTTGCAGTACTGCGGGAAAGCGGCCGATCACAGGTGCGAGCACTGCCCCTTCAGGACTCGGTACAAAAACCACTTGAAGAGGCACTTGGCCAACGTTCACACCGACAACCGTTCCATTGGTAAGCGAGACAGCGCGCCAAGAGCAAAAGCAAACTGCACTTTCGCAATGCTCGAGATGAGCGCGAGGTCGCACTGATTGGCGGACGCCGCTGTTCGCAGAGTGCCCCAACAGATGTGGCTCGGTGCTGAAGAACAAGGAGAGCCTGCGCGGACACCTGAACTTCTGCGGGAGCGAGCTGTTCAGCGTGCAGTGCCGCTACTGCTCCTTCCGACCCAAGCGAAAGAACCTGCTGCAGCTGCACGTGGCGAGGGCCCACAACGACCTCAGCAACATCAGTAAGGACGGCCGCTTCGCACGCCGACGCGACGACGAACGCGAATGCAACTGTCCGCACTCTCGTTTCAGCGAACCAGTGCCCCAAGTGCACCAAGAAGTTCAAGAAGAAGGCCTACCTGAAGAAGCACGTTCCGATTTGCGACTCCAAGCGGGTGTTCCAGTGCGCCGCCTGCTCCTACACGTTCCACAAGAAAGCTCTGCTGGAGAAGCACATTCTACAGAAGCACCTCCATCGCTCGGCCAACGACAAGTTCGCGCCGTATTCCCGTAATGTCGCGCTCGAGGGCGAGCTTTTTCGGGGGAGAGGGGCACGGGAAACTGAATCAAAGCGTAATCATCATTTTGCCTTCCCTTCCCGCAGATTGTCCGCGATGCCACACGGGCTTCAAGCACCAAACGGACCTGTCCGAGCACCTGGTCCGCTGCGGCCACGAGGTCCGCTTCCAGTGCTACCACTGCCCCTTCAAGACGCAAATCAAGGACCAGCTGAAGAACCACATCCTGTGCGCGCACATCGAGAGCAACGAGTTTTACCAGATCAACATGAGGAACTACATCGAGAGCCCGGCGTTCGTCGACGTGCCGTTTCATCGACTGTGAGGCCTGCGTCGCGCGATCCCAAATCTGCCAAAGCTTCACGGCCGCGAGAGTACGAAGCGATGCAACGATCGCTCGAACGATCAGCGTGTTGTTACTTTGCGTAACAATTGACGCAAGCGAGGCGAGGAGACCAGATCGCTCGTCGTCACCGGGCGCAATGTTTCGTTTCTGCGCGTGCTTCACAAGTCGGCGCGTCGGGTCGACTCGACAGGCCCCCACGGGGATTGTCGAGGCGACGCCCTTACTTTCGAACAGCAAGCAACGCGATAATCCTCTCTCTCTCTCTCTCTCTCTCTCCCTCTCTTTCCTGCTGGGGAACGGCAATTGCGAATGACAGTTTGGCTCGCACATTCGCTCGAGTGAACGTTGTTGCTTTATTACGACAACCGACTACGTTGATGCTGGCGTTCGGGGGTTGGTCGAGCGCCGCTCAGCGGAACGACGAGAGGACCGCGATGTAGGACACCGCCGTCCTCGTGATCTGCAACGCGGGACAATAGCGTCGGTGAGTCGGCCGGACTGGGGCGCGGCGAGGCGATCGCGGCCTACCATGGAGTAGGTCTCCCAGTTGACCGGCAGCAGTCCGGCGGCGCTGAGCGTGGCGGGCTCCGAGCAGCGCAGCATGACGATCAGCAGCAGCCTCCTAGCGCGGATCGGCATCGCGTACCACTCGTTGCAGTAGCTGCAAACGCAAAGCGTTCGAGACAATTCGAGACAGTTACGCGGCGTCGCGGACGCTCAGCCCGCAGTCGAGGATGCGTTGTCCCGGGCAGCACATCACGATCAGACTGCACGCCACGGCCAGGAAGCACGCCACGTACGGCATCAGGTGCATCGGGTTGTGCAGGTTGACGAGCAGCTGCAACCGATCGAGCCGCTGAGGACTGCCGCGCAACGTTGCTCCGCACTCGCCAGTCGCGCGTCGCATACGTACCGCGCACGCGATCAGCGGAATCTGAACGAAGTACAGCGTGAGCGCGACCGGGTACGTGGTGCAAAAGCAGCCGTTCAGCGTCGCGGTGAAGCTGCAAACGAGAAAATCGCAACGATTGCCGTTAGCCTCGAAATCGACTTCCGCGTTGCTCCGCGCTCTGTTGTCGATCGACGCTCGCTCCAAAGCCTCCCGGTGAAGTTCAGCGACGCCGACCATCCTGTCTTGGCAGTCTTCGCCGCTGAAATTCATCAAGCGATGCCTGCAATCGCGATCACGCCCATCGCGGAAGCGTGAATATCGACGGTGGCATGTAAATTGACAAGTACGAGCTCACCTCGCAATCGCGTACAGCGCGCAGCAGTGTTGACAGGAAGCCAGGTACATGGCGTCCACGGCCATGTCGCCCAATGTGACGAGCGCAATGATGACGGCGTCGCAGACGAACAGCTGCGCGAAGTGCGTATCCGCGTCGACGAGGAATTCGCCGTGCAGCACGTAAATGTTGGCTCGCGGTTCCGGCAGCGGACTTGGCTTGTCCAAGATTTTGGGGATCAACGGCGACAGTGCCATCGACGTGCCGGCCGAGGCTATCCGGACTGGAAAGAGGATAGCGTCGGAGACCAAACTCCGCCGAGCTCGCGCGGTGCAAATAATGTGTACTCGTTGCTCACCGGCGTACAAAATCGACAGCGCTCTGCCTCTTTCGGCATACTCGTCGAGTATTGCCCTTTCCCGCGCGTCCCGGATCGTCGCCCAGTCGTCCCCCAAGCCGTCGCACAGAGCTCTCGTCTGACAATCGGATTTTTTATAGTCGCGGCCCACCTTCTCCTCCGTCGCGATCAGCGCCAGCATCTTGAACCAGTAGATCACCACGACGAGGAAAACGAGGAGGTCCGTCATCACTCTGTCCACGTCCTCGCGGTGAGCTATCGCGCTGACCAGCTGAGGAGCGCGCTCGAATGAGACGTGTCCTCGCCGGTGGTGCTTCGTGCGCATACTTGCCTGGGGCACGGACAGCAGCACGGGCCCCCCGAAGAAGAGCCTCCGCCTGGCGATCCTCGTTCTGTACTCGTACGGCCACAGGCCGGTGAGCACGAAGAACTTGTTGTTCAAATCGAAGGCTCGCATGTCGCCGGCGACGACTGGATGCGCGATTCGAGTTGACTGCCGAACTATAGCGCTCCATCATCTCATCGGGGCCGCGTCGAGAGCCGCGCAAGTTTCGCATTGCGGGCCAACTTCGGTGCAACTTGCTGTGAATAATTTACGAATGCACGGTAGACCAGAATGCCACCTGCGATCGCCAACATTTTTTTTTAATACATATATTTCAGTAGACTCCGGAACATACGTAGAACTGTGCAATCACGATAAATCGATTACGAATGGAGAAGGTAGCGAACGAAGCTGAGCACTTATTTCACTGTAGTTTTTGGCGCTTTTCCGAATAACGTCGCTGAAAAACCATTGACATTCGACGAAACTTTGCTTCGCGAAGGATTCAATGAATTCAAAGATAAGCAAAGTATACATCGATATTGTCTTTTTTTGTAAATCGGTATTTTCATCACGATAACGACCTCGAATCTTTCCGAAGAGTACGCCTACTTGCAAGAGACGACGTGATTCTCGAGAAGCGACAAAACAAAGCACTCGATATAGCGTTTTACCACAGGGGGCTGTGGAGGCGATCCGAATAAGAAATCACGAGCGCCGCGTCGACGGCATCGGATCTCTCGCGTTTCGACCGAGAAAGCTGCAAAAGCCCCCACCTCCGCGAGCATCAAAAGGGATTCGCCGTTGCAATGCAAGATCGCATAACTGGAACTGCACGGCGCCTCGCTGACAGCACAACTTGTGTAATGACAAGGCTAGCAGAAATGGCAGGCGAGGGTGTGGAAGCTTCTAGGCGGTTGCGCTAATGATACGTAGTCGGTCCTCTACACCTGAAACTTGCGGTTAAGCCTACTCGTCCGTGATCGCCGTGCTGCATCGTCTTTACTCTGAATGTTATTCAACGCGAGACAATGTGTATATCCAGAGGTAGGTGTAATACACCGTGCACGCGACGTCGCTTGGCGTTCTCTGGATCGTCTTCTTACAAGAGTACCCGATACAGAGATAAACCGTTGTCCACAGATTGCAAGTCATTGCCAAAGTCTCCATTCTTAAAACACATTGCTATCATCTTGTTAGCCTGGTAGCATTGCGTGCGTGCTTCGCTCGTACCTGTACTGCAACGATTCGCTGCCCCGTTTTGTATTACTATCGCGTCATCGTGGTGGGCGTCCGTGGATTTATTTCACAATACAAAAAATAACCAGTCACCGATGATGCGCTTAGAGATGCGCCAAACATCTCAGGAGCGCCGCTGAAAAACAAAGAATTTCATAGAAAGGTTTTTACTTGTTCGTGGCCGATGACAATGTGAGATTTTTATTGCAGCGACGGTTTCGAAATTGGTAATCTTTGTCCGCCTCACAATGATGCTGAATTGCTTTGAGAAAATTTGAGAGAGCGAAAGCTTTGGTACAACTTGGGGCAAACGTGTTGCGAAGGATAGATACAGACAGTCACCCTTACTCACTTACGCGTCGACGATGTAAACAGAGGATATGAAGTCTTCGATCGATACTCATCCGAAATTCAAGGATTACTTTGCAGTTTGCTCGCATTAGCTGGAAAAACTGAAGAGCTGTGTACCGATTGGACTTAGAGAGAGATAGAGAGAGAACAAAATCTTGCCGTGACCGACAGTAATTGATACCAGCATTCAAAACGGCAACGACAAACGTCCGTAATTCAAAATCGTATTAGATCGCGGTACCTTGCAAAAATGTACTACGCGCGCCGTATATAGAGCGGAAAGTGCTCGCAAAAATGGCTCCAATTATCGGACGATTGACCTAACTTTGCGCTCTTAGATATCCTTCTATGTACGTGAAATGATGAGTGGCTTGGTTTTTCAATTTCTCGAAAAGCTTGCAGCTCCACTAAAGATTATTTGTGGATTTGTTTCCTAGTGTTGGGCATTAGCTACAAATTTCGGACATTGTTATGCACATTCGCAGCACACAGTTACGTACACTTTCATTGGTTATTCATGTCAGTCGAGGCAGGCGCGAATATACGGTCGCGGATAGTGATAAGATTGAGGCGACGAGCGACGTGATCCTTATAATCGTACACGCATTTATACACTTCTTCGCGATATTCTATCTTCTTATTCGTTCGTCTACGATGATTCGCATTTGTAAAATAAAAATAACATTTGATGCGAATACTATTAGCCTCTATATTATACATCTACAATATATATATCTACATTATTATATATCTACAATCATTTTTAATTATACACACTTGTATATTCATTTATATGCAGCATCAGAAAAATTAAATATAGTTTATACCTGAATTGACTTATCTTTCTTGCAACTACATTACTGTTTTTATATTTTTTCCATTTATTTAATTATTTGTTTATTTATTCATTTTTATTACACAACTCTATAAAATAGTTAAAAACAAAAAAAAAAATACCTATATAAAATGAGATATACCGTAAATTATGTAACATAAGTGGAATTCTTACCGCTTTAGGCGAGAAATGACAGAAAATATTTTTTCATTTAAATTCGCATCCAATACCAATTCAACAAAAAAGTAATTTCGCAGAATATCGCGCATCCAAATTTCCCAACGAACACCTAATGATACAACCGAGCGCGAGAGAGAAAGCGCCTCTTTTATACAAGCCTTTCATCATATATATATATAGCGAACGAGCGTGAGAGTTAGACTTAGAGGAAAAGATAATGCTAGTTTTCGTATGACACGTGAATTGATATAATTTTTGTAAAACCCGTATCCTAATAATTTGTATTGAAACAATAATTGTTTGTTTTGCTATTTGATAAAAAAATATTAATGCTTAACAAATTCAATCTATTCGGTATTTATGAGATTCGATGTACGACACGTGTTGTGTCGTATTTTAACCATTTTAACCATTTTACAAGCGTGACAGAACGCTGAGGTAGCTCGCCTTAAATACTTTTTTCATAAATTATGTACGTAGAAAATATTAAATAAGTACACGTAGACGAGGAAAAAATACAAAATATCCTAATAAGGAAAAACTGTAAAATAAGTACAAAGAATAGTAAATACAAATAAGAACACGAAGTTATTGTTTCAAACTACAACTCGCAGTTCTTGTTTTCAAATAATTATTAATTACATCTTTATGTAATTATGTTTCATAATGAATTATCTACATTGTATCTGTTTTTAGCGTGATTGATGCGAATTCCTAATTCAGATATATATATATATAAAAGTATTCCTCTTAAAAATATTCTGATGTAAGTATATATTAATCCTCTGCAAACATAAATAAATATTCTTATTCTGTATTTTCAAAAATAGAAAGTTTTGATAGCATAAGGAGCTAATAGAATCAAATTGCTCAAATCAATCTTTAATAAATAATATACATTATTATTTATCTACAGTTTTTTACGATTTTCAGTTCATCATTTCAGAATTGAACATCCAAAACATAACTAGCGGCATAATGGTTAAACTATTCCTTTAATTATATATGCAGTAGTGAATGAGAATCATGTAATTTATATACTTTCAATCAATTCATAATGCTGACATAAATATAATAATAGTTATCGCACTGTACTTTTAATATCTTTCTCTGAGAAAATTTATACTTTTTCATGTTATTATTATTTTATTTTTTAATTCTAAAAGTTCAATTACTCACCAGACTTTTATAACTTAAAAATTCCAAATAAAATTTTAATCCAGTACAAGTCAAAGATAATTGAAATGGACATCAAGTCTTGCTTACTACTTAATTTTTATTTGCCTCGACCAACGCATTACAACAACATAATTATCAAATGTTTTACTGAAAACTATAACTGAAAATTTTATGTATTATTCATTCCACACTTTAGTTAATTTTTATAATGAAAACTGAAAAGTTGCTTAACTTGTGATTGACTTGCAGAATAGGTTTGTTGTAAACAAAGAAGTCATGTTTTTCTTAAGTCTCTTCAATTTTAAGTCATGCCATTCAAAGTTACTGAGAAATAAAATTAATTTAGCAAATAAATTACTATACGTGCGAGTTCAGATCAATATTTGATTTAATATTAAATATTAATACAAATTATAAAACTCATTAGATGCGTGATCATGACCTCAAATTTCGGACACAAGTATCAATGCATGTATCCCACGAGTTCGATATAAGTATTTTTTCATCTTACCTTAATTATATAGTTGTTGCTTGAACACTGAACAATAACACGATCATGATTATGCTCGAAAAGATGTAGCTAATGAAAAAATCGATCAAATGGTTGGTTTGTACGTAATAGTGAAGTCGCATATACAGCGTACATCCGTTAGAGTATACATTGTCAAATGGGGTATTGCGATTTTACCAAAAGCTAATATTTTTACAGTCGAAATTGTATTGTTACAGTTAATATAGTAATTTTACAATAAAAGCTAAGATTGCGCTTCTTGTAAAATTACTAGTCTCAGAATTGAACACGAAACGGACCTAGTCTCAGAGACGTAATTTTAATAGACGGATAACACATTTACAAGAATTTGTAAATTTACAAGTATCAAACTAGTAAAATTAACACACTTAGTGTCAGAAATCTATTGTAATTTTACTATTAGGTAGTGATTTTACAAAAGTATTTTTTACAGTGTTGTTCAGCGTCTATTTGGTATAGGCGGGGGCGATGCGCGCGCAAACTGGAACATAAAATCGACGCGCCCGTCGTGGCTCAGCTCAGACGCCTGTTTACTCTGTCCCGTGCAGGGTATGTACTACTACTCGCAAGCTCTAAGTTTCTTTTAGTTATAAACTCTTATACTTGATACTTTTTAGTGGAAAAAGTGAATACGACAACGAAGCTTTTTTATTATCATTAAAATTAAAAAATTAATAGTGATTTTTAAAACCTAAAATAAATACATTCAGAATCAGTTTTCATTTTCATAGATTTTTGAGTCTTCGTAAAGTTCAAATATTTCTGATCATTCGCTGTATAATAATTTTTGTTGCAATAAGTAATTTATACGATGAAGTGTTCAACGTTACTATTAAAAATTATAGTGCGTTATTTCGTTAATATTATGAATAAACAAGCATCAAAATAATCTTTCACAAAACCAAGTGATAAAATTATTAATCAAGCGTGAGTGTTTAATTAAAAATAATGATTTGTATAGCATATTCGTAAGGCATTCAGAATAAAAAAAAATTAATTTTTTAAGATTTCGAAAAATTATAGCGTCGTAATTGAAGCACATTACAACAAAGTTTTATGAGAAAAATCTGAATAATAAAATTCCCATTAGAAAATGAAGTTTTAAAAAAGATATTTTTATAATTTTATTTTCATGTAATTAAATATGTCAACAAATGTCAGGTGTTTAGCATTCAGAATACGTTGAGAAGTTTTATTCAAGAAATCTTAATAAAAATCTTTTAATTGAAAAATGCAGTATCTGAAAAGTTCTTTCTAATGTTATTGTTACACCATATAATCCATGATTCAAAACGCATCTTAGCGAGACGTTCATTATACACCCGGAAAAAATTCACGAGAAAGTCGAAATGATAAAGTTCTCATTGAAATATAAAGTTAAAAAAATCTTTTTAATAATTAATGTGTGCATAATCCTTTGCAATTGAATTTAAAATAGTAATGGATAATTTCATATAATACTTTAATATATATTCAATAATTTGTTCTCGCAAAAATTATCAAAATTAATTGTAAAAATTCGTTATAATTCGTTTCTTTTGTTAAGTTGTAATTGGATATAATTCAATAGTGTTGTTTTAAAATTCAGAAATTTACATTAAACTATCAGTTGCTTGACGTGAAAAAATTATTCTTGCTGAGAAACATCTCAATGTTATTAAAAAAATGTGAGAAGTCTAGCGAGATCTTAAAAAATCGTCTGTACTCTGATAACGCGTCACAATGCACTACGAAATATAATCAACGCTTGGGCGTCGTTCAGCTAAAATTACCATGACATGACTGAAAATAGATATTTGAATTTTTGTTCTTTATCTCATCACTGCTAATAGGAAACTCAGTCGGTTGAAGTTCACAATATCAGTGAACGTTATCGACGCTACTGTTAATACAATGTATTATAAAATGAGACAGACTTTATTTCGGTCTGACCTTATCAATGTATATTAGGGAAAAAAGTTATTTAAGAAAAAAGATGAAATCGAGAAACAATCGGGTTACAGTTTTATGTTAAATTTTAGTAAACCTGGAATGGTTACGTAAGACTTGGCCATAAATAAATCAAAATATATAGAATAACAATTAGAAATAGAAGAGACGGCGAAAAGATGGAATATATCTGATTGGCCAATTTTTTTCATTACCACGTACTTATATTGCAACTTTTAACTCAAATAATTAATTACTAGAAGTTAATTAATTAGTAAACGTACTTATTTATGGAACTTTCATATCGATTATTAAATTAGAATTAAGTATATATTACAATTATTCTAGGTACTTAATACTTAATGAATATTTATTGGATGTTTTGATATGCAGTGAATATTGTTATAAAACGAATTTTTTATAATTTTTACATGTTTATAACGTTTTTGGAGAGCATTCATACGTATTACTGTGTAATTAAAATAGATATTTATAGTAATATATTCATTTTTGCAAATTGTTTTGTCACATTAAAGAAACATTACAACAGTTGGCGAGATTTCAATAGTTTTGTCTTCATTTATTTATTAAATTTATAAAGCTCTAAAACCAATGTAATTACAATTCATGTGGATTTTCGCGCCAGAGTTTAAATAGTCTAAAAAGCTGCATTGTCAAATGCGCAATTGTTAATGTTTTAGGTAAGAGGATAACCGAACCGCAAGTATGTCGGACGACGAATTAGCTGCTCTTGTCGTAGACAATGAATCCGGCATATGCAAGGCCGGCTTCGCTGGGGCTGCCGTGTTCCCCTCGATCATCGGTCGACCCCGTTACCAGAAAGTGATGGTCGGTATGGAACAGAAGAACAGCTACGTGGGCGACGAGGCGCAGAGCATGAGAGATATCCTGACGCTCAAATACCCCATCGAGCACGGCATCATCACCAACTGGGACGACATGGAGAAGATCTGGCACCACACCTGCGCGTGGCCCGGAAGATCACCCGGTGCTACTGACCGAGGCGCCACTCAACCCCAAGACCAACCGCGAGAATATGACGCAGATCATGTTCGAGGCCTTCAACAGCCCGGCCATGTACGTGGCCATCCAGGCCGTGCTCTCGCTGTACGCCTACGGTCGCATCACCGGCATCGTCCTCGACTCCAGCGACGGCGTCTCCCACACCGTGTCCATCACGAGGTGGATGGATCCACTACTTCACCACCACGGCCGAGCGCGAAATCGTGCGCGACATCAAGGAGAAGCTCTGCTACGTCGCCCTCGACTTCGAGCAGGAGTTAACCACCGCCGCCGCCCGCACCTCCTTCGAGAAGTGCTACAAGCTTCCCGACGGACAGGTCATCACCATCGGCAGCGAGAGGTTCCGCTGCCCGGAAGCCCTCTTCCAGCCCTCTTTGGGTATGGAGTCCTGCGGCATCCACGAGACCGTTTACAACTCTATCATGAAGTTGTACTACTATCTACCTTGGTATGGTCGACCGTATGCAGAAGGAAATTAATGCCTTGACTCCATCCACCATCAAAATCATCGCCCCGCCAGAGAGGAAATACTCCGTATGGATCAGACCCTAGTATTGTCCACCGCAAGTGCTTCTAAAATACAAAAACGACAAAATCTCTATTACTCTATTTACCTCACATTTCTACATGCTTATTGTTTTACTTGGTGTGGTACCATTTTATAATTTATATGTAGATTGTACAATGGCTCATTCCATTCAAAACAAGTACTGTAATGAAAGTTCATGAAAATTTATTTTCCTGAAACATCAATAAAATTTTGTACGAATAAATACTGGCGTATTTTATACACAGCTATAAACGTAAAAATAAATAAATATTATTTTGTGAAATATGATTAAATTATTCAATTGCAAAGAACTGATTAGATTTTATAATAATTTCAAACCTTCGCGGATTTTACAAATTTTTTACTTGTTCTTTACTATGTTTAAATTTGATATGATCGGGTTACTGAAAATTAAAAAAATTAATTATTTCATCGTCCAGTCAATGAATAAATATAAAAATCAATACGCATTAAGGTGTATATACGATACAATAATCTTCATATGCATGATCTTTAGATATTTACAACAGAACTTTAATTACATAGAGAATGACATTGGACTGTAACATTACCCTTACATTACTTATCTTTTGGCATTTTATTGACGAACTTAAAATAAATGTTATTTTATTTCAGAAAAGTCTCATCTATTAAATGATTATCAATGAAATGTAAAACTTACTTAGGTAGAAAATATCTAATTGTAAGAAATAAATAAGATAGATTTATATGTCGCCTAGATATTAATATAATCAAAATTTATAAATATAATTTATATATATAATTAAAGTATACATAAAAAGCTATAAAATAAACAGCACTGTCGCTTGAAGTTGCATTATTTCGAATGTTTTTTCTGTAGATGCATTAATTCGTACGATTCACGTATATATATACATACATGTATATATGTAATTTAAGTGGGGAAGCCCACTGCCGTCGTGTACGAAAAAACCCAGGCAGCCCAGGTGAGTGCGTGGATATACTTGTGTATGTGTGTCCATGTGTGTGTGTGTGCGTTGGTGTCGAAAGATATTTTCGCCACAGCGATATCTAAAAAAGAATCATGCTCCCGAGTCATGCTATCGATAATCATCGTTGAGTAATAAAAAAAAAAGAAAGATCCGGAGGATAATGGCAAGTTCCTCATCAGAAGAGGTTAGGAGTGAGTTATCTCCGTCAGCGCAGCTTCCTCTTAAAGGTCAGATTGTTTTGAAACTCGCAAGATTCTGTTGTATATTTTCTTTCATGATTCCGAGGAGTATTTGCTTGCTTGCACAAGTATGCAGAAGTGCGATTAAATATACTCTGGCAATTGTGTACTGTATATACTTGACAATGTCAACAGTCAGTGATGCAACTTGCTAATATTTACCTGTTTAATAATTGGATCAAAGGATTGACTTTTTGACTGCTGCAAACTGCAGTGCTTCTTTTGTGCAAATAAGCAATGCTTTCATTCTTTACATTAATTAATGTTTCAACATTCAGCTGGAATGTTCGTTCTGTTGAATAATTTTTGTGTGCGAGTGATTTGGAATAATGTTTTTGGTTAACTAAATGTACGTGTCAATTAAATTACATTAAGCATCAGGCAGTCACTATACAGTTGCCATATTATGATGAAAATGCTAATCAACAAATATAATTTTAGGAAGAGAACCTGCCATGGTATCATACGAGGAAATAGCTCAAAAATTGCTCAATGAAAGGCTACTTCTTACAGCTTTGGAACTTCATGCTGAGCTCTGTGAAGCAGACAGGGAATTGCCTATGCTCAGAGATTTTTTTTCCAATCCTAACAATTTTGAATGTTTGAATATGAAACCAGAGCCTTGCTTATCAATAGGTAAGAATCACCAACCTATCTAATAGTTTTTAATTGTTGCAACAATGCGTAATTTCAAAATTTTATTTTCAACAGCAAGATCATCCAGTCAAGCAACATTAGACTCATTAGATATTTCAAGATACTCTGAGGATGGTGGTGGAATCGACGAGAGAGTGGCAATCCTTGAGTTTGAATTGAGAAAAGCCAAGGATAATATTAATTCTTTACGAGCTAATTTAACAGTAGTTACAGGTAAATATTCCTTTGCGAACATTCATTAAACTTGCAATTTCAAACTAATTACGTACTGTAATTACAGAATCTGAAGTGAGTACACCAGATAAAAATTCAGATAAACATCCACTTTTGGATCACCCGATAAAGCCACACGAGCAAAGAGCCATAAATTTCTTAGTCAACGAGTACCTCCTAGCCAACTCGTACAAACTCACGTCAATAACGTTTAGTGACGAAATTGAGAATCAAGACTTTGAAGACTGGCAGGATGTAGGTTTAAACATACCTAAGCCACCAGAGCTGCATCAGATTTATAGAGAATTCATGAGATGTACAGGCTATGATAAACCACCATCTTGTGATATTGGAGTGCAGACTGATGATTACGAAACTGATAAAGAAATAGAACTGAGTAAAGTAATTAGTGAGATGTCTGATGAGATGGAGAGGTTGAAGCAGCGAGCTAGTGTATTAGAGCAAGAAAAGAATAGTTTACAAGAGACACTCAACAGTAATAACTTGGCTAACTTGGCTAGTAACAATGCTGAGGTATGATATTGATTTGTATTAATTTATCTGTTGAATTTATTCAATAGATTTTAACTAATATTTTAGAATATCATTAACCGAATTCCTAACCTTCTGTAAATTGTAATTATTTGACTGTTTAACTTTTAAGCGTTTCATTTTAAAATTAACGAATTAAGTCTTCAATTACGATAAACTTTTCATTATAATTCATCTCGTTGCATGCTTATAAAACGTGTGCAATTATTTTGCTTCTCTTCTCCAAAAACAGCAAGGCAGCTCTGGAACGATTCCAACACTCAATTCAAGCTCGACGACACCCGACAAGTTTGAGATGTTGGAGACACCCTCGACATCACAACCAGCAAACAATGTAACGCCTGCTGTAGCCGAGGAAGACGACAATGCATCTATGGTCGTTAGTATCGGTGAAACAGAGACGAGCGAAAGAGATTGGACGAGGATACATTTGTCGAAAGGAGATTTGATTGACGGCTCTGGTGGCACGAACAATGCACCGTCCAGGTAAAATAAACTAAATTTTTGCGAATAAAAATTGGTTATTTGTTATTTACTTGCTATTCAGAGACATTGTTTATTATTTTAGTTACTATTTGTATAGAAAAATTGGCTAATTTACTATTTAAATGTTGAATATTAAAAAATATTTTTTATAATATTATTAATCAAATATGTATATTAATTGTCTAAATTCAAAAAAATATTTAGAAAAATAACAATTCGCATTTAGCTTGATCAACTCTGGTCGCAAATACAAGTACTATTCTCTCAAAACACGCTACAAGCTATTTGTAAAATGATATAGATTGTCGGGTATACGCGACTCTATTCTCAATCGTATTCAATCGTTTTCAATCCCAACGAATCTGACGCAACGCTACAAAAGTATCAGGCACACATGTTACGCGCGGAGGTATACTAGGCGCTGCCGCGTCGCTCTTGCAAGTCGATGCATCGAATCGCTTTCAATCGTAACGAATGCGTGGCTGAGACAAACGCTGTCAGGATAGCAGGAGCGTTAAGGAGCCTGGAATAAGATTTTCTCATCATCGCAAAATCGCTTTAATGCAAAGCTTGCGGGGTTTCAATCGCTTTCAATCCCAACGAATCTTCACGTCGACAAGACAAGTATCAGGCAATTAGGACTGTACAGGAGTTGTCATCAAACAAAACGTAGATTAAAGTATATATTTTTTTGCAATGAAAAGGGAACATTGATCATTTCAATTCAACACTGAAAAAGTTAATACTTTCTTAATTTTTTTATGATTAAAATAAACAAACATATTTCTCATGTAATACAAACTTTTACTGGCATTGTTTTAATCTGAAATTCAAGTTACGTCGAATCATCCATATATTTCTTTGTAGTCTCTCAATGCTATTGAATCGGTTTCAATCGGCATGAATTGTCCATATGTGAGAGTAGTATTAGGCGAACAGAATTATCTAAGAAGTGGCACGTGATTTTTAATCGATTTGAATGAGACCCAATCGCATTCAATTTAAATCTATTATTAAGCTTAGATAGAAATTACGCGGAACTTTGATATCTTCTTGGATAACGTATTTGAATATTTTTTTAGGTTTTCTAAATATCAAAATCAGTTAGTATAACAAGAAAATATTAAAATTTGCGCTTTTTTCAGATACTTACCATCGAGTTTCCGACGCGAAGTCCTCAAGTACTGTCAGATCCCAATTCCACCGCAAGCTTTTCAAATAATTGATGAGGCGCTGAAAGAAGGCGTAACTCGCGACAATCTTCCCGAAATTGCGGCACATACTCTTCCACGAATCATCCCCAACGTCGTGTTGAATCGCCGCGAAGAACTCATACCACTGATCCTAAGCGTTAGCCGATTACAAAGCACCACCGAAGATAAAGAAAAGTTATTACAAATGGCTTTTGGATTACAAAAGAGGCCGCACGAAGAGGAACGTCAAATGGTACTGGCTGGGTTGATAGCATTGGCAAAGCAAGAGAAAGAACCAACCGATAACGAGGATGTGCTCAACGTTTGTTGGGAACTCAGTCAACATAAGTATCCTGAACGTAGATTGTTAGCAGCCGAATGTTGTGCTGCTTTGGCTTTGTACACCTCGAGTGGAGTCAGAAATTCGTTAATGATTTCTATGTTGCAACAAATGCTGTTAGATGATAAAGAACCGGAAGTCCGAGCTGCCGTTGTCAAAAGTTTAGCCTTAGTCGTGGCACTTTTGGACGATCCCGACAAGTATTTTCAGGTAAGAAACAATAGTATTTTTAATGCTTTTACATTTTTTGACTGATGATCTTTCAGTGCGAGGAGTTGGCGTTAATGGCAATGGATGATATATCACCGGAAGTAACGGAGGCAGCGAGCACAATACTCATTCCAATTCTCGCGCAATGGGCATTGTCATTGAAAAGATTACATTCTCATCTCATACCAAGAATTATCGAGAAAATACATAGCTTGATGAAACCAACCCATCCGCCGGGTTTCTTTGATGGTAATCGTGCAACGATTCTCATTACTCTGCTGAGATATTTGTTACCACACACGATCATTTACGTTCTCGATACGGAAACTGTGAGGGGAAAAATGCAAGAGAGTTTGTCTAGCCAACTACGTGAGTGTTTTAAAGTTTTCGGAATACGGTTTCAGAACTGAAGTAATAAGTAAAAAGAGTATCTATATTGTAGCTCAAGAATTTACGAATCTCTGCTGCTTACCAATAGTAACTCCGAAGATCTTCTATGAATGCGAAGTTGAATTAGGAGTGTTAATCAATACGTTCTTATTGAATACCTGGGATGATTGTACGTGGCCTGAAATAGAATGGTTTTGCGATAAAATGTGAGTAATGAAGAACCTTTCATGTGAATTAAGAATTTTGTTTCACGTAAAGGTATTCATATTTTTCTGTAGGATTCACGATTTAGCCGAGATTGCAATGTCTCTAAGCATATCACAACACACCACAGTTAGAGAATTTCTTAAGTATTTGCAATCGACGTGCATGGGTTTTGGCAGATACATCGCTCAACAGAAGGTCAGTATTTATTCTTCATCGAATTTTAAGGTATTCGCCGCAATAAGTCATTCACTATTGATTTTTTTGTAGATTCTGCCAACCTTCAAACCACACGTAGACTTCCTCGATACCGAATTCCGTGATATGAACAATAAACTAACGAGTCCAGCGCTCATCCCCGCTTATATAACAATTCTCGCAACGATTGACATCGACGAATTTACCAACGCGCTTAAACACTATCTCTTCGCATTATCAATTCGCGCGGAAGAATTAGAAGCATTAGAAATTGTTGTGGTGAATTTGTCCGCTCAAGAGCTATTCCAAGAATACGTACTTTCAGCTTTATGGGATGGTGTTGTGCATCCAAATGCTAGTGTCAAGCGAGCTACCGTTGCAATGTTTAGTGCAATTGTTGGTCAAGTTTCGATTAGAACGTTGGATATCAGAATAGCACCAGCGATTGTTACCTTGGCTAGTGACACTGACATGTGAGTATTTTATAAGTAAATGATATCAAATTACGTCTGTGACGATTCAATGTAATTTTATATTTGCAGAAGCGTCAAGGGAGCTGCAGTTCAAGCTTTAGGCAAATTCTTAATGGAAAGCGAAGCACAAGAAGCAAAAGATAAGTCACGACAGTGTATTGAATCAATATTACGAGATCCTCAGGGTGTACCACCTGCTTTGGGTGCAACCTTAGTGTTAACTTTAGCCACTGTTGCACCTTACTGTCCGCAGAATTACGTAGAAGAAGGTGAATTTTTTTAAAAACGTTATATAAGATTTTATAGAGTAAAAAATTAACATCAATTCAATTTTTCAGTAATCGCAACGCAACTAACGGGTATAACAGCCTCAGCTTTGCAGCAACAGCACTCTCGAAAAGTTGAACTTACGAATGCTCTCGTAGAAGCTTATTCGGTCCTCGTTTACTGTACCGTCAGTAACCAATGCGTGACTAACACTATCCATCCTGGTCTCAAATATCTCGAGAGTCTTGTTAATCAAATAGTACCGCAACAAAAAGATGCTGTACGTTCGTTACTTCGTGAAATCGACTCAAGAGGTATGGCACCAAAAATGGACAGATCAGCATCGATGGGTGAACGTTTGTCGTTAAGTTCGGTTAATGTAGGTCAAGGCGTTGAAGATATGAAACAAAGGGTTAGTAAGATGTTCCAGCAAAAGAGCTCACCTGGCTCCGTATCTGGACTGTTTAGAAAAAAGTGAGAGTTAAATTCAAATAACTACAAAAGTGGAATCTCACTGATAAGAGATACAAATTGTTTGGGATTGATTCTCAAGTTAGCTTTTAGAGTGAAAGTTACTTTATAAAGAGGTTGAATTGTTTACGAAGGAAGATACTGTAACGAATTATTTTTCATACTGTTTTATAATCCATGATAGAATATATTGAGTAAGAGCTATCTTGAGAGCAATTGAATATAAAATTAATATTTAGCCTATTAAATTTAGCCTATAAAAAAGTGTTTTGTTTTTAACAATCAAATTGAAATTTTATTACATTAATGTATAAACTCTTCTCCGATTGAATGTTAATCATTCCAGGAGTAATAATTCCATTTTATGAAAATATAGCTGATCGTTATCGTTAAATTTGTAGTTTCATGACCATTCCATTTAAGAAGATTCTCTCAGGGTAGTTGAAAGCATTATTATATTTAACTAAAATGCTTGTTGAAAAAATATCGAATATTTTATAAATGCATGACTATAAAAACGTTTAACACCAAAATTTATTAAGACTTTGTAATATTGTCAAGAAAGAATCTTTGTATATTGTGATTCTATAATAAGAATTTAATGTTATAACGCACACGTAAATCTTATGACATTTCATGACTGTTGAAAAAAAAAAAATAAAAAAAAAACAATCGCCTGCATTATTGATAATAGTTGAAGGTGTGTATAAATATTCCGTACTTAATACGAATGCGTGTACATAAAAAAAAACTGCACAATAAGAGTTGGTAGGTTAAAAAGAAATTAATTTTATATCGACGAATGAGATTGTAAATATATTTTTTAAACAATGATTTTTAACGAAATTATAAATATTTTTTATAGATGATAGAGAGCACCTCTTACATATATACATATTTTTCACAAATGGAATGTAATGGTAAAAGTAATTATGCAATAGAATCGAAGTAGCTCATTATCTCATGGATTATAATAAAAAAGATTTAAAGGCTGTTATCAGAGTAACTAAGATATCCAATTGTACAATATGATTTTTATTCATCGTTTTGTTGTGTAGACATTTAAGAATATTTGCGATTGCGTGCCTTTTTTAATATATATACAAATAATGAATTGTATGATGAATAAACGAACGATATTTTTGTATAAATTTTGAAAAAAAATGTCTATATTATGTTAAGCACTTTAATTCCCTTCTTGAAGATTCAACTGTACAACGTGTTTTAATATTGATTCAGAAAATAAAAAAAGGAAAAAATCTTCATTTAAACACAAAAGTTTTTTTGTAAGAATATTGTTTTATTTTCATAATATATACAATTCTTACGCACGGCGCGTCGAACGCAAATATAGCCGGCAATAAATAAAAATATCCCTTTATTCTTTCTCATAGCCTTTCTCGAAAATATTTTTTTAGAAAAGAAAAGGAGACAAAAGAAAACGAAAATAAATACTGAACAACGCGATGAACTCTTCTTATTACAAAAAACTTCATCATATATCATTTTTCGAGTATTAAATACTGTAGGATTGTTTCTTGTTCAATCTATTTAGAAAAAGGATTATGTCTCTATTAATATATAAGCTACGGTGCCTACGTCCTTTTGTTTTTTTCGCACAACACATTCGCTTTATATCGAACGCGCGTCTTGGCCGGTTTTTAGCAACTTTTTAATGATGCGGGACAATGATTGTTCCTACAGAAATATAACTTCTGCTTGATGGAAAAAATACAAGGTTCTTAAGTATACAAGACGTAAAGTGTAAATTAGATAAAAGTTAACATATTTACAACTTAAGATATTAGTTAATGATTAAAGATATCCAACATAGTTGTATGTTTTTTCCCATCCGAAAGACAAAAAATAGTAATATTTAATTTCCAGATAGCTAGTAAGTGCAACAAACGAAATATATTGTATATAGTTAAACGTCAAAACTCAACATCTTTGTATGCAAATAAAAAAATACATACGTTAATAACAATAATTATCATCTTTCTGCTATATATACAATAATAATTCTCTCTTCTTTCCATTTATTATCTATTTATTTCAATGAAAATGCACTATGTGTTTTATCTATTTACATGACTGTTGTGAAAACACGCCTAAAAATGCTCCCGAGAAGGGTCTTTCTTTAATTAGGCCGCCCTTTAAAAATTGCAAGTATATATATGATCCTTCTCTTTTTCTTTTTATAGTAGAACGTCGCTTCGTCGCTTATTTGAATGTCTTTTACTCCATAAAAAAAAAAGAAAAAGAAAATAATAAATAAATAAAAATACAACCCCGGTAATGTTTGATTTTACTCGTCAATTTCTCACTATCATACACAGTCACTCGTTCGCAAAATTGACATTATACATATCCAAACAGGCGAAGTTCGTCTGTAATTGACTCGAATCCATGTTTACGCACTACAAATCAATACACGAGAGTAAAGATAATTAATAATTCTAAACGAGTTGAGTGAAATTGGGAACCTCTTGTACAAGTGGTGAAGTGGTCGAGGGTATGGCAAGCGAAGTATCCGGGCAGAATAATCGATGCCGACTCGAAGACGATGAGCACGGAGGACGTTGTGATTTTGGAAATAGACGCTCTCAAATGCTCTTTTTTTTGCGCCTCGCCTCGTCGCACGCCGCGAATAAATGCTGATACTCTGCTCGTGTACTTAATACATTCAGCACCATTTCTGCAATCCAACAAATTTTACATTTATATCGATTTGTTCGAAGAAGTTGAACGATAATAATTACAAATACCCACCGTGGTTAACGAATGTGTATTGATGCTCCCTTTGCATATGATGGAAGATCTTATCAGACTCGTCGCCTTGTATGTTTAGTGCTAGTCGCAATGCTTTCCTCAATTCTTGGACATTCAGTGTGTTACTTGAATTCGAACTGCAAACCTGCAAAAAATAAATCTAGTTGAAAAATTCTGTTTTCTTTTTAAATCAGTCACGGGTCTGTTGAAATCAAAACGTACTTCAAAAGCGATCTCCACGAGATCGAGTTCCGTGTTGGCATGTGCCATCGCCATCACCGTGAATATGTACTGTTCAAAGTCGATCGCTCCACAATGATGCTACAAACGTACAATTCGCTCATTAACTCAATGTTTTCTTGTAATCTGTCTTTTTAATTAACGTATTTTCTTGCTTTACAAATCTTATACCTTATCAAGAACTTTAAATAACAGATGAGCTGTGGCGTTGTTCTCGTCGAGACCTAACAACCGTGTGAAATCCTGATAGTCAACCGTCTCGGGAAATCTGTGTGTCTTTCGTCGTACGAGTTCTTCTTCGGTATTGTTTTTGGCCAAACTGAATTCAATAATTAAGTTATATTACATCGACTGTCGAATTAATTTTAGCTTATTCTTTCCATACTCACTCGAGTTTCAAACGCAACTTGTGCGCCTCGATGATAGCTGCGGCATTTGGTATGTGTAGCTGGTGCGCTTTGTTGATTATTCGACAGTCGTCGTATGTATAATCCGATACCGGAATTTTCAATGCTCTGCGAGTAATTGTTTTTCATTGACTTCTTCTTTCGTCGAAGAAATAATTGCATTTGGAAATTTTACTTACTCGGCCATAAGCCGTCGAACGTTGTTGGCGTAGAGCTTAGGATCTAACTTTTCAGCTTCGCTTGGCTTGTAAACCGGTAGGAATTCAATTTCGCAGCTGCTGTTTAGTTGCGTTAAGGTTAGCCATAATAACTTCAGCCTATAGTATTTTAAGCACAGAGTTTTATAACATTATCTTTCAAGTTCCGAAACTCAAAAAAAACCAATGAAAAAATACACTTACGCTCCAGGACCCTCCCAAGTCCAAGTGACAGTGTCGAGCTTGTTGGGATACCTAATGCAAACTGGCTGCACCGGCACTCCGGGGTAGAATGCACCGGCCTTGAATGTTATCAGACACGAGCGATTGGTGCACGTGCCTTCCGGGAATATCATCACCTGTAAAGTAACGAGGTAGAGAGAAAGTGTTTATGAATTAAAATTGGGTTATTGCCGCAGCAATGACTAACGAATGTCACGGTCAAAAACGGATATACCTCATTGACCTGCTTCTTTTTCTCATTCAAATACCCGACCTTGTTTCAATATTTCGAAATTCAAAGCTGCTCGCAGTTTTTGTACTATGGAGGGAATATAATGATACAAAGTGTCGGTATACCTGAGGCCAATCTTGTTTGGAAGTAGCACGTTCAATGATCTCCTTAACAGTATTCTGCCTTGAGTTCGGGTCATCTCGCCAGACGTACACCGGCTGCGTGTAATTTATTAATTCTGCAATTCCGCAGGCAAAACAGAAAGTACACTGTTATAACAACAAGTTTACAATGGTATATCTCAAAAATGCTATCGTCTCGTTTTCAACGATGCGCTCACATACGTCAAATGTGTGAATGGAATAATATATAACTCTGCTTTGCTCGCGACGATCGAACAATAAATAAATGACAAAAAAGCTCCCGCGTGAACACGTACTTCCTAAAAAGGGATTCTGTCCAGATTCTCGTCTGACGATGATTGATGGGAATCCCGTGACGTAGACGATGCCGCCGTCGATGAAAGTCGAATGTGGTGCGACCACGAGAATCGGTGCTTCCGTCCGACTTGCTTGCTTGCCTTTAACGATGATCTTCATACCACCTGCTTGATATGTGTGTCTGCCCAGCATACACAGATATGGAACCACTTTGCTACGAGAGTACCGACACGATACATATTTATTTATCTGTTTATGTTTGCTCGTTCCTTCTGTTTTACCGACTCTGACAAGACGATAGTTGTAATCGCGTCGGTAAAACAGAGCTACGATAGCATATTGATGGAATTGAAATCTACTTGGAAAAGAAATGATCATATCAAGATTCCAGAAGATAATTTAGAGTTTTTAGAAATCATGTGTCATTCTGTTTATTTACAAATTATCCGTATATTCGTCGAGTGCATCTAGATCAAGTACAAGATAAGGTTTTGTTACAATTAGGACCTGTTAATGAAAGCATAGTTAGTAAGTTGCTTTTAGATCTGTTAATCGATATACGTGTGGGTGCAAGTAGAATACTAGGTTATGTAAACTTATATTATCCCATTCACCATTTTCGTATATGTACATATCGTTCGTATTTTATATTTTCCGTAAGTATCATTCAATGAAACGATGATCGCAATTGCATTATCAGTTAGTCACAAATTCGTTTCTAAATTGCACAAAAAATACCGCTGCTACCAATTAATTACACATTCGCAGTTCTGTTTACGATGGCAATGTACAAACAAAAGAATGTTTTTCTTGTCAGCTAAAACTCGATAGGCCGCAGAACTTGATCAAAGCTCTCTAAGGCATACGATCGACTTCTCAATTTCTGCGACTTATCGCGCGCCACTGAAAAGAAAGCGTTAATTGATGACGAAGAGGAAACGTACTGCCGAAGAAAGGAAGCCGGCTGACCTCGGCCTTAGCGACGATGCTTGGGCCGCCAAGGTAGACGACCGGCAGCGCGTCGAAGAAGGTCGAGTGTGGCGCGAGCGCGAGTATCGGCGCTTCCTTCTGACCAGCTTGACGACCCTTTATCTTCAAGCAGTGAAAGCCACCGCAGATGAAGAACACCCGCATCACCCAGCAGACCACCACTCGTAAATCTCTATGTTTTTTTTTTGTTTTTTTTTACATCTAGTTAGTTGCAGAAGGTTTAGACTTGGGTGCTCGCATGCATGATTGATTCTACAGAAAAGTTACTATTACAGAGGGTGGACAATGCAGAATGTTATTTTACCGACGTGCTGTGTTATCGGCCAAGTGCAATTTTATAAAAAAAAAAGTAAAAATTGCGTTTTGTTGTTATTGCAAAAGCACGCTTCTGGATCAAACGGCAGAAGTGTAAGTGGTCGTTAAATCGACGATCGACGGCACGTCGTAAAATTGATCGGTAGAAAAGACATCGAGTGTCCCGCGCGAAACTGCCTGAAAGCGCAACATCCCAAGGCGCGCGAATGGATTTACGACGCAGCGCGCGTCACCCGCAAGACGGAAGAATTATGTAAAACGGCATTGGCTATATCGATCTTTCGTTTAATAATTCAGGCGCGAGAAAGTACCGTTTCGCTGTTTCCTTTATTTTTTTTTTTTTTTTTTTCATTCCGCCGACTTCTCCGGCATTTTCAACGCGTCACCTGCACCGCCTGAAGGAGGAAAAACAGAATGGGGAAAAGTGGACTCCTCGTGACTTCCGTCTCGCTTCTTTCATTCGAAACCAAATCCTCCGCGCCGTTAATTTTCACTCTTTCGAGCGACGTTCTTCCGTGAGAAAACAATTTCACGAGCGACGCTCGACTCGGCCGGATAAATAATTGGCGGAGGCGCGACGTGGTCTGAAAACTGAAAGTTTCGCGCGGTCGAATCGCGAGGGGGACGCTGAAAAAGTTGAGTAATTGCAAGCCCACGTGCACGGGTACAGCTGGAATAATCATCGGCTTAAGGCTGCTCTACTGCGGACAACGGAAGCGAAAAAGAAAGACGGGCGCTTGAGATCGAAGTTGGGAGATCATGCAGTTGCAGCTCGACGGCGCTCTCGAGAGAGCGAGTTGCGCTTTCGGCTCGTTAAAGCTACGTTTGAGCGGAGAAAGTTGGCGGCCCTGAGGGCACGCGCGCGAGAAGAGATCGAAAAGACTCACCGCCTCCATCCCTTGAGGGGTTCCCTTCTGAGGTCCTCTTCGGTGACGCCGTAGAGCCCGACCGAGGCCAACAGCCAGGCGACCACTACCAACACCGTGATCGCAAACAACCTGATTGGCAAAAGCGCTACCGTTAGGAAGGCCAGCTGCAAACCAAAACATTGTCGTTTGCTTAGAGGCAACTTCTGTCGTCGGACGTTCGTGTCTGTCCATTTCAAGTTTTTCAACAACATGGTCTATAGTCGACACACCGACGCGTCGATGAAAATCCACGCAAGACTTTTATTGCCATCGCGAGAAGTCGATCGATGAACTACACCGTAGTACGCCGACTGCCGTTACATTCCCGGACGCTCGGCCTCTCATTGTCCTTCGATTGAGCGTGCGATCGCCGCGAACAAACGGAACTCGCGTCGGGCGCATGGTCCAACGATAGAAGCGCGAATCCAATGGGATTTATCGGACTCTGTACTTTAGATTGGATTACAGCCGATGGATTGATTGTCGTCTCGTTCGTAAATGCATTTTAAGCGTTTCCATTCCAAGCAATCGTTATCATTCGACGTTGGCTACTGGCCGGTCTCGCGAAACTATCGATTTCCAAAGCGGCAATGAATCACGGATGACCATAAGCGAGGTAACCGACTCGGACGAGGATTTAACAGAGATCCCAGTACACTTTCGTCGGAATTCCGATTGCGCGAATCGGCGTACGAGACCAAACAACAAAAAAAAAACATTCGAGCCGTCAAGGTCGGCGCTATCACGCTGTGAACCCGCGCGGAGCCGAGGTGCCTGAATAACCGTTCCGGAGAAACGTTAGCCGTTATATCGCGCTCTCACGCATCGCGCGGAGGTCGACGGCCTTTTATGTGGGACTCGCGTTAACGCGGCGATCCGTGGCTAGCGCGAATTTTCGGCCCCGTTCGTTCGTCCGCCGTCTCTTTTTGCGTTTGTTTTTTCGCCTCGCCGCGCGAATGGGGAAAATCTCAGCGCTGAATCGGCGATGCATAAATCCCGGCGAGGCTCTCCGCGAAAGAAGAAAGTGCTCGTAAAATAAATCGTTACCACGGAGACCACGGAAGGCTGATCTGTTTTCCCTCGTTGTTCGCCTCTAGTTGCCCGCCGCGCGCTCTAGTTTTTGCAATTCCTTTGTAGCCAAAAGCGGGACGCAACGCAGAGAGAGAGAGAGAGAGAGAGAGAGAGAGAGAGAGAGAGAGAGAAAGTTTTGCAAATCGGCCAAATTGAAGCGAAAGAAAAGCGAGCTCGAACGCTGCGCTCGATTGGAGAAGGGGAAGGAGAAGTAAAATTTTTGCGTCCTCGTCTGCACTCTTATCGTTCGGGGATCGATTTTCTCGCGGAGAGATCCCGTAATTTTGTTCCGTGACGAGGGCTCGACGGCTCGTCAAAGAGCATCGCGCGGAGCGACGCCTGTCGCGACGAGGAGCCGGCGGTACATCATGCCGTTTTAGATCGAGGTTACGGGGCTGCACGGCGGCGAGAAGAGCGACGCCGCGGAAATGTGGACCTCTAGAGAGAGAGAGAGAGAGACGACGACGACGACGGCCGGGAACGGAAGCAGTTCGCGAACCGCATATCGAGGTCGAGAGCGCGATTGTCCTTGACCTTGCGCTTCGCGATCGTACGTTTCTATTCTCCCGGTCAATCCTTGATGGAGCTCGCGCGCAGCCTTGAGCCGCCGCACATGCAACGTACGTAGACTTGATCGATCGCTGCGGCCTCAAACGCACCAATCTCTCTCTCTCTCTCTCTCACTCTCTTTCCGTACATATGTCAAGCGAAAGTTTCGATTTTTAGTTCGGCCTAAAGCTGCGAATGTGCAAATCCTCGGGGAAGTTATTAGATGCGGAGGCGAGCGTGTTTTATTCTCTTTCTCTCCGCGGTGGAAAGTTTAGCACAGAGATGCGCGCTTCCGACTGATTACGCGTGGGCGCGAGCGTCGAAGCAATTCGCACTTCAAAGAAGAGAAATAAAGAGCAACTCGTGGATTTGTCTTTATTTATTTTTTTAAAGAGAGGCAGCTTATCCGCGGTTCACCGCGGAAAAGGTGCGTTACGCGATGCGGCCAGCCCCTGACATCATACGACTCTCCGCGCGGTTCGACGCTAAAAACGACGCACGCGCGCAGTGCGACACCGGCTGAAGGTCGCGCCGCGTCGCTTTGCCGGCGGATCGGTTTCGCCGTCGTCGATCGCGTAATCGAGCTACGACCGATTCGCGCAGTAAATTTGCACATCGGCTGCGGGCCGTTGCCTTTCGTGATTTCTTTTCCAAGCCACTCGCCGAATGAGGCTTCTTCAAAACGGGGACCGATAACTCGGAGCTTCGATCGACACGCGGACACACGGAACGATTCGGGTTATCGGTATTCGATGAGCCATCGCACCGAGAGTAACGTCGCGTGCAGCAGCGCCACGACGACACAAAAAGCCCCACTCGACCCTCTTTCAGCTGACTCGCCGAAACTCGGTCGGGCAGTATTCCAGACGGGCAAGGGGGTTTGACGTAGAAATTTTCGGGCGAGCGCCGTCCGTTAAATTTGCGCGCATGATCGGGATTGGCCGCGGTGTCGGTCGAGGCGAACAGGCGCCGACCTACTTTGCCATCGCGAGGCGCTTCCTCTCTTATCTTGTTCTTTCGACAATGCTCTGTTGCGTTGTACGGCCGAGGGCAAGAGCGCGCGGTGCTTTTCGGGATCGATCCATTCGCAACTGACGAACTTGCAACGAGGCGATGGACTGAAGGGAGGCGAGCGAGTTTCAATGTATAGCTGGGGCGCGTCAAAATGTGACTCGCTCGGGAGGAAAAGAAATTTTCCGCGCGATCCCCGGCTGATTAAAGCCTCGAAACTCGACTTTTATTTATCGCCGACTTGAACCCGCGAGAATGAACTTAAACTTTTTGGCGCGAGTTGTAACTTCGACTGGCCCAACGCCAAGGTAATGTCATAGACTGCGAATGTCTCTTGTAATTTCGTACGGAGTCTTTTCGGCCGCTCCGCGAATTAATGAGTTTGTCTTTCGAGTTGAAGTGCGTCGGTGAAAAACGTTATCGTCCTTAAATCTTTGAGGTCGATTGCGATTTTTCTACTTTTGTTGTTCGACTTGCGTTACCAATTTCTTTTCTTCGCTTTTCGTTCGAACTGAATTTTTTGTTTGCTGTAATTTATTGCCTGCTTTTGTTTCGCGTTTCTTTTATTTCTAAAGAAGAAAAAACGCATATATGCATATTTTTGCAGGAAAAGAAAAGAAAGAAATGAATGGGAGTAAACCAGTAACGATTTTAACGACCTCGTTCCTCAGAAACGAGAAAACGCAGACGCTTAATCCCCAATATCGGATACTAGCTTGCCTAACATTCTAATTTTCGTTCTATTATTACAGTGAGGCTGCGCGCGGTAGAGAGACGATAAGGTAAATGACGCTCGGCCAACGAGAAGGACAGATCGCGCGGCAATCGAGCCTTCGCGTCTGCCTTTACGGGCGGCCGACCAACGGAACTCCGATTCTGGCCCGCGCGCTTTCTCGCTGTTCGACTGGCGCGGCTTCCATTCCGGAACCTCTCGACGGCGAACTTTCCTCGCGAGCTCTGGCTCTCCGAGTCACGCTTAGCCGCCTTCGACGGTCCGTTTGACGGGAACGGGAGCCGATGACGTCGCTTCGAAATGGCATCGCCGCTCGGATTTTACGAACGCGTTCGCCATCTCGCCGGCATCGTTACTCCCGATTCCAACTTCTGAGCTGTTTACAAACAACCGAGTAGATGCGCCTTTTGTGAAATTAACACGGGTTGGTATTCCGTCGGGAAGCCCGAATTTAGGAGAGAATAACGACAGCCGCGTCATGCCGGGGTATGGACTCGTAACAAAAAGAGAGCGCTTGACTTCTTTCCTTCCCCTCCGGTCGTCAAGAACGAGAACGAAACAAGAGTCCCCGAGAGGCGTTTCAAAACAACGTCGCGCGAAATTACGAGCTCCCTCGAACGTCGATTACGCCTGGCTGTTCAAATTCGATATACACGTGACCCGATGCCCCTCGAGCGCGCGTGTACGTCCGTTCGTCGCGCGTTCGTGGGTCTTCGAAATCCAGTGACCTTTTCGCGTGCCTCGCCGTATCTCCGACGTGTATATATACCACAAGTGCGTTTGCGCGAGCAACGAGATTTGAAAGTCACGTAAGGGAGAGGATTCGGAGGATCGCACGCGCACGAGCGGTAAAAGTTTTCGCGCGAGCGCATAAATTGCACTTTCCCGGAGATCTGCACTGGTCGCGGGGACCGCGCGCGTTCGCAATCCTCGCAACCTAGAAAATCATTGGAAGCGACCATCATCCCCCTCCCCATCCGCCGAATAATTCTCGCCGAGCGGGGCGTTTCGTTTCGCGGGATGGTTAATTCGCGAATTGAATCCTCGTCGAGAAACGCGATCCGATCAGACGAGCACGCGCGAGCGTCGTCGAAAATCCGACAGATCGTTTTGCCCGAAAAGCGGTAGCGGCCCACCTTTCACCGACGAAAGAACGACGCTGCAGCCAGCGGAAGTGCATCTCTACGGCGCGCCCGAGTGGAGGGATTGTGGGACACGGGAGCATGCCTGAGCGAATGTGGCACGAGAACTGCCGGCGCACTGGGCCGACATCGCTTGCTCGGTCTCTCGCGGTCGTCGAAACCTACGGCGTGAGACGATTTCCCTTACCCGCGCGAACGCAAATTGCCGGCGCTCGAGCGCGTGTGTCTGCGGATTGCCGACGAGAGGGCTGACTTTTTTCGCGTCTTTTTCAATTGCAATGACGTTCCCGCTCGAAGTGGTAGAAAGCTGTCATATTTTACATATGGATAGGGTTTATTGAAAATACATTATTTTTGTACACCACTTGGATCCTTTCGAGCATAATATTGTATTTCACAACGACATGTAGGCCAACGTTTCGACATCAAAAACCTAAGTTTCAAATTGATATTCATTTTAACATGATTTGATTACAGAGTAATTGACAAGCTGATTAATAAATTAAGTAGTATTATCAGATTATACACTTATTTATGAGTTATCTTTTGAAAATTCAGTGTTAAACATTGTATATTTTTAGCCTTGAAAAGGAGGATAAATCCTCGAAATGTTGACCGGTATATTTTTATGAAGTACAATATAATGTTCGAAATGATCCAAATGGTGTACGAAAAATAATTTATTTTTAATAAAGCTTATCCATATGTAAATTGAATATAATGTGAGCATCTCGTAAGAGAAATTGTTTTAATTAGCTATCGTATTTCAAGTCTAGCTGTAGCTTGGAAGATTCTTAAAAAATATTTTTGCATCTTTAAGTGAGTTTCACGTGCGCCGCTTCAACGTAATAAATAAAAGAAAGTTTAGCATAGCCTCTTCGAATAAAAACTGAAGGTATAATTTGTTCACACGCGTCGATATTCGCTTACATCAAGTAGAGGATATACGCGAAGAAGAAGCTGAACAAACGTCCTGACGTTTTTCCGCCCCTAAATTGACGGCCTCGGGGATAAGCTTGTCACCGGAGGATTAATTTTCCAGCAGCTAATGGTCCATCAATCGATCAGAAACTATAGGAAGAGAATCCTATCAAGCCAAGCCTTTTAGGAGCTTTAGGCAATATGTATATTTTTTTCGATACTTCAAGCCAACCTCAGTTACGCACAATTGGCATGTCTCCGAATATCAATTAACCTCACGTTACATAAAAAAACTACAATTTATTCCATTTACAAAATAACATTCGTATTGCATAACATTTATCATTTAATGACAGTGTAAAAAGTAACAGTATTAAACATAACAATGAAACAACAACTTGTGTGTTTTACGATACAAAAAAAAATACAGTTCGGTGCCCTACAAGCGAAAGTCTCGAGAAAACGCGGCATTGCGCGCACGAAAACAAGATGGGAAAGTTGTATGTCATTAGGTCATTATAGTCGGCTGTATAGCAGGTAAACGTGTACCAGAACTTTACATACCATGATAGCGCGGCCTCTTCCGAAGCACACTGAATAATTACATTTTCCTCCGATCGATGATCTTGCGATCTCCATAGCCAGTGAAAGGCATAATTTACGAATCGCTGAATTTTTTTCGGCGCCGATAGAATCTTGGAAAACTCTTGGTCGGGGCCCCTTCGGGAGAGTTTCGATGATGCATTGGTAAAAACGGATTTGGCCACTGACGAGCGTGCGCCTTTTTTCGGTTCGTTTGCGCTCGATCGCGTCGATCAAGCCGCGCGATGTCGATCACCTGCCGGAAAAGTTTAGCGGGGGCAAAAAAAAAAAAATCTCCCGCAACGGAGCAGAGAAGCAGCGCGCGCGAGAAAAGAATAGGCCGGGCTCATTCCGTCGAGCGTTTAGTCCAGAAACGAAAGTTCTACGAGAGGAGGCCTTTCACTGCTTGCAAAAGGAAAGGAAGCGCGCATCCGTTCAAAAACCATTTACTCAGGGCAATCGATCACTGTGTTTTTACTAGGAATAGGCACAAATGAGCGCAACTTGCATTTTGTTTTTCGGTAGCGACAAGAATTTATGTTGATTTCTCTTTTGGTCGACTCAGCGATCGGAAGCTTCGATAGTCCGAATGCACCATGGGACGTACTCTTTGGGCTGTGAGATCGAACATTTTTCATCAACACGTAACGGAGGTTTCCGCAAACGCGACGATTTCACAATCAAAACAAGAAAAAAAAAACTTTCGCAGGTGAATCACCTCTCTCGCGCCGTTGTGAGTGTCTATGCGCATGTTTTGTTGCACTCAGCGATTTTCACTCGCTGGCGCGGGCACATACCCAAGGAAGAAGAAAAAACCGGACTTGACTTCCGCGATAGAAAGTATTCGCGAGAGATCACGTTCAAGGATCCGACATCAAACCTTTCGCAAATTGAGAAGGGAAACACATAATATTGACGAATGTGTTGATATTCGTTGATTTTTTTTCGGTGTATTATGGAAAAATTCTTTCAATTTCGAAAGCCGTGCGCTAGTTACGCGTGTATCGTTGACAGTTTCATCTTGTTTTTTTCTCAAAAATGGTTTGAGTTGCGCGATAGTCACTCGTTTACTAATTGATTAGCTGACTGATATTCAGATATTTAAAGAAATCTTTGCGTTAATGATATTTAAAAATGCATAGCAACCTATATATAACGTCTGCATAGTTGTTTTACGGGCCATTATTGCGATTTATGATAATTTGCATACCGGAAAACAAAGAAAATTTTAGTGAACTTTCGGATAACTATATAGACACAAGGAAGTGGTTTCAAAACACACGGGTAAATATAATATCAGCTCCGTTGTTATAGTACAAGTGAAATTTTTTTTTGAATATTTTACGAATGGCAATAAAGATTCAAGTTGAAACTTCCTTCATATCTGAAACTTGATTATAAAAACCTTAATTTAAAACCACTTTTGAAATTTTTGAAAACGTTTTTTTGCATAACCAATATTCAAAATGCGACGAATTCTTTACATGTTACATTTGAGCAATTAAATTTTCGTTATTAAAGAAATTGATTAAAAAATACTTTGGAACTTAAAAGCTTTTAAAAATGAAATCAAATTTACCCGCACTTTACCTACTCAAGAATTTAAAAAGTAAATAACACGTAAGCTAATGCATGCCGCACATCGCCCGAGTCGTATACATCTAGAAGAGCAATGCGACATTAGGCACAGATAAATACAGCTGTTTGCACCATTCTAATAAAAGGCAATTGGTTTTTTCATGTCTGTCGCAAAACTTGGCTCGCATTCGCGGGTGAAAGTGAAATTTTTTTTAGTGGAGTAATAACAAGTTTTGCCAGCGGCATTTTTCTTTTTTTAACAAATACAGTTGTTTCCTTCTTAATCTAATTAAAATCTTCGTCTCGCGCAAAACTCTCCGTTCTTCCAGTTGTATTCGAGTTATCTCTGTTATCATGAAAAAGAAAAGAGAAAACGTGTAGTATACGAAAACAAGAATCGATTCCTCTCCACCCTCCCCACTCTTTCTCTGTATAATCTTGGGATACACGCCGCCGCATCGACGGTTTCACGTGCAACGGGACCAGTAGACACCTTTCTCGCTTTGCTCGTTCGTCATATACATATACCATAATTCAAACACTTTATACATCACTTTCTAATTGAACTCTCTCTTGCTCCTCATTCTTCGCTCGCGACATCTGGCAGTTTCGAATCGCCACTTCTGACAGCCCAACGAAGGAAACAAAAACAAACAAATCGACATTCAGCTTATCAGACAAAGTGATGTACCTTAAATTTTTCGTAAGTAGTCTCAAGCTCGAGACGATGCACAAAAGGGTTGAGTATATCAGTAGTAGTGGGCTGCTCGTCCATGTTATCATCTTTAGGTTTGCCATTGGACAGCATCCCGTTCTCCGCTTCGATGGTTATCTCGTCCAGCGATTCGATTTCCTTAGTGCTTCTGTATCTCATGATTCTTTACTCGAAGCGACAATGAGAAAAACGGAGCTCGTCAATATTCGTATATACGTTTGGTCGGATGTCGAGAGATCACACGCGAAACATCACTGCATAATGCTGCACGCACTGACAAATCGATTCGCACTCGCGCCCTCTTCCGCATACGACTTGCCGCATCGGCGCCGGATCGGGGAATGAGTCCAAACTCTTCTGCGCAGACACGCGCCAGCACTCGTCGTGTGCGCGCTCTCCTTCTCTCTCTTTCTCGCACTCGGAAGAGGTGGGGCACAGCGGGTAACGGCGGCTTGACAAAAGGTAGGGGAGAGACGGAAAATATGGGCTCTTCTTTGGCGGTTAAACGTATGTGTACGTGTTCGTACGAATTAAATGACAATTTACTCGCGTATATAAATCCCTTGCGGGTCAATATAATGGACGAAAGTGCCGAACGTGACACAAGCTTTCGGCGGTCTCGCGGAAACTGCGCGGGGGACAACGCTGCCGCGCACGTGCAGGGTCGTAAAGACGTTAACCGACACATTTTTCACGCCTGTAAGCAGACGAGCGACTTACGATACGTGCGCAATGCAAAGATAAACTCAAATGATGCAATCGAGCGCGAAACAAAAAGAAAATTGATGCATGATTACGCGACTGGCAATTCAATAGAGCTTGACAGGTGCGAATCGGGCTTGCGTCATTGACATTGTTGTTTGCCATTTGTAACACGTAACCGTGTTCGAAGCGGGCTTCCTCTCTCTAAATGCACTTGGTCAATTATCGAGGTATTGTGTAATCATGTACATGCATTCGAATATTGTAATTAATTTTGTAATTTGGGTGTTTTATTAATGTCGAGCGATAACGAGCACATTTTTAACTTCGATTAAAAAAAAAAATTCCGATCTGATGTAAAATAAAAGAATGTTTTCTCGTTTCATCCCTTGGATCAGCAAGCGCACCTATTGGTTTCCCCAAAAGAACACGTCAATATAACATTTGGAGTTGGAATGCGAGCTAAAGTGGAACAAAGCGACGCATGCGCGTACGGCGAATTAACCGCATGTAACGTAACCTCAGTCGCACCAAGAAAAAAGATACAAAGATGTAACAATGAATAAGGAATCGCACAAGTGTTTGATAAATTTCTACTCGAAATTAGAGTCGACAGACACCAAGTGGAAGGAAATACAGGCGAGTACCAATAATGTGCTGAAAGTTTTGAAACATCGAATCGAACAACTGCGGCATGTCAGAAGGTAAAAATTAAAAAAAACCGAAAAGATTGTCGTTCCTTGGTAATGTCCGAGTATATTGATCGATGACAGGTTTTTTAATTTAATGATCTCGAATCAAATACTTAATATCCATAAATGATGTTGATTTTTGAAAACACGGTGAATGCGCATTCACAACAATCATACACCACGTGTTATAATTAACTCGCGGTCTGTCCGCTTGGCGTCGACACTTTCTTACAGTTCGGAAGTCGATAATGCAGAACTCTGTAAAGTGGAGGAATTGCGCGAACGACTCGTCGCCAAGATTCTTGCGGGAATCGAGGACGAGGTTGCTCTTGTCCACGAGGCTATCGCTAAGTTGAATAATTATAGTCAGGTGAGTGAAAAGTTTTCACTGTGATTTGAAAATGTCGATTCGAGCGAACAAATTAAAGAAGGAATGTAAGGAACAATTATAATTGTGTTAATCAAATACTGAATAACATGTAATTTAAAACGCAAGAACTATATGAAAAGTCCATGTGACTTATTTAATAGTTATTTAATATGGGCTTAATTTTCGATGCTTCATACATTTCAATTTTATATATATATATATATATATATATATATATATATATATACTTTTCCGAAGTGAATTTGATTCTTGAATTGAAAAAACCGTTTGAAAATAAGTCTTTTCTTTCCTGTAAAAAATAATTACTTTTAATATTTTCCAATTTTTCAAACGACATAATTTCATCGACACTGCCGTCCTTTAAATCGCACCTGCACACACAAATGTTGTCAAGCTGTCCTTTCGACCCGCAGGATTTGAAGCAACGCTTGGCGAATCTCGAAACAACCCTAAATGGCTCGTCTCTGAGCGACGAGCGTATGAAGGAGCTGGTCGAGGGAACTGGTCGCAGGCCGAGATTGGATTTACTAATCGAATGGGCGATCGACGCCTGCGATTTTTATCACAACTTGTATCCTTTTCCGTACCATTACGTCCAACGGTAATCACGTGCACTGTCACGGCGACGCTGTAAGGAGAAGAGAGTATCCTCGATCGGGAAATAAATAGGGCGTGAGTAATCAGCCCTTTATTCGGTCGGTCGGGCAAATCCTTCGTTTCGTCTTGGCGTCTGTTGTTCTCTTCTCCCGCGATTCGGTGGCGAATCACCTCGCAACGAGGCTCTCGCAATTAGAGAAAGATTAAAATCCAATGAGGATTGAAGTCAGCACCGAGTAAACGATAATGAGAGATTGAAAGAGCGGACGTTTGCCCGGCTTGTTTGCGGCTATCGATGCGAGGGGCTGCGACACTTTGCCGAAAGGAGGGCAGCTTGGTGAAATGTGGCGTCATTACGACTGGCTTTTCAACTTTTATAGGCTCTAATTGCCACTCCACTTGAGCTTATGATTCTCGCAGTATTTTCAGTATTTTATGAACTAGTCCACCTCTCATTCATCTCTAACTAGCAGTCGTACTTCCGACGTGTTGTGTATATTCTTTTTAATGGTCCGAGCATGCCGTATTTCTGTTCGACGAGCATGCAGCTCCGTGGCGAGTAAATAGATAACGGGTTAATGAAGTCTGATAAAGAAGAAAAAAACTGCCAAACATATAATCGATTATTCGCCTAATGGATACCAGAAGTATATCGGAATTTATGAGCATAAATGCGGTACATTGAAAATCGAAACTAACGTTCGCTTCGTCCTCTAGTTGGTCAGTCGAACCACGAAGCGTAGCATCACTCGAGCGCCCTACTCACGAAAAAAAAAAAATTAAGTTCTCGTCCCCTTTTTCCAATCTCTCGAGCCGTTGATCTAAAAAGAAAACAAGTCGAAGAAATTCCTAAGCACTCAATAACGTTCAGATATCTCAGTCTGAAAGCATCGTTGAAGGATTTGGACTACAGTGACGAAGGTTGTGTAGACAAGTTGTCCGCATCGTTGGTGGAGCCGCAGCTTGCTCGGGAAAAAATCGATTGTGAGTATATGCGTCCAACCTCGCGGCGCGCTATATGCATGTGAATCTCGCTCTCACACGCCTTTCATTTGCTTTCAGATATACTCACTCTAACGCAGTTCCTCGCCAGCGAGACTCCTTAGCTTTGTCTTCTTTTTTTATTGTTGTTGTTTACAAATAAACGATATTTTTGCACAAGGCTAGCACCGCCTCGTTGGTTACTGAAACATCAACCGTCGACACGCGCATAGTCTCGAACTTGGCGCCCGAGGTGTACGTACGTTCGACGAGCTTAGAGATCGCGTTTTTCTCTCGCGCGAGTATCTTTCCGCGAAGCCGCAAGAAAGAGCAGCGCACGTCGACGAGCACTCCGCATTTTTCCTTTTTTCCTTCTGTTGACTCTCGCGCCCCTTGTCGCCGCCGGCAAAATCGACAGGCCACAAGCTTCTATATCAATTACTCGTTAATGATAAAGTTTGCGGCGCCAGAGTACAGCGAGAACCAATAAACGCCTGTCTTCTCTCCCCTCCCATGTAGCGCCTGATATATTGGTCCGCTCGCAAAGGGGCGGGGAAAGATATGTGCGCTGCCTTGTCCTGTACGTACCTACGTCTATTCGAACGTACAGCGCTGACATAATTGTCGTGATCGCTGCACACCGGTCTTCCCCGCGAAATGCCATCGCGCGACAAATTTATTCGTCACATTAATGCTCGCGATTGTCCGCGATTGCTCAACGAAGCTTGCCAGCAATTGCCAACCTATGCGAAGAAAACGCACAAATTAAAAAAGGAAGAGAGTATGCAGCTTTCGCAAGCACACGAGCGCCAGTATTTTTAGAAGTTTCGAGGCTTAGATCAACACAGCGATCGCGCTTATTTTTTTTTTTTTTTGTTTTTAATAAAAAGTAAAGAGTTGCCTACGGCCAAGCTCTCAATTTATATTTCAATATTGTCTTTGGTCGGTGAGAGCTTCCGTCATGCCATGGAATGACACTAATGACTTGGCTTGGCAGTTTCCTAAATGAGTGTGTCCAATTTGAGAGCTGACAAATAAAACTTGGTAGAAAGGAGTATTGGTATGCACAATTCAAGGCGTGACTTTGTTTACAACCGTAGAATTCGTCCACTCGACAGAAGAGTAATAAGGTACTTCACGCGCGATATTCAGGTTTTTCTTTAAACGTATCCAATGAGCATAGTATTGAATATACGCTGCGTCTTAAAATACAAAAGCAGCGCCTTTTGCGAGGGTCGCCATGACGCGATTAACGAGAGGCCTATTGCACCGCTAAAAAGGACAATCCACTCTGCTGGTACGCCTGAAGTCGCATCCGAAGCTGCTCGTTCGATCAATCTGCGCGCGCGAGTGGTCGAAAATTCGAATGGCACTCGGCGAGTCGGTCGCGGCGGAGGGCAACGGCGCAGGCGGAAGCTGCAGGAGAGCGGCAATCAATAGATTTTTGGCAGAGCGCGCGCGGAGCTGCACGTGTGCAGCGGCGGCGTAGCGCGCCAGCAGGGCGGGGAGGGGAATGGCGAGCGGTTAGCGGAGGCGGCTGGGGCTTTGCTATTGATTCTCAGGAAAATCCGTCCGCCCCCGGCCACCGTCCCTCCCCGTGCGCTTTTCCGGCCGCGGGAAGTAGATGGTGCCACCGGTGGTTTTTCCCTGTCGCACCGCGCGCGATGTCTCATTTAGCGCGCGGGCCGTCTCGCCGCACTCGTCCAGGCTAGCTGCGGCGTGTCGCGTCAATCGAAGGCGCGTCGGCGGACCGAAGGACGATCGGACGCATTGTATTCGCGATCATCCTCAAGACGATCGATCGTCCTCGAGTCGCACGCGGTCGCTCGAGCGTCTTCGTCCGGGTAATCCGCTCCGAGGACGATCCGAGTGACGCCACGAGTTCGCTCCGCCAGTACGTCAGTCGGCGTTCGTGCTCGCAGTAAGAGCGAGAAACTTAATTGCATCTCCGTCGTCGATAACGTGTAAAGTTCGACTCCACGCACATCGTCCTCCCCCCATATGATTCGCGCCCTCTCGAACGGTACGCGAGGAACACCTAACAAACACACTGACGGGTAAACACAGCAGCGCGAGAGGGGGCTCGATGTTGTTTCCCTCGTCGGTGCGGGCGTTCGCAGTCGTAACCGAGAGAGGGAGCTTTGAGGATGCAACGGGCGACCACGGCAGTCTGGAGCCTTGCGCAGCGCCGTTCCACAGGTCAGTGACGACGACGACGACGTCGACGTCGGTTGTCATCGGCAGCGCGTCGCGCCACACGCATCCATCCAGGCTACTGCGCCCTCGTCAGCCTCGCTGTACCCTGTGCTTGTGTCGGCGGACAGCTGCTCTCGCCTGTGCCTCTCGGTTATTATCGTTTTCCGGCTGTGCGCGGACTTAAAACGCCAATGTCCGACCAGACGCGCACTCGCACGACTGAGAAAGCGAGAGGCGAGAGAGAGAGAGAGAGAGAGAGAGAGCGAGTTGTGCAAGACGAAAGTCAAAATTTCCGTATGCTTGCTAGAAATTGAGGAGTGAGGCTCGCGGCGGAGGGGGAAGGGAAGAGCTTAACCTTCATTCATCGTGAGTGCGCATTTGCGACACACGCAAGCATTGCTCGTGCAGACAGTGCGCGCGCTCTCTCTCTATCTCTCTCGCTCTCTTTCTAAAGTGAATCGATAGGAAATTCGTAATTTTCACTCCAGACTCTCCCCGCTCGTGCTGGTGCCTCGCGTTCGAGCCCGCGCACTCAGTGATTGATGAAGCTGACGGACGGGACCGGATCTTGCGCCTGGACTTTTTTCTAACGCGCGACGTCGAGGACGAAAAAGTGGGACGCGACGGACGTCCAAGTCGATTACGCGCGAATTAAAATAGTTCCGTATCTTCCGGGGGATAAGTGAGTCCCGTCGTCGCGTCGAATGTTCGCGCGGCTCGCGCGGAAGGAGACGACGCCGAGATTATGCCTCGACGGCGATCGATGGATCGTCCGAGTATAGGCGAGGTTGAGCGCACGCTGCTCTCGCCTCGAGCTCCCGAGAAGTGAAGACGCTACGCGGCCAGTGGCTGAAAGACTCGAAGTTCAGCGAGCGCTCTTTGAATGCCTCTTTCTCTGTACCGGTCAATTCTCGCGAAAATCCCGGCGCGAAAACTCGGCCGCGAGTCAGGGCCAAACCGCTGGAGCCGACGGCGCGTAGCGTACGCGTGCCGGAGCTACATCCCTTTCCGCGTTGCGGCTCGCGGATCGTCGGCGGGATCGAGTGAACTTGGGTTGCCACGAGGCCTGAACGGGATTGCAGCTCTCGCTGTCGGCAGCGAGGCGAAACCGCTGCTACCGAACGAGGTAGCGGCACGGCTAATTGCATCGAGACCACGCGTGTCCCTCGAATACAGCGCTCTGCCTGCGCTAACCCACGACCGCGCCAGTATTGACTCAATCGCGACTTTCCTTTTCCTCGGTCAGACGCAGTTTCGCATTCGTATCGCGATAAGCTTCATCACCGACGTGAGAGTCAACGCCGCGCGATCTTTCCCTTCGTCTCATTGCTACTCCCGCTGTACAATTTCGCACAGCTCGGTTCGCGAGCTTTTTCAATTCACTAGTCGAGTGTCTGCTTTGTAGCCAGCTGCTCAGCTGTTTCTCCTGTTCGTGCGAAATCGAACGCAAACAACGAGTGATATAGATTCAAAAAGAGGGTCGACGAGGATATCTCGTGAAGAACAAGAAAGAGAGAGAGAGAGAGAGAGAGAGAGAGAGAGAGAGCGTTCAAAAGATGAAGCAACGGCCGTGGTACTGGAGTGATTTACCTGCTGTTGTTTGGATGCTTGTGCGGACGTTTTCTTTTTTGATTACGAAGTTTAATATTGAACAAGAGATTTCGTTTGCGTTTGTTGGATTTCAAAGGACGAAAGTTTGCTTGAGAAGACAAGTTTTTCAATTACAGTTTCGAATTATGTAATACTTTAGAAGGCTCGTCGTTGATAAATACCTTTATTTATCGCGCACATTCGTAATTACAAGATCGTAGAGAACTTAATTTAACTTTGCGTTGATAAAAATTTCGACGTGTGACAAAATTAATCACAGAAATTATACGTTTTACAACTTATAATTACACAAAAGAAACGCATCAAAGTAAACTGTACCAGCTCGGATTCCAAGCTTACAACGCTTTATACAACCAAACGATTTACTGTGGTCGTAAATAAATCTTGCAAATTTTCATAAAACGTTGAAGCAGCTAAGAATAAGTTGGCGAGACGATTGTACCGACTTATCTCTCGACACGAAAATAGAAAGAAAAGTAGGGGTGGTCGCGAGACGGCGAGACACGAGAATTGATACGGGAGGCGTGATGAGAATGCGGAGACTTTGAGAATAAAGTGCCGATGCGCTGATTCAACGAGTCGGATCTAATTATTCGGTCGCCTCCCTCGAACATCTAGAATGGGGGAGAGCCTGTAGCTGACTGTAGGCAGCGAGGTCGTGGGGGTCCGAAATTATCTGGGAGCTTTTCTTTGTTATCATTGTTTTCTTATCAGCTAGAAGCTACAAAAGGTCTGTGTTTTTTTTAATCGTTTTGAATACAGGCCACCGCACCTCTTTCACGACGTCTTATCCAACCGCCACGTCGCGAATGAAAATTTCCACTAGCCTCCCCCCCCCCCCATTATACCAATAGAAAAACACGGTACTTCGTAGTGATAAGACGAAAGCAGGTGCGGCGTTCGCTCGCGAATGTGCACCTTCTTCACTGTGACTGGACGGCGCGGTCATTTGAATTTTGAACGGTATTGATGACCTCGAGCTATTGGGAGTGGATGGACCCCTGCGCTCTGCTGAACGCGCTCGCCATATTATTTTGGCTGGCTCGGTTGCTCTTTTCGATTTCGACGGATTTCGCGCGACAAAAGCAGCCCAAGCGTTCGCTCCTTGACACAAAGCGTGCGAGGATTAAGCTCGACGCTGACATCAAAATAATCGCCGGTTTATATTTTTTTTCTCGCTTTCTCGCACTAGCTCCCATGGTATCGGATGCTCTCGCAGAGAAGAGCCAACACGAGGGTTTGCATTAATTTCACTCTCGACGTCGCCTACGTTTATTCTTTCTTTTGACGAGACGCGCCAGATTAAAAGTTATCTGCTCAGCGTACTCGTTACAGAAAGATTCGCAGCTATTTAGTTGTATCGGCTTCATTTTCTAATAACATCGTTTGCTATATTTCGAGAATATACCATTCTCAAGATATCGCATAAAGTGCGTTCTGCTCATTAGATTGCCAATAGTGTCAGTATTCGACTCGCATACGTATTGTGTTCCTGTTTTACCGACTTGTGGTGCATCGATTGCCAACGGGGTCGGCAAAACAGGAGCCAACCGAACAATTCTTCGTGCACAGAATGGAGTCATCGGGTGAATCGACGATCCTTTCACTCTCCGGCTACTAAAAAGTTGGCTTGCATGAAGAGGAGATAGGTGAGGAAGCGAAATAGTCAAACGCGGGGCAAAATGGCGAATACGGCCCATCTGGTGCGCCGGCAAAGCTCGCGAGACCTGAAGCCGCAGAAGAGCATCGATAAGCTGGAAATGAAGGAGATGCGCGGCAGACTCGTCGTGGATAAATGCAAGAGTAACGTCACTGCCTGTTACGGTGCCACCAATGCCGCCTTCGAAGATTCCAGTCCCAACAAAGCGGTGAGTTGTGTTGGCGATCGCTCTATGCAAATACAGTCGCGGCCGAGATAGCCGACGAATCGGACGAGGCGAAGGCTGACGAGCATGCGCCCATCTTCGTTCGCACGTCGCGAAGTCAGTGCTCCAGCCTTCGCCAGGAACCAATCGCGTTATTTAAGCGCGATTTTCATCGATGTGAAGGATTTTGTTAATCCCAGTGAAAAAATGCGCCGAGCAACTCGCCGAGCGAATCACGCGCGAGCTTTCAGGCTCCAGCCTCGGCGAAAGTACCCGCAGCTGCGACACAAGAAAAGTCCGCTACAGTCGCTGTGTTAATTAAATCCGCAGAGCAAGACAAGCGGCGGCGGCGGCGGCGGCGGCGGCGGCGGGGGCGGGGGCGGCGGTGAAGTCAGCAGGGCCAGCGGCGCCGGCCAGTTGCTGTCGCCAGTGGCTCCGGGCGGCTCGAAGCTGGGCAGCGGCGAGGGCAAGGCCATATTCAAGCCCGAGGCCGGCGAGGACGAGCGCGAGAACTGGGACAGCAAGCTCACCTTCCTGCTCGCTACCGTCGGCTACGCCGTCGGCCTCGGCAACGTCTGGCGATTTCCCTACCTCGCGCAGAAGAACGGCGGCGGTGAGTGTCGATCGCGGCGGCCTCTCCTCAATCGGCGCGCGCGCGCGGCGCTATTATTAATCCTCTCGCTGAGCTCCCTCGGGATTTGTGCGCGACGACTCGCCGACCCTCTGCTGCGTCTCGAGGCAGACGAGCGTGCGTTACACGTTGACAGCCCACGTGATTGAGATTGACAACGACGCCTCCGCGCTTCTTTTCCTTCGTTATTTATTTATTTATGTGCCGGCCATCGTCGTTCTTCGCAAAAGCATATCGACGCACTAGGGGGGGGGGGGGGGGGGCGTAATTTCGAACGCGAACGTGACACGCGTGGAAGCATTCGACGGCTGCCGCGAGCGAGAGCAAGAGGCGACCGGAATCGCAGGGAGTTAAAGAGCGAGGGAGGGTCGCGCCGGCAGTATCGATTTTGCGCGACGTCGAGTCGCGCTGACCGCGTTGCACTCTACGAATGGCCCGCCGCATGGCGTATATGATTCGCAGGCGCTTTCCTCATACCCTACTTCATCATGCTGGCGATCGAGGGGATACCCATATTCTATCTCGAGCTAGCGATCGGCCAGCGCCTCAGGAAAGGCGCCATTGGCGTTTGGAATCAGGTATCGTCAGCCGTCATCGCCGTTACATGCCCGTTTCTCATTGATAATCTTTTCATTCGGCATTTTCAGGTGTCTCCGTACATGGCTGGGATAGGTATAAGTAGCGCTGTAGTGTCCTTTAACGTAGCCCTCTACTATAATACCATTATCGCCTGGTGCCTATTTTACTTCGTTCAGGTGAGCCTTTTCATTGCTCGCGACCGTTAAGCATATATCAATCTCTCGCCTCATTCTTATCGTTCGCAGAGCTTTCAGTCTGAGCTACCATGGTCGGAGTGTCCTAACAAGTATTTTCAGAACGGCTCTTATGCGCCTGAACCCGAGTGCTTGGTAATTATATCGTTGTTTATCGCTATCGCCGAAAAAAAAACCATTTGGCGCACAACGACGACAATCGTTCCCGTCCTCTTGTTACAAGAACGCTATATTTTTTTTTTTTTTCGGTGCACGGAACTCATTAGAAGCTTGGAAGGTAATTTATGAGAATGCAAAGTTTGGTCGTTGTACGATAACTATGTCAAATTGCCATTTTCAATCTCCAATAAAAACTATTCTATGCTCTATAGGGGGTTAAAAAGCTAAGAGGCTGAATATTTTCTTTAATATCGTGGCGTGCTGTAAAGCTGTTCTAAAACTTAGTTTGGAATAGAAAAATGATTGAATTTCAACGAACTAATGGATTTGAAAATTACGAAAAGACTAAAAAAAAAGATAAAAAAGATTCGAAGTGAGATTTGATCGGCCAGTAAAATGGAAGAGACCACTTGTCAAGTATACTCGGATTGATTGGAAGGCAAACAAGGCCGGAATGAAAAACAAAGAAACACATGAAAATCGCGATTTTTAGCTGAAAAATGTTTCCGTCCATGATCCACTGGATGGCCAGCAATTTCGCGCATTCCGCGAGCGATGAAAAACAAATCCCTCCGTGAAATCGGATCGCGCCGGGAAAATATGACGAAAAACGACTGACCCGCTCGAAATTTTCGCTCTCGTAAACGTAACACATTCTGTTGCAGCAAAGTAGCCCAACGCAATACTTTTGGTATCGCACGACCCTAATGGTCTCGAAAGACATAAACACGCCGGACGTATTTAATTGGAAAATCGCGTTGGCCCTTGTGATTGCGTGGATACTCGTGTACATGTGCATGATCAAGGGCATCGCCTCGTCGGGCAAGGTCGTCTACGTGACGGCCACCTTCCCTTACATCGTTCTCATCATCTTCTTCTTCCGCGGCGTCACGCTGCCCGGAATGTCCGACGGGCTGAGACATCTCTTCACGCCCAAAGTAAGGCCGAGCCCACGCGAGACGCGTCGCACGCGCGATTCACCTAAAACCAAGCGTACAATCCTCCTTTCAGTGGTACAAGCTGTCCGACCCAGTCGTCTGGCTGGAGGCAGGCACGCAGATATTTTTCTCCCTCGGTTTAGCCTTCGGCGGCTTGATAGCTTTCTCCTCGTACAATCCGGTCAACAATAATTGCTACCGCGACGCAATCATGGTCAGTCTCACCAATTGTTTCACCTCCATGTTTGCTGGTATCGTCGTTTTCTCAATTATCGGTGAGTGGTGTGCGCACGATCGCTAGCGTCTTTTCCCCCGCGATATTTCTATAAATTGCCTTTTATTGCCCGCAAAAGGTTTCAAGGCGACAATGGTTTACGAGCAGTGCCTAAGCGACAGAAACGCAACAGTATCTAGTATATTCGGCGGTAAGATACCGAATCCTCTGCCGGTCAGCGGCGCTCTTTACAATTTTAGCAATCACAATGGCAGCGTGACTCGACTGATGATGCCGGCACTTCCGGAGTGCGACTTGGAGAAGGAGCTTGACAATGTGAGTTTTCAGCTTAAAAGTACCACATATTCTTAGCGAGACGAGATGGTTTTTTCTTTTTTCTTTTTTTTTCATAAAAATATATTTTTTTTAACCATTCATAGTGTATTTTTCGCGTACCCACGATATCTTACGAATTTGCCAGGGAATAAGAAAACGATAATTATGAGTTTGCTATCAACTTACCACGGACACGTAAATACAAAATTGTACACAACGTTTTACTCGTACGTTATCTATAGGTCAATAAAAACATAAAAAGAAATACTGATTGTACCCTAAAACTACCGCGCGACTTCGTCAATCTCTCTTGGACACCTGGAAACAAAGCACAACGATCGTTCATTTCAGTAGACGTCGATTGCAATCAATCAGCCTCAGTACCTTTTCCGATATCCTCGCGAGCTGTTCCGACGAAACGACGTCATTCTGCATCCACATGTTCGAGAAGAACCCGTCGTTTTTCTTCAGCAACACAAGTGGCCGATCGTACTCGACAACGCAACCTTGGTCCATCACGAGGATTCTATCACAGTCCATGATAGTGTGCAATCTGTGAGCGATAGTCAACACGGTACAGTCCTTGAATTTGGCTCTGATGGTTTTTTGTATTAAGGCGTCGGTGTTGGCATCTACGTTAGCGGTCGCTTCGTCCAGCACCAGGATTCGATTCTTCTTAAGGATAGCGCGTGCCAAACATAATAATTGCCGTTGGCCAGTGCTCAGGTTACTTTGGTCCAAAGTCGCGTCTAAACTTTGAAATATTCGATTCAACTCGACGTCCTGCAAAGCTGACCAAAGCGATGCGTCGTCGAAATCATTCAAGGGATCAAGATTCTGACGTAAGGTTACCGAGAAGAAAATCGGTTCTTGCGGGAGAATGGAGATGTTTTTTCGCAGTTGTTTCAGACTTATTGTGCCGGTGTCGACGTCGTCGATGTATATCGCACCGTTGACTTTGGCCAATCGAAAAAGTGCTGCTATCAGAGATGATTTTCCAGCACCGGTTCGTCCGACGATTCCAACCTGATAAAAGAAACAACAGTCGTCAAGAATAACTGCAAATGAATGAAGATTCTGAGCTCACCTTAGCACCAGCTTCGATGACAAAACTAAGATTTTTTAACGTCGGCACACTGTTCTGGCAATATATTAAAGACACACCTTCAAATCGAATCTTCCCTTGATTTGGCCACGAACTCGATGGTTTCTGACAAGTATCATCATTCAATAAACCTTCTTTCTCCAACTCGGTATACTCAAACAATCTTTCAACGGAAACCATTTGTGTCTCGATATCACCAGTCAGCTTGATAGCTCTAGACAGAATTCCAGTCAACATCAAAACTTGAGTTAGCGCCAAACCAACATCGGCACCTGATATTTCACTGTCTTTAAAGATCACGAAGCTGTAGGTGATGAAAGCTATGAATCCGTGTATCACCAGGTCCAGGTACAAGTTGTACGCTACTAGTGCGTATTGCAAAGTCGCCGCTGCTGCCGTGTGATTATCCTGGTGAGCGTCAAATTGTTTGCAAACCATGGATTGTGCTTTGCAAGCTCGGATTGTTAGGATTCCAGTGAATGAAGAATTGACGTGAGAGAAGACAGGACTTTTCACTGAAAATTGACAATAGCCAGTGATATTTATGATTTGGCGTGATAAAAAATACTTACTTTGACCCTCTATCCTCATCATACTTCTAGTTGTTTTGATCGCGATAACTCTCCCTTTGTAGAAAAGAAAAGTCATCATTGCTATCACTAGGATTGACCATTCGTTGATTATAATTATCTGTAACGCGACCCCAATTACAATGAAAAAATACTCGATTGTTTCCACTGTCATCGCTTGTAATCTCTCGTCTACTGCACTCAGATCTTTCGAGAATCGATTAATAATTTTGCCTACAAAAAATCAATGTTAATTTTTCAGTTTTTAGGTTCAAACTAGTAATCGACTTACCCGAATCATTGGTCTCGAAGAATGACATTGGTGTCCTCATCAAATTATTTGCCATCATGTTATGAATGTTTCTGTTTGATTTTTTACATACAGTACTGTAAAGTACCATTTTTAATACAGACATGATGATGATTCCTATCATTAGTGCTCCAAATATGTAGACTGCAGTATACGAGTCAAGATTTTCGGTTAATTTCGTTGCACCAATTTCCGAGGTATTCATAAATTTAGTTATATTATTTAAAGACCTCGATTGCTTCGTAGTCCTGTAATAGAATCCAATTGAAAATATAATTTATTAATTCAAATGTTTATGATACTCACCAGTATTTAATAAAGTAATCACAGCTACTGCACATTAATTGTGCTATAATGAAAGCCACGAATGTGATGAGAGGCAAAATACAAGAACCGCCGGTGGTTATGTACTTCCAATAGATATTTCTCTTAATTTTTATATTATTTTCATTTGATTTCACTTTTTCCTTGAAAACGGTCGTTCCGCTATTCGTTTGGGGCTTTACTAGCTTTTCTGTTTCTTTTGATTCTTTTTCATTATCGCTATCATCAATAGTACCAACGGTATACAATTGTGCAGGTGACATAGAATTTTTAATATTCTCAATTGTATCTGGTTCTAAATCATTGGCATCATTAACATTCAAATCTTTAAAAAGTTCATGTGACTTTTCCAGTGAAGAATAATTTCCTTTGTACTCGATGCGTCCCTATGAATTCAAAGATATCTTTATTCAACTTTGTAATAACTTTGTAAATTATACTCACATTATTAATAAGGATGATCTCATCTGCGTGTTGCAAGTACTTCATCTGATGTGTTATTAGAATTCGAGTTTTGTCCTTCAAGAAACCATTGATGCAATCATTATAAAGTCGTTCACCAACTCGACTGTCAACGGCAGACAGAGGATCATCCAATAGATAGATGTCAGCGTTTTTATAAACTGCCCTACGCATATTGATTAAATATCTTTCTTAAGTTTCGTTAAATAAGAGAGTTGGGTAATCACCTGGCTAAGTTGATTCTTGCATTTTGTCCACCACTTAAAGTCGCTCCATCTTCTCCAACGTCAGTCTCATCCCCATAAGGTAATTGGTCAAAATCTTCCAGAAGTGAGCAAGCTTTGAGAACTTGTTCGTATCGATGTTCATCGTAAATTTCTCCAAATAAAATGTTGCTCTTAATGGTGCCTCTGAAGAGCCATGGTTCTTGGCTGGCATACGACAGCTTCCCGTGAATGTGAACTTGGCCTTTGCTCAATTTCAGCTCGTCAAGAATCAGCTTGAAAAGTGAGCTCTACAACAATCAAAAACAATCTTGCCAAGATTAATTAAATCAGCAACACAATTCAAGCGTGAAGCAATAAAGAAAGCAATCGAAAGATCAGTCATTGTGGTTATATTCAACGGATAGCTTTATTTTTTTTCTAGCATTGCCGTCATTTGTATCTCACCATACTACCTTTCCTGCTCCAACTGGACCAACAATCGCGTATAATGAGGTTCGATCTATGCGAAGGTTGATATCATGCAATATGTCAACGTCCGCCTTTTCTACCGGCATGGCACTCACATCCTTCACGACAATCATTGTTTCTTCATCTTTGCCTGGTAAAGTTTGGACGTTTGGTACTTGTTCGTCCAGAAGCAAGAATTCCTGCACAAAGACAACTTTGTTAACGCTCTCATAGATGGCTACCTACGAAGAATCATACCTGAATGCGTTTCAACGAAGCTATGCCTTCGGAGAGAGTATTGACCGAACGCAGGAAGTACGAGCCCATCATTACGTGAAGAACGTTAAAAAATTGCACAAGAGTGAATATCTTGTAAGCGTTTATACTGTGGCCTTGTAGCACGTAAATCGTTATTGTTAAGAACACGGGCGTCCGTTGGGCAAACGCCGTTACCGACCACAAGACACTTCTCAAGTATGCTGCCACTGCTATCACATCGACTTCACATCTGTAACGATGAAACGGATTGTTGCATTCGATCAGAGCTACTGCCGACCGTCGGTACAGTAAATTGGACAATACCTTCTTGCTTGGAAAACAAACTGTTCGAACGGTTTCTCCCAGGTATAGATCTTAATGACACGAATGCCCCTGACGACTTCTCCAGTGAGCAACAATCTATCGTCGGTCCTCATGGCAATCTTCCTCCGCAGTTTAGTGATGATGCTGCCGCAGAACGCTGCAGATTGCATTGGTGTATCGTGCCGCGAAACAATAAAAGTGGCAATGGGGAAGGTGCTCACCCTGAACCGGTATAGTTTGGGCTACCAAGGCAAAAACTCCAGCTAACGAAGTGACGCCAACATTCCGCCAGATTAAGTACGTGATGAGGACGGTTTGCAGAGGCAATATCCAGAAAGTGTGCAGGAAGAGAAAGCAAAATTCTAGTTTTACTACGTCGTTGGACAGTAGGGTCATTATTCGTCCTCTAGTGTGTTGTTTGGCCGTGTAAGGTAGTTTCATGATCTGGCGACAGTGGCAATCGACAAGCCATTATCGGATTATTTATTTTGAGCTGTCACGTGCAATATGCACCCGAAAGCTCTAAATTACAACGAAGATTAGATTGTCGAAGATACGAGAAGTTAAGTGCCTCGAGCAGTCGTCGCGGTGAGGTTGCGTTTTTCTTCAAAAGACAACATTCTCATTTACCTTTCGATAGATAAGCGAAGAGCAAGCGAGTCTTGCGTTGATGCCCATACTTCTCAAATTGAACATTACGTGAGTGAAGAATAAAGAGTCGAGCACGCTTATGCAGACGAAGCATGTGGCATAAATGCAGGCTTGCAGGATGCTGGATGTTGAACGCTCGTCGAAGTGCCAAATTAAGAGTCCAACGAACAACGGCTGGGATACCCTGATTCCAAATGTTTTCTCATAACTTCGATATAATTTATCGTATTTTTTCAAATGCTTTTTTTTTATCGATTTTCGCAAATACGAGTAATACTGGTTTATAGTTCTTGCCGGCTTTATCTCAAGTTAGATAACGGTTTATTGTCTTATCACAAATAATTCTTTGAACCTTGGCAAATTTATAAATAGTTAAATGTCGAGGCAATTCGCAGGAAAGTTATGCAGAAACAATGGCGAATTTCGACTCGTCGTGCGATCTCGCATCAGTCGCACTTGAATGTAAACGCAATGGGACAAAGTTTCGCGCTGAGAAAATGTCCGTCGTCGATATATCGAGAGAGAAAAAGGGCGAGAAGAGACGCGGACGAAGGTGAGCAGTGGCGCGCGAGTCCGCCGAGATCGTCGACTTACTTGCAAACTACGTGCTGGCCGAAAGTGTGAGGCGCGTATCGCAGAAAGCTCCATTTGAAAGTCCTCGCGAAGGCTTTCAAGAGGCTCGGCTTTCGCAGTCCCCTGGCTGCGTCCGACAGCTCCAGCCGCCAGTAGCTAATCCAGAGACACACACACACACACACGAGAGAGAGAGAGAGAAACGTTAAACGGCAGTCGCGAGGGTCGCGCTCGCGATCGCGGAGACTCGACTGCGCATTTACTTCTCCAATCTGTCGGCGATGGGCTCGCTGACGTTCTCGGGCAGCACCTCGTACAGATCCCTCGGCCGGAACTCGCGGGCCCCGCCGCGTCGGAAGATCGGCAACAGCCAGCTGGAACGGAAAAAGCCGCCGTGACTATTGACAGGCGCGACGTCGGCGCGATACTCACCAGAAGAGCAGGCGGCTGAAAGGGCCGGCGACGAGCCTGGGATTGGGCCTCCTCTCCATCGCCCGTCGACAGCGATGCCGCACCGCTCGGTCGCGCGGCCAGACTGCGATTCGCCCGCTTCTGTCCCGCTTCTGTCCGCGCCTCGCGCTACCACAGCGCTATCTTTTGTCGCGCGCGCGTGCACCGCCACGCGAATCGCCACTGACTAATCGCCCAAGGTGCCGCTCGCTTTACTTCGCCTCGTAGCGAGGCGATTGACCCCTCGACGAGCGTCGGAGTGGCCGTGCACTTCCGGGACACGATGGAGTCCATCTCTCGTTGCTTCCGTTCTTCGGTGTGCGCGCGTTCAGCGGAGGAAACGTGGAGTCGCAGCTGACAGCGAGGCCGGCGGAGGCGCTGGCTTGTCAAAAGGAGTAGCGCCATTATGCGCGGCGTTTCTTCTGATTGCCAATTAAAGTTGAATGGCGCGATTGCCCGTCTTGGGTGCGATCTCCCTCGCAGCGTCGGACCCCAGCGATCGCTCGACTATAAAGCGGCAATCAGATTTTATTGCACACTTCCCAATACGCAGAGGCTCGAGCCTCTAATGCGATCGTTAACAGAGAGAGAACGTCGCGATCGGTGGCATTTCTGCTGCGCGCTAGTTAAAACGCCAGCCATGCTCCACATGCTCACAGCTCCGGCGAGTCGTCGATCGATCGATGGAAGCGCGTAAAGTGAGTCGCTTTCTTTCGACGCGACCGATCGCTCCCCGCGTGACGCGAACGTCGATCAATCTGGCATTCTGCCGCGATAACAAGCTACAATCCACACGGACAAAGGAAAGGGAAATAATCGTGATATACGGTGCCGGGCACGCGGTAGATACGTTGGCGAAGAGTCAGCCGACGAATCAAACGATCGACGAGCATTAATGAGCCCTTGGCAAGATGTGCCGATGAACGACTGATGCACCGATGCGCCCGCGCGCGTCACGCAACGGGCGCCACTCCGTTCGCGAGCGACGGCTCGATTCGGCTGTATCTTTTGTTTGCCTGCCTAGCCGCTGCCTCGCCGTTATCGTCGAGCGCGCGACGACGACGATCTTGCGAAAGATCGAAACCCATCGGGAATCGTCGAACCAGAATGAGCAATGAAAGACTTTTGTTTTGTTTGTTTGTTCGCTCGTTCGTTCGTCCGGGGAACGGCATAGTCGGCGTCGGGCACCGGGCTGGCCTTCATAATCTTCACCGAGGCGATCAATCAGTTCCCTGGCGCGCAATTCTGGTCGGTGCTGTTCTTCCTGATGCTGTTCACGCTGGGCATAGACTCGCAGTTCGGCACGCTCGAGGGCGTGGTGACCAGCATCGTCGACATGAAGCTCTTCCCCAACCTGCGCAAGGAGATTCTCACCGGTAAGAGGCGACGAGTCCATCGCCGCGGCTCGCCGTCGAATGACCGAACCTGGCTCGAGATTGCAGGCGGCATATGCTTGGTGTGCTGCCTGATATCCATGGCGTTCGCTCACGGCGCCGGCAGCTACGTGTTCGTGCTGTTCGACAACTTCAGTGGCAACTTTCCCCTGCTCATCATCGCCTTCTTCGAGTGCATCGCCGTCGCTTACGTGTACGGGATTAAGAGGTAAAGCTGGCCAGCGTCGAGGCGGAAGCGCTGCGCGCGCGCGCACAGACACACAGACACACGCGCACACACATACTCAGACACGCGAGCGGATCGTCGTTGATCCCCACGCTGCACGTCCGTAATCACGCACGGCGACACTGATCACACGTTACGACAGACGCATCGCCGAGGTACGACACATTGATCGACAGCCTTGCCACGCCTTTTCAATTGCACGCTCGTAGGCAATTGTCGTGCGAGAAGTCTCGCGATCGCGACTGCAAGAGCAGCCGATCGAACGCTTCGAGACGACGAGAGTCCGACGACTCTGCCATTGCTAGCGAACTTCCCGATCGCTCGATCCCAACAAGTCGTTCGCGTTGTAACAGGTTCGCCGACGACATCGAGCTGATGACCGGCAATCGTCCCGGACTCTACTGGCTGATCTGCTGGAAGTACCTGAGCCCGCTGGCGATGCTCAGCATCCTCGTGGCGTCGGCCGTGGAGATCGTGGTGGAGGGCAGCGGCTACCAAGCCTGGGTCGCCAGCGAGGGCGTCACCAAGAAGCTCGAGTGGCCCGTCTGGGGACTCGTTCTCATCGCTGTCCTCATATTCGCTTCCATATTGTGGATACCGGTCGTCGGCATTTGCAGGTAGCTCTGGCGTTGCTTCCCTCGAAACATCGGCTACTCCGACGCTTGCGCAGAGTGCGAACGCGTTTCCAAGTTTTGAACGACATTGAAAATGCGCTCGAGCCGTTCAATTCGTTTGCCTGCTAATACTTTTGCAATGGCTTGACGTTTTCTCTTATTTTCTCTTTCCCAAACTCAACCAGCAAAGAAAAAACAAAAGTAAAAGTAAAACCATTCGCAGATACTTCAACATCCTCATAATCGACGACAATGAGAAAGCCTGGTTCCCAGCATCGGATCTCAAGGAATTTCACGGCATAATGCCGCACGAGGTGACGCTCGCCGAGACATTCCTGTTCTGCATCCACGCCGACGGCTCGGAAGGCCTGTGCTGCCCCACCGGTGGGCCTCGCGAGGACGACGAGGAGGAGGACCTCGACATAACTTAAGCTACTCCAAGGGCCGGATAGTCGTCTGAAAATACGTAACGCGGATGCGACTGGTCCCTCATTCCTTTTTTTCCGAGTTTCAACACACGCACACACACACACACACCCGAGAAATATAATACCACGACGTATACTTTCCCCAGTTTAATTAGCCTTGCATTCGTCTTGATTTTCCTTGTGTACATATGCCGCGGGTGGAGCTTACATTTCCGGCGAAATCGATGTGAGCCTCCAGGTTATACATCACACACGCAAAAAAAAGGAGAGGAAGCGCGCAGTCAGTCAATTAAGTCAAAGTAATAAGAGGACACGAGAGTGAGGGAGAGAGAGAGAGAGAGAGAAAGGATTTTATCGAGCGAGAGTCGCGACTTCAATCAACGGGCCGACGAACTTATCGTCGGCGCTGTAGATTGCCGGTTAATATATACGTTGTTACTGTAAGCTGATTGCCGCGAGAGGAGGGAGTAAGATTCGTCTACGAGTTCACGTTCATGGATCCCGACTGCTCTTTCTTCTCTCCGACTGTTGTTTACTTTCACGCCCGATATATCTGATTTTTACCTGATTTTCGAGACTATCTTTACACTGTGATACCTGCTTTTACTGCGTTTCTTTACTCCATGCTCAATTCTTGATTGTCAATGTTGAAAGAAAGAGCTAATCGTAATTGTGATGACGTGCGAAACTCATGAATCAATTATTACGTAGCGTTCGCAATACTCAATAATCATTCGTATAAATAACTGACGACGTCGTTGAAGCGACTAGAGCAAAACAAAACAAGCCCTAAAATATTATTCAATTCTAGAAAAATTTATCGCTTATACAATTAAAGTAATCGCTAAACCGAAGATCTTCGTGGACGATCGCTTCTCTCAGTTCTGGAGGATTACTTGAACGATCGATCACGATAAAAAAAAATTATAAAAATAAAAAAACGAAGAAATTCTCAAAATAGTCGTAGGAGCCGTCCATCGGACAGACGCGTCTTTTCTGTTCTGATTATCCTTCCGTTTCGACTTTTTCAAATAAGCGCGTAAATAAGAGAAAATAAGTGAAGTCTTATATATTGTAAGAATATGTATGAATATTAATACGGGAATAATGTCGTTATCTCCACTACCTTACATGCCACAGTCGATCTTTTCTGAATTTTCTCTTTCTTCCATTCGCTCATCTCGTTGCTTTTTTTGAGAATCACGCATGTTGAGACACCGTAGAAACTATATTTCCTTCGACTTGCGTGAAACATGTTAATGTGGTTCGTTTAAGATTACTAGAACGCGAAAAACTGAGAAACCCGTATTCAAATCACTGTTGAAATCTTCCATGAGTCTAGTGAAACCACAGAGTGAAAAAAAAAGAAATTTTTTTTGTTAACGATTGCTCGTTTTTACATCCTCGATTCTTTGACGATTATTTCCTTGACAACAAAATATAATGTGATACATAGTTAATAATTAAACGTAAAATGCTTAATATGGACTCTATTTGTAAGAATTTACATGGCAGTATGATTTTAGAATTACTCGTGCAGACAAGAGAAGAACGATGATTCGGGAATGTGCGGTGGAAAATTATTTGATAATAGAAATCAGCAATTGTTAATAGAAAAAAATCGAGACAAAAAGCGTGACTGCAGAAACATAGAACTGATCGATTAGCACATCGTGGTAGTGTAAATCACGTTGAAAGTAAATTTATAGAGGTAGCGACTATCTGGCGAGCAAGAAACCCATTGCAAGAGCGTAGCGATCGAGCGTTCGAAAAAAAATATATAAAAATATATACGTTCCCAGACGGTTGAGCCTAAAAAAGCTATGATTTTTTAATTATTTCCCGATTGTTTGTAATAAGTACGAAACAAAACTGAGAGACAATAAACGTGAAAAAATTGCTAATGACAATAAAATTAGAGGCATCGAGGGGGAAGATGACAATAAGATTAAAAAATATATAATATACGCACTGTTCGTTGATTTGCACTCGTGTTATAATAACCATATGAAAATAAAATCACAGAGGCCTATTCGAGCAGTTACGCAGATTTAACGGAAAAGTTTATTATCGATGTGCTCAAACAAAAAGTCGGAGTAGCAAAAGCTTGGATGACCCGATTTCCAGTCGAATAATAACTTTTGGTGGTTGTGTACACGATAACTTTCATTATGCGTTACAACGAATATCGTTTCCATAGTCAATTAGAACGCATATTGTTTCGTTGCCGGGCGACTCATACAATAAGTACTTCGTTCAATGTACTCGTAGTCTCCAAGCTTTTGAAAATCCGACGAGTATGAGAATAATTGTTATCACTAATTATCGATGCTCTATGAAGAAATATACACATTACACACACACACGCGCACACGCGACGTTATATATATTTTAACTACGTTTCGAATGAACATATACGAGAGAAAGTATAACGGATGTGCTTTCTGCGTGTGCGTAACTATCTAAATATATACATATTGTAACGGCCGTTTATCGACTTTTTAAAACACACACATGCGCACACACGCTCACATAAGAAAACCTATTGTTAAATTCATTGAATGTTATATTGAATCCTTGAGGAGAACACAGAATTTTGGAGGAATAACGAACAAACGCCCATTGGCGAATTTTAAGCGGCAAAAAAAAAAAGAATACGCTTTTAATATTTTAGCAAATTTATTTTCGTACGACAGTACAAATGAATAAAATTGTAACTATCGAGTACAACAATAATATTTTACTGTTATAAATCTGGAGGCACGAAGGCTTAATATTATGTTGAAACGATGGTGCTAAAAAGGATATAACTGCGCTTACCTGTCGACGTCGTTCTGATTTGAAATTTTATTTGGCGACTTGGCTGCAAGCGTCAGTATACTTTCATACAAAGCCGTTTGCAGCTTCGATTACGAAATTCCAAAGAAACAGCGGCAAATCTGCTTTTCAATCAAGACGACAAACAGCAAAGTTGCGCGAAAAATGCGTTATAAATTGCACTACACTGCTAGGCGGCGCGTAAACAAAGAGAAATATTGCTACACGGCTGCTGATAAAAAAAAGTATCTACGTTATGCAAAAATAAAACATTCCCAAGTGAACTTTCAATTCGAAATATCAAGCTTGAAAATTCGCTCGAACGAGGAATGTCTATACAAATTTTTATGACAATAACTGCGTTGTTTGTATAATGACTATGCAGTGAAAGACAGTTGTTATCTATAATGATAATGTCTCAGCCATATTAATTGATTTGCACACACACGATGGCGACGACGAGAGCACAACTTAAATTAATAGTCGGCAGAGTGTAAATAAAGCAAAGTTTTGCACGCACATTAGCAATGAGAAGAATATCGATGTGTTTTTTGAAAAAACAACAAACTAGAGGATTCTAATTGTTTTTCATGAATAAGCATCGTAGAACTTTTTCTAATGTATTTCTTCATGTGTGCCTCTTTGCTTCTTAAATAAAAATAAAGAAAAAAAAAAGAAAACTATCGCTCGTAGATATTAAACAACTAGACAAATTGTTACCTATTTGAGACAATAAGCGAGGAAATTCATTTTTCATTTGCAGTCCGGATATATACACATGAAAACAAGCAATTTAGACGGCAGAAAATTTTCCTGAAAAGACGAATTGTCAGTAGTACAAGCTTGCACAATAAAGTATCGGCGAGAGATGTAGACAAAGGGATAAAATCATGGAAAAATCAATTAAAGTGTGAGTGATATTACGAGTACACAAATTGACAGAAATGGATTACAAAATGAGTATAAATATTATATATACATATGAGGATACAGAATTAATTATACATAAACTAGAGCGGAATTAATTATTATAATGCGTACACGTAAATGAAAAAAAAAGAAATAATGTACATATTATATTGTTGTCAGTTGAATGTTACAATAAATACCGCACGTGGGAAACCAATTTCTTTTGTTGTCCGTAGCTTTGACAGCCCTAGTTAGAAGCAAATTATTTTCAAATATTTCTTCTGTTTATTAGCAACAAGCTGATGTTTGTTTTCGTTTTTCGATTAAATATATGTGAAAAAGTATTTAAAATTCCTTACACTCTTCCTTACATGACAGTTGATGATCGAGCCATTATCTTATCATTTCCAGATTGACAAAAGTTCTTTGAAAGAATCAAAGCTAATCGTTTGTTAATTAACAAAGCGATCGTAAACTTAAACTGGCTAATTGACATGTCTCTTTGAAGCTCGAAATATATTTGTCATAAAAATTCTTGAATTATTTTTGTTGTACACTATACGCAATCAAAAAAATCAAGTCTCAATCTCGAAGCAAAAATAAAATCCCCTTGATAAAGTTATAATTCATCTCCTTGGTGAGACAACTTTTCGGCGTGCCGTTCCATTTCACGCGACAAGCGACCATTTATCAGCGCGCATCCAAACGGTCTGAATTACCCGCTTCCTTGTTGCCCACGCGACCTGATGGTAATTACACCGAAACTTTTAGAAATGTCTCGTTAAGAGTAGCTACTTAGGTGATGAAATGTTAACTCGAGTGTTTTTTTAGACGTAGATTAAAAAAAATACTTGCCTTTTCTAAAAACCAACATTACATTTCTTCTATTTTATTTCATTATGAAGTTTAAGATATTTTTCTCCGTTAAAAAATATCTTTGCTTTCTTTTGTGTCCCTAGAACATTTTTTGGATCTTGAAGCATTGAGTGTTATAAGTTAGTAGAAACACTTTTATCTACTAGAGTTTCAATTAAAAAATACTTATAAATTATCAAAATAGAATATCTTACGAGCTGACGAGCATTAAAGCTATATGGAAAAACGCCGAGAATCTTTCAAACTTCGTTATCACAAAGATTCTTATATGTGCAAGAGTGTAAGTAAAACATTGTTTACATAAAATACATAGGATACAAAATAATTACCAAGTAACTGAATTTTTCATCATGCTTTATTTACGCAATAATTTTACGAATGTCGTTATTTGAATGATCCGTACATCGTGTAACAAAAACGTCTTCATCTTTGCGAGGAAGAGAAATGAGAGTCGGTAAGAATCATCAACATGCTCTACTTACATCCTTCCGTAATAACTCTTATCATCATCATTATTTTTTTACACATGTTTCGATGCTTCTCCACATCATAAAAAATAAAAATTTTCAGAACGAAAAAAAGTATCATATAAGCCGGTGGCAAGGCACTTCGTCAGACATACCACTTCTACGTTTTGTAGGGAAAAAATGAAATTATTGCTTTTTTGGATTGTCGATTATATATATATACAAAAACAATAGTCAAAGCTCCACGCGCACGACGAATGACAAAGAGACAACAAAGCTGATTATACAAAAAATCGAAAAGACAAGATTATGAAGTGTCGAGATACATGCGGTTCAATCGAAGTGTCTGGCCAACGGGCGCTTTCAAGAGAGAACAGAGATTATTATTCCAACTATACAAACTTATGCCTCACGCTAAATACAAATGTCCACTTTTAGGGGGGAGATAATAGCCTAAATTCTAAGTCACTAACGATAGCGTTAATTCTGCATTTTCTTTTTTAATCTTTTTATTAATCATAATTTTTTTTTCTCGGTCAAACCTAAGGATACACCACGCTTTATATACCTCCAAAGTGGGTTATCTTACACTTAGGAAAAATAGTACGGACGTGAAGACGCGTCTGGCGCTCATCACTTTTTTGTTTTTACACACGTGCAGTAATAATCAAAGAGAGTCTTGGCATGAAATATAATTAAACAAAAGAAAACAGAGTTGATGGATCACAAATAAACAGGAGAAGAAATGAAACGTTAATCCTACGCGTTTATCCATAGTAAATAATTATAATAAAAAATGAAATAAACAGTGTGTATTTTTCACATAGAGAGATTTCCAAATGGCAGGATAATCCTATATATTTGTCGTGTTCGTTTACAATCTATTACTCAACATTTTTTCCATTGTCGTGGGTGTATCGTTTATGTACGTGTGTAATTGTGTATTAAGGTACGTGTGCGTATATGTGAGATAGAATGAATCTACTTTAAGCGCCTACGGAAGACGCGCGAAACGAAGGCTGTTTCATAGTTTAAATGAGTATTCTCAAATATATGGGTTTGTTTATGTGCCTTCTTTAAATGCTGAGGGTTTATGATGCTGTTATTGTATTTTTGTTTATCGAAAGCAACGCCACGTATACAAATATAAAAAAGAACGCCCTCGAATATAGTGTGTAAATCAATGTTACGTGTACGTATGTCTTAATGTGAGTGTATATGAATGAATCAGTACGGCAGGAATGTCACAGCTGCTGCCTTGGAAGCTTCTTCATTTTATCACTGGCGACATTTACAATTACAATTTCTCTCTCTCTCTCTCTCTCTCTCTCTCTCTCTCTCTCTCTCTCTCTCTCTCTCTCTCTCTCTCTCTCTCTCTCTCTTTCCTTTCTCTCGATTCTTCTTCTTCACAATGTACAATTTGCGAGCTACTTGCTTTGATGCATTACTTCTTACTATTCCATTCACTTAATCTGTAACCACGAGTGTTTCAAACACTCGGCTGCGGTTGCACGTTCGTTCGGATCGAAGGCTAACATAGGCGTGAGGAAATCAGCAAATTCACGCGCTTCTGATAAGGACCACTCGTATTTCTCTGTCAACACCTCGTACAAACCCCAGGGTTTTAATCCTGTTATGTGCTTTAGCTCGCCTTTCTTGTTAAAGAAATTGCGAGAGTGACGTCCTGATAATGCTATACGGCGTGGAATTTCACCCAGCAATTCAATTATGTGAGCCAAATGATCTTCGTCTCTGAAAAACAATTATGATTCTTATTATACCTATATCAACATTATTTGTGAATATTGATTTTACGTATACCAGTAGATTGAAAGATCAAGAAATGTTGTTTTATCATGAATGTACTTCAATAATACAATAGCTATCAGTTTAAATAGCTTATCAACTATGCACGCTGTACAAATTTGAAGAGCAAGATATGATCATAATTTCAAAGGTTAAAAAATCATCAATTACTTCGTATCAAAGCGATTTAATAAACGCGACATTTAAATCACAATAAGATCAAACAATTGAACAAAGTAAAATTCAAGCAACCAACCTGCAGTAATCATCGCCGCTATGTGGCTCGAATAAGTAATCACCAGTAGCAAGTTCAAAAGCCATGCAAGCAGTGGACCATATGTCGGCAGAAGTGTTATAACCAGCGCCAAGAAGGACTTCAAGAGAGCGATATTGACGAGTCTGTATATCCTCAGTGAACTTCTTGTGTACCCAACAGGCATTGCCAAGATCAGCGATTTTCACCTCCACTTCACAGTCGACTAATGCTGGATCGAGTGGCGCTACCGACGCACGTTTCAACTGTTTCCTGTCACGTCCTGCGTTTTCACCTGAAATACATTAAGAAAATAGATTGCAAGTTTTTTAACTTCTAATATCTTAAGATGAACAATGAAAAAGGCATTTTTTAAAGTTAGTACACTAATATTATCACTCTGTATAGCTTTATTGTAAAACTATTTTGGAAATTAAATCACGAAACTTTTGAAATGCCTAACGTAACAATAACAATTCGATTATGCTATTTTTATACCAACGAAAACAAACCCACCATCTCCTAACGAATCAGCATCTCCATCATTAGCATTCACCTCATCGTCTTTCTTTCCATCAGCCTCGGGATTCTTATTTTTCTCGACCACTTTGTTCTCCTCCTTATCGTTTTCATTCTCATTTTCGTTCTCTTCGGCCATAGCTGTAAACTCAGCATCCTTTTCAACCGCGACTTTTGTTGTTTCGTTGGACGCTATTGGAGTGTCAATACCATTGACGAGCATCAATGACACTGACGTTGATTCAGAAGCTTCCAAGGGAGACTCTTTATTGCTCTCAATTTGCTCCTCGATGCTTTCCGTATTTAGCTCAGCGCTGTTATCGCCACCGTTGTTAGTCGATGTTGGTGTTGTCACTGCTATCTCACCGTTTTCTTTGTGGCCTACAAATCACCATGCAAATATTAAAATTTTTATTGAAAAGTAAGCTAATAACAATATCAATGAAAATTACCAGCCACGTTCTTGGTATCAGCGTCAGCATTAGCAACACCATCGCCAGACTTGTTGAGCTCTTCCATCTCTTCTATCTGCTCCATCTGCTTCTTAAGCAGTTCGTTCTGTCGCTTAGCCTTCTTCTTGAGGCGCTTCTTTTTGTTCTTAGACATCTTGCCTTGAGTGGTTGGCTCTTGAAATTCTTTTGGTGCCGTAGATACCAAAGATGCCGGCAATTTCAGCCCCAACGAATGTAACTCCGTCGCCGTAGTCGCTAATCGCCTTATATAAGCCTCATCCACGCAGACCAGCACGTTTTCTGGCTTTATGTCAGTGTGAATTATTTGGCCTGCAATTAAAAAAATGATCAGATTCGGTATTATTTCAAGAGCGAATAAAGATTCGGATATTCAAGTAATTTTTCTTTCGTACTTCGTTCTCCAAATATGTCGAAATGTAAATGATAAAAAACAATTTATAGTAAATCAGTAGTCATATCTCGAATATAAATAACTCATACCAACGATATTGAACAATTGATATCATCACAGAGCAAAAGATATTATAAAATCCAAATTAATCGTGTGACAGGAAAAAAGCAAGTAATAAGTGGCATAGCGCCACGATACTAACTTCGACTGCTGTCAGTTGAACATATTAACCGTATGTGTTATACTCACATTTATTATGTAAATAATCTAATCCCTCAAGAACTTGTCGAATAATTCGTCGCACGTTGTTCCTGGGGATACCCCGGTAATTGGACCTAATGATGAGTTTGAGCAAATTGTGCCCAAGCACTTCGAACACCATGCACACGTGGAGACCATTGACACCACTGATCTTGAAGTCATTCAACAGTTGTACCGTTTTGTTGCGTTTCGGATCTTGTGGATCTGTGTCGCGCACGTCCTTCAGCAGCTTGATCTCGTCCAGCGCTGTCTCCGTGAAGTGCGACGCCGATTTCACTACTTTTAAAGCTACAAACCGCTTGTCCTGTTAAAAATAAATGAATAAATAAAATAAAGAGCATTTTATTTTATTTCGCTAAAGATAAAGGTCGACAGCTCTGACGCACCTGTAAATCCCAGCACAGCCAGACAGTGGAGAAATGACCCCAGCCAAGTTTCCTCGTGACGTGATAACGATTGAGGAAGAAATCGCCAATTTTGACTGGATGATAGCCGCCTTTGCAATAATCGCTGCTATCCTCCTGTTCGTCATCCTCGCTACTAAACATCTCGTCCTCGTCTTCAATGGTCTCGTTGCTCGAGCTATGACATGGCTCCAGTCTGCATATACAATAACAATTTGTTTTTTTCTTTTTTTTTCTTTTCAAAAAATGTACTAACAGTTGAATATGTTGATATAAATAGAGAATGGAATCTGCTTCTTGGGTGTATAAGTTATTCTAAAAATATGCATATTTCAAGAAACTGAGGTAAGTTGCCAAGTACTAAATCACAAGTGATACCAGTAGTAATCCCATACCAATTTAATATTTGATAAAGAAAGACATCACAGAGTCAATAGGCTGTAATATTGATTATTTTGCTATAAGATTTAGCTGTTTATAATTTTAACTGAAAAATTTTAGAATTTTTTTATTTTGTTTGTTTGTTGATATTAGAATGTGCTGTATGTGTGTGGGCTATATAACAAAACAGTTTATCTAGGTAAATTTTTAATTCAATTTTCTGGATTCTAGTAATCTAAGTCAACTACTGTGTCTAAAATCAAATTGCAAACTTAATCATTTAACGTTAAACTGTTTTGAAATGATTGAAAGTTGAAATTGAAAGCAGCTTACTAGTTTACTTTGAATTTCCTATTTAAGATACTTAAATAAAGGTAGTACTAGAATTATTATATTTTTTAAATTGAACCATTGTATTTTGAAATTGATTGACTTCATATTGGAAAATTATTTTATATACATGTAGCGTTTTATTTACTGTAATGGTCTTCATATAATTCCCTTAAAAACTATTTTACAACTGGATCTTATATATTTAATTATATTATAAATTATATTATTAATTATATAATTATATTATAAATTATCCATTGTTCAACAATACTCTTGAAACTCAAATAAGTATATACATATATCATTGATTAATTTTTAATAAACTTATATTACAGATTAGAAACACTAAGGTAGGTTTTTCAATCTGTAAAAATTCAATTTGAGAAGTTGCTCAGTTATAAATTTCAATATATTAATCAGTAGAGCTTCTCATAGCAGAAATGAATATGAATAGATAGATTAATTCATCAGTAGAGTTCTTGATAATCATTAATTGAAACAAAGCGATTATTTTATTAATATAATGATTATTATTCATGGTTTTTATCTTTTTATTTAAAAAGAAATTATATTTTTCATCATCTTGAAATTCCATGAGTTTATATTGGCATGACTTTTTTGCAATTTTATTGTCTAATCATAAATAGTTTTGATTCACCTATACTGTTTCTATGCTATTGACCAAACTATTTAGGTTAGCTTTTGCTTTCTGTGCAGCACTATCCAACCACAGACTATTTGATTCATAATAGCATTATACATCCCTTGTAATATAGATATGTCATAAAAAATCAAATACAATTGACAATAATAAAAAGACTATCAATATTAAACAATGACAAATCTATTCTGTACGACATATCTAGGTTTAAAATTAAATTTTCCCAAGTTGTCATTGCAAGCACATGCTCAAAACTTCACGATTACAATAAAAACTACCTGTCAACTTGGGCAGTCAGAAGGAAAGCTCAATTTTATGGATTGAACCAATAGTATCATAACGAATACCACTTTCCAGAAACCTGTGTAACCCATTTCCTTTATAAATGTGCACATGGTTGTCTCTCATGCAAAGGTGTGAAAAAAGAATCTGGTGAAGAACGTACCTGCTGCCATTGCCACCGGAGTATCTATAAGAAGTGTCTTGACTTAGACTCTTGGGTTCCTGCTGTGGTTTATTCTGTACCTGGACCTGGATATCACTGAGATTATCTTGAGGTCGTTCTCTATTGGAAGCAGCTTCGTTTGTAGCATCGTAATTGGCATTGTTAGCTGGCGTAACAATGGAGCTACCCTTGCCCTTGCGCTTGCTAGGCTTGTGTCGTTTCTTCTTGGCCTGGATCGCGAGGACCCGCCTGTTGACGTCGCTCTTGCTATTCATCTCCAGCTCGCCGCTGCCGCCTCCGCCGCTACTGCTGCTATTGCCGCTGTGGCTGCTGTTGCTGGTGCTGGTGCTGGTGGTGCTGCTGATGGTGCTGGTGCTGGTGGTGGTGGTGGTGGTGGTGCTGCTGCTGCTGCTGCCGCTGCTGCTGCCGCCGCTGCTACACCGCCTCTTCTTCTTCCTCTTCGTCGTGACTCAGAAACTCGTCCAAACTTCGGTTCTCTCTCTCTCTCTCTCTATCTCCTCGCGGTGTATGTGCTTTTATTACTCCTTCGAGCACCACATCGATTTTTTCAACGCCAACCCTATATGCTGCTGCCTGCTTTCCTCCCGTGCCCGTGGATATTCAGATCTGACCGTCTCGTTACCAACGCACCCTGACCGTCGACTATTTTTAGTAGGTGAAGCCTAGAGACATACAACTACTCTGCAGTCTTCTTTATTGTTTTTTTTCTTTTATTTGTGTTGGACAACGTAAAAGAGCGTACTCTTTTGAATTTTATCGAATGCAAAAAAAATATACCATCGTCACGCGACGTTGTGTGTCGTTATAAAGGGCGAGGCAAGATACACACTTGCGTGCGGTGCGCGCACAACAAAAGCATTTATATTGAAAATTAATCAAAAAAACGATCTTTATCATCGGCACTGCATGAAGCTTCGATCCGCGCCTCACTAGGGCGAGCTGTTGTCGATTTCCGTCGTCGTAGACTCGTAGTAGTGCTGGCGGTCTTCCGGCGTAGCGACTAGCGAGCATGCTTATAGTTAGTTTGTGTCCCGTCCGCGTCGATTTTACGTGTGAAACAAAAACACGATAATGCGCCAGCGTTAGCAATAAACTGTCCATTATTTGTTGCGATTGTCTCCAAATTGAAGTTACAATCATGGTAAGTGATCTTGTGAATTTTCGCGAGAAAAGCAAGCGTCTGAGATTGTTTGTTTACACGCGCAAGCCACGCGTGATTTTCCTAACCTTCACTCACGTGGCATACACACCACATCAAATATTTCATGATTTTATTTTATTTGCAGTCGAAGTTGTTCGTACTATACGAGCATGCAGCGGGTTACGCACTGTTTTCTGTACGCGAGTTTGAGGAAATTGGTATGCTCTTACCCCAGGTAGAGGCATCAGTGACAGATTTATCAAGGTTCAACCAAGTTGTGAAATTAGTAGGCTTTACTCCATTCAAAACTGCTGTCACTGCTCTGGAGAATGTCAACAGCATATCTGAGGGTATTGTTCCTGAAGATCTACAGCTGTTTCTAGATATAAATGTACCTAAAGCTGGTAAGAAGGAGAAGGTAGTACTGGGAATTTCGGATCCAAAGTTGGGTGCAAGTATCACTGAAGTATTGGGGATCAAGTGCGATCATACCGGAGCTACACCAGAGATCATCAGAGGAATTAGGTTTCACTTCCACAATCTTGTGAAAGGATTCACCTCCAAGAGCTCAGCTGTGGCTCAGTTGGGTCTGGGACACAGTTATTCTAGAGCCAAAGTCAAATTCAACGTCAATAGAGTAGACAATATGATCATACAGAGTATTGCTCTGTTGGATCAACTTGACAAAGATATCAATACTTTTAGTATGAGGATCAGGGAATGGTACAGTTATCATTTCCCAGAGCTTGTCAAGCTTGTGCCAGACAATTACATGTATGCCAAGGTTACTCAATTGATAAAGAACAGAAAAGAGTTGGATCAGGATAAGTTGGATGCTTTGGAAGAAATAGTGATGGATAGTGCCAGAGCACAAGCTATTATTGATGCTTCAAAGTCATCTATGGGAATGGATATTAGTCCTGTTGATTTGTTGAATATTGAGATGTTTGCTATGAGAGTCATTGCTCTTGCCGATTATAGAAAAGAGTTGGCTGAGTATCTTAGATCTAAGATGGCTGGTGTTGCCCCTAATTTGGCTACTTTGATTGGAGATCAAGTTGGAGCAAGATTAATTGCACATGCTGGATCCCTTACTAATTTGGCAAAGTATCCAGCATCTACAGTACAAATTCTTGGTAAATTTTTCATTCAATATTGTAGAAATATATGAGGAAGTGAGAATTTGATGTTTACTAAAAATCAATTTGTTTTTTCAGGTGCTGAAAAAGCTTTGTTCAGAGCTTTGAAAACTCGAGGAAACACGCCAAAGTATGGTTTGTTGTTCCACTCTACATTTATTGGCCGAGCAGGTACCAAAAACAAGGGTAGGATCTCGAGGTATTTGGCAAACAAATGCTCTATTGCTTCGAGGATAGATTGCTTTGCTGAAACTCCTTGCAATGTATTTGGAGAAAAACTGAGACAACAGGTTGGTTGATTACGAAAGATGGCGTTCATATCGATTGAACTGTAAACGAGATTATATTGTATTCATTTTTGATAGGTTGAAGACAGATTGAAATTCTATGAAACTGGAGATGTTCCTAAGAAGAATATTGAAGTTATGCAGGAAGCCATTGAAGAAGCTTCGGCCATAATACCAATGGAGGAAGAGAGTCTAAAGAAAAAGAAGAAAAAGGATAAAAAGAGAAAGAGCGAATTGAATAGTAATGGAACTTTGAATGGAACAGTTGAGTTAAATGGAGATACAACTGTTGAGGCAATGGATGTTGACGGTGAGGATGAGGCTCCAAAGAAGAAAAAGAAGAAGAAAAAGTCGAAGAATCGTGAAGAAGAAGAGTAAAGATTTTTTATATACTTTTTTTAAAAAAACTTTGTCAACCATCTTGTATGGATGTTCAAATTAGTAAATAGTTTATGTAAACTTTCTGTGAAAGTTTTCACAGTACATTGACCTATGTAAATAAGCATTTTGTTACGTAACTTCTTTCTTATTGATCAAAATTTATTATGACGCTTATTAGGTGAAGCTATTTTTTCTTTTAAATAATGACATTTGGATCAACACATTTTTTCTCCTGGAATTGAATAGAATTGCCTGTTTTTCTGAAGTAATTTAAATTTGATTCATTATAACAAAAAATCTTAAATCTTAGAGTAAAAAATATTCGGTTATAGAATATTTTTCTAATTTGTACTTTAAACTTAATAAAATGAAAGTTTGAAGAAACAGTTGTTACTTATTTGAGGATAGGAAAAAGAATAATAAACAATACAGCGATAAAGTTATTTATTTTTTATTCAAGAACTCAAACATTAAAGATTAAAAAAATTTAACATTTTTCTCATTTATCATCAAATTAATAAACGTAAAAGTTTCATCAAATATTTCGTAAAAACAAAAATAAGAGTGTAAAATCAAGAAAAACCATGTTAATACCAGCACCATGAGCATTTAATGAAGACATAGCATACTGCAACATATAAGTATATAAATACTTAAAACAATAATTACAATTCTTAAACATTAGTGATCTTAAAAGCTAAATACAAAAAAAAATTATTAGGTTTTTTATTTAATAAGCTGCATCGAGTTAAATTCTTGTCTTTTTTTCTCAATATAATGAATTATTGTTAATTACAGGAATAAATTCATTTATTTATTGCAGCTTTTTGTCACTCCATTCACGTATTTACAAATAACAAGTTTTTTCAGTCTCGTTTTTTATTTCTCGAGGTTTCTTTCTTCCAATTGCAACTGTTGAAAAGTTTATTATTCCAAGACTACATTCATTTTACAAACTAAACTATTACACATTATGTTATATGCTGACTTTGTCACTTGGACTCTATTGACGTATCCCACTTAACAAACAACATTAAAAGATTTTTTCTAGGGAGGGGCGAAGAGACAGCCAAGTGACGAAGCATATCATCGTTAACAAAGAAAGATGATTATAACTTGGCAAACCTAGCTGTTAATCAAATCCTTAAACACTAAGTTTTCTTTTCTTTAAAATGATGTGTTTCTCTCATTGTATAATCTGGTGAACGATATGTCCCGATTGACGTGCATCGTGTACAAAGTAAAAAATAGTCAATAGTGCATATATCTGTAATATATTTATCCAACAGAAAAAATAAACTATCTAGACTTGTGCACTTGAGTGACACAACCTCACACTTCTGCCGAAGTCTGACTCCAAAAAAATTTTTCTCTTTGACTTGTTTTAGACGCAGACTTTAAAATTCGCTATCTTTCTTCAAAATATAAATTACAATTTTACATTATAAACAGGGTTTTCCTACATCGAACATCTTTTGTATTACAATTTAATTTCAACTATATACTTGTTCCTATTGATTTCGTAGTTAAAGTCTACGTCTAAACAAGGCAAAAAATCACTTGTGATTTTCAAGCATTATCTAAAGGTTCTCTAGCAAAACATTTATATTTGTTTCTTTTTCAAACTTCCTCGTGAAATTGTTATGTATCTCTCATTTTGTATGTACAAAAAAGTAACGTATAAAAGCATACCTTCTTAAATCTAAAATGCAAAAAGTTGGCATCGTAGACTCGCCGTGTTACCCATCACTCAACAATGATCAAAAGACAAATCAAGAAAAAGTAAAATGAACGTCTTTGTTTTTTAAAGAAACAAAACTATACACATCTCTCTTATTTTCATCATCAAAAACTACACGTTTAAGATCACACGTATTAAAAAAGGGCGAGGGGGAAGGGGTGCAAAAGTAGAGGTTTACGACTCGGTCTAGTTAAAAGTTTAGGAATGGGGGAAGCACGTTATTATTCGTCCGACGTACTTTCATACTAACGGTAAAATCTTAAAATGGGTTCTCTCTTTTTCGTGAACCGTTAATTATTATCGCTTCAATCTCCTTTTTTTCTTTCATACTTTTTACAATATGTATAAAACTTCTTGCCTGTACAACATTTTTATGTTGACATGCGTGCTATTCTGTATTCGTTTTGATGTAGTTTTTAATATCCTTTAAAAGGGAAGATAAAAGGAGACCTGGCTGGCACTGATTGGGGATTAGCTCAGGAATGTGATGCTGTTAAGGCATTGTCGTCGTTTCGATCATTGAAAATCATTGAAATGCGGGAAAGAATGTTGCGTTCGGCGATTGTTGTTGCAATGGCGACATGAAACCCATGGTTGACATACCTAATGATAAATTATAAAATATATAGTCTATCCGAAACTTACATCGCTCTATAGAGTATATATTTACCGTGAGGAGATTGGGCTTTATGTTGAGGACTATTGCTGGCGAGTTGATTCATAGTAGGTGCAGGTCCCGTAGACTTGTTTTTACTACCCATAATATTATCAAGATCGATGTTTAAACCTGCGCCTTTCCACGTGGAGCCGACTTGTATCTTTGACTGATCGTTCGTCGTCGGGTGGCTGTTATTGGTTTGCGTTTGTGCAGATATTGGCGTTAGCAAGCTCGTGGGTATGATGCCTGTTAAAATAAAATTTTGTAAAACCAATCTTTCGTATATTTTTTGTAAGTGTAAAGTGTGAGATTATTAGTCGAATGTATACAGCATGTTAGCGGGGAAAATTATTTATTTATTATTTTATACATTTAAAAATCGACGCTTTCACATGATAAAGTATAAAAATAATATACATTGGTTCAACGCCTTAACGTTATAGTTTTTATTTGTAGTTCTTTGAAATCAATTCACGAAATCATTAACCGCCCGTCGAAGAATTGAATCGACAAGATACATCACATGTCTTCCCAATTCTCTGCAATTTTCGTCGCAATCACCCTTCATAGTCTCTCTTGTAACATCTGCAAGCCATTCTTTGATCTCCATAAAAGCACTAAGTAACTCTCCCTGCACTTCATACTCTGGTATACTAAGTAACGTAGCAGCTACACATTTCATCACCGCTAATCGCACTTTTGCATCGTCATGGTATCTTAAAACCCAGGCGAGTTCAAGAATTTCTTTAGCCATCTTAACAGCCACAGGACAGTTCTGCGCGCAGGCCATGATCGTTGCTAGCGATTCTAAAAATCTTGTGAGAAGAATGTTCTCTTGATCGCGATAGTTTGCTGGTAGAGAGTAGAGAAACGAGTGCTTGGAGAATCCATGAATGAGTGGGAAGAAGAACGATGACACGTGGTTGTAAAATTTGTTGACGGTTGATTTTTGAAGTTTCGTCTCATGGGCGAAACGACGAGTTTTCGAGTCGATTCTTTGTTGAATTATCTCGTACCAATCGACGGATGGTTGCATAGCTTCGAGTGGATCATCGAAATCATCGTCGTATAGTGTTTCATATATCTTCGACTTATCAATTTCGATATGCAAACTTACAGGTTTCGAGATATTCTTCTTAGTCTTCTTCGTTGTCTTTTGTTCCTCTTCCTTTATTTCAACAGCGGATAATTTTCTAGCAGCCTCGCACAGTACATTTAACATGGTCAGCCTATGCTGCACGGAATATTTACTCAACTCTGAGTGAAATTCTTGGCATAAATATTTAGCACAAGCTTGTGGGTAGATCGATACAATCGCTACGCAAGCTTTGAAAGTCAGCACCTCGAAATCCTCCGTCGCGTATCTGTCCTGTAAATTCAAAAATATCTCTAGCAACTCTTTTGCAAAACTCTCGTCATCATTGCCTAGTTGAGCGATGATCAATTCCTCGCTAACTCTCAGTGTTTCGGAAAAGACGTTTAGATCGTCTAGATTATTTGATGGTGCATTGACAAGATTATCTCGTAGATCGCGCAGGTATAGTGGTTTGAACTTTTCGATGTCAGGCCGATCATTCGATAAATCATATGGCACGAGATCATCATCACTGTCGAGTTCTTCTTCGACTTGTGTTACTGGTGATTGAGATACTTCTTTTTCTATTTTCTTATACGGTTCTTTTGTTTCTGTTATGTTAGGTTTGGTTTCTTGCTTGGCATGATTTTTTAGAATTCCACACTCGATTCCCAATTCGTAAACTCTCTTGTTTCCCAAATTTGGAAATTCAATCTCGCCAACAATCAACTCTTCATCCATTCTATTTTCGTACACCGGCACCTCTATATTCTTCAACGCCTTCACCAGCAGTAACGTATCCTTTTCCATCCCATCATATTCGAATTTCAGTTTAGCAGCGTCGCTTAACGTAATTAATAATTCAGTAAGCATCTCACCGGTAATCATACCAACTGCACGTACATTCACTTCCGTCGAACCCAAGTGCGTTGGTATTCCGGAAAATAATAGCTTCTGAATCTCATTTTTCTCACTTGGCGACAGATGACCTACCATATGTTTCACCGACAGAATAATTAATTTCGTGATGTATAGATGTTGATCGAAACTCGTGTGATTCAGTGCACTTTGATCACCCCAAACATCCAACAATTTTATAGTTAAATCAAAGAGTAGACGATCGTCACTCGTTTGTACTTTGCGTAACAAGGACACCAAGTTATAGATAAGACGATCGTCGTTGTACCATGTCATCAGGGGTATTCTCACAGTAAACGTGTGTCTCCAGTTGTCATTCCTGATTAGATTTTCGAGAATTTCAGAAACGAAACATGGATGTTTGAGAATCTGCACAGCAAGATTTTCAATACTGTGTGTATCAATTCCGAATAATATACTCTGCACTATAGATCTCATCTCACTAACGCGGGACTTGCACCAGAGTACAATAATATCAACTAGTGGTTTGAGATCATCGGAACTCAATACTAGGAACATCTTGCCGAATAGCATTGATAAAATTCTTCCGTCGACATTTACTTTACTTTCATTGAGAAAATGTATCGCTCGAGCTATGTGAAAGCTGAGAAGGTTCGTAAAACTTTTGAGCTTGAATGTATCCGGGAGGTTTTTCTGCATTTTGTTCGCTACTCGATTCGGCAATGACACTATGAGTTGAATAATAGCTTGCCACAGTTCATCTTCGGTATTTTTCTCAAAGTCACTTAGGTCAGTGATGCGACTGGACGTGACTAAAGCAGAGAATAGAGCATCGCTTTTCATCAATTCTTCGAGAAGACGTCCAACAGCAGCGATGACTTTAGGATATTCAGTTTGTTTCATTGCCTGCGTGAGAGCTAACAATGACTCGTACATTACCTGCGAATCCGAGCCTTCTACAACGAAAATTCTCTTAATAGAATCATCAAGCTCTCCATTATACAGCGGCCAATTGACATCGAAAGTCTCCACTAAAGTCTCCAATACTCGACTGTACATCAACGGGTCAATCTTTCGTTCCTCTTCGTCTAATCCCACCAACTTCTGTTCCGTCAAAGTTCCTGGCAGATATTCGACGTACTTCTTTAGTTCTCCACGTACTTTCTTCAGAGCTATTTGACTTCTGTTACTAACGAACCAGCGAAGTGTATCCAGCAGCCGATGAGCTAGAAGGAAAGGCCGACTTGGCGGCATTATATCAAAGAGTTCGCGCGCATGCTAACACACGATGTGTACGTATATGTTGTGTAAGTGTTTAATCTATGTATGAATGTGTGTCTGTTTGGAGGAGATGAGAATTTTATTTTGCTTACCTGTGTTGTTGAAAGGCTCGGAAGCGAAGAGGTTCGCGTTGTTTAGATTGTTCGCTGCTGGCATTGATGAGGCGAAACTGGTTAGATCTGACAGCAAGTCTGTATTTGCTGTAAAATAAATATATAGGTTTGTTTGATTTCACCTCTATATTTTACTTCGATCGTATTATATTCAGTATATTTAGTATAAAAATAGAGGATACAGAAGTTTGATAAAATATACTCACTCGTATTATTGTTGCTATTATTTGTAATCTGTGGCTTATTGGTAAAACTCTGTGTCTGCATGGTATTGAACAGATCGTTACCACCACCGAAATCTGTATTGCCGATCGAACTCATCAGATTATCTGTCATAGGATTACCAATATTTGGAATTGTTGCTCCTAATAGGGAAACTTGTGGTTGCTGTTGTTGAGATGGTGGTTGCGAAATCGTAACACTAGAATCGAAGGCTGAAGTGAAATCGGCAAATTCATCATCTTTAGGTTTATTCACTTGCGCCATTGGTGGGGTTCCAAATGCAGAGGCGAAGTCGCCGAATTCAGATGTTGGTTGGTTCGATTGTGACAATGGAGCGTAATTGTCAGCTCGAGGGTCGAAGTCATCGTCCTCCGCTGCTTTGGTTACTATCAAACAAAAATTAAAATTAAACTATTTTTCTGTCAATTACAGTAATCTCGTTTTATGAATCTTCTCACCTGTGCCGTTATCATTTTGCATATCAAAAATCTCATTTAAAATATCACTCTTGCTCCTCTGCGCAGGCTGTTTTACCGGTGAACTCATCAAGTTCGACGGTTGCTGCTGCTGCTGCTGTTGATCCTTTCCATAATGAGCTGCGGCACCGAGGTCAACTTTCTTAATCGTCCTAGGTGCTTTTGGCGTTGGCGATGTCGTTGGTTTTGGTGCTCGTTCCATTGTCTCGGCGGTGTCCCTATATTCGCGACGTTCACCGACTGTCGCTGTCACTCCTGCTATTGTGCTGGGGTTTCGCCTTGGACTTGTGCGCGTTTCATTGTCTGAATCTTCTCGCTCGCCATCATCGCTGTAAAATTATAAACATTACATTTAGTTTTGGAGTCCACGTGATAATAGTATATAATCGTATATAATCGCATTATTCAAACGCGTTGAATAAATTTTTATTCGTATAAGAAACGACCTCCACGTAACCATCAAATCTACCTGCAAACAATCTGATTGTTGGAGAAGAAAAAATAAGCATCGTCATCTCAAGTTACTCAAGCCTTTATCTTATCAAAGCCAACTACTCCGTCAGCAGCACGCGTTTATGATCTCACCTGTTGGCATCCTCGAAACCTTTGGCCCTAGGACTGCCGCGATCCCATTCGTTATAACCGTCGCCGCCTTCTCTGGCAGCACTTCCCGTCCACTTGGGATTATCCATCCACCTCTCGTGATTGCCACTGCTTACTCCGCCGAAGCCCGCGCGCACACCCATCGCCTCGCTCGACATTCCGATGTACTTGTCCTTGTTTTTCTTGGCCTTCTTGCGTTCCTCGCGCAGCTTTTCGTCGTCTTGCACGAAATCGATCAGTTCGCGCACCTTGTGACGAATGTTGATCCCCTGGTCCTTGCCGAAATCGTCGATGTACGTGTAATTTTCTAGGGAGCGCAAGTCGTAGATGTGCTCGCGAGACGACGTCACGACACGCTCGGAGCCGTTACGGACCAAATAGTTGAGCAGCAGAAGTGACTGGGAGGAAATTAAAAAAAAACCGAAGACTCATATTTATTAGTCTTCTAAGGTTTCACTTAAGTACTAAAAACTTATTCACGTTAATAGATGTAATTGTTGGAGGTGATGGGTTATGCGACTGGTTATTGCGGGGCATTATTGAAAATGTTATTACCAGAGTGAATTAGAGTGAATAGAGCGAGATGTTTTTCTTTTGCGTGTGTGCGTGTTTTTTTTTTTTTTTTTCTTTTTTTACTTTCGTAGATGCGCTTTATCTTCGTAATTGCGTAAAGATAACATCTGTCGCGTTGCCACGCACGAGAGGATTCATTTCACACACAGCCGTATGGTAAAACATCGAGCTGCCCGTGTGTTTGCACAACAGAAGTTAATTGTCGGCTTTCGGGAGAGAGAAACCCACGCGCCATCGATTCGGGCGCACATTTCGCGCGCGCGAAAGCGCAAGAAAGGTCGCGCCGCGCAATTGTCACTCGCCCGAAGCGATTTACGTTTTCCCTTTCGAGCGAGTCGCGCGCTCGCCGGCACGAAGATCATTATCGCTCTGTAAATACCTTGTAGGTGCGTCGCCAGTTGCGCTTGTTATCCTGCAGCATGCGCTTCCAGAGCATCGACATCACTTCCGGGAACTGCTCGTACGTGAAGGTCGCTTGGGCGAGCTCTTGCATCATGGCACCTGCGAGGCGAAAACGAAACGAGCCGCTGTTTATGCGCGCAGAGACGGTCGTTAAGCTGCTGCAATTTTTGTCGCTTACCGGTCGGACCCCAAGCGTCGTCGTTCGTCGCTTCGCGTACTTTGGCTTCGGTGTCAGTGTAGTTCATCATGACGTTTGTCCTGTTTGACACACAATTATCTTGCAGATGCTCGGAAAACTGCTGTTTTTTCATCGCGATATATATATATATATTTGCATATATACCTATATATATGTATAGAGAGAGAAAGAGAATGGGATTAAATAAGATCGCGAATTACGCAAGCGAGACGGTCGTTTTTTCTCTCTCGCTCGTTGCGGCGGTGTTTTCGTTCAGCAAGGCATATGCCGTTATAATGCTCGTGAAAAATAAAAGGGGAAGGAAATGCGAGCAACATAATGCGGAAGATAGCGAGCATCGTGAAACGAAAATTAAGCGAGCGAGAGATACCATTAGGCGTCGACGTCGACAACTCGAAAAAACGAATTTCTTTTACTCTCAATGTCAAATCGTTAAGCGTTGCTAAAGATGTATTTTTTCTGTAACTCGTTACTGGAATGCAATCTCTGCGGTTGTAAAATTCGAAAGATCGTTTTCTTTTATTTACTCTCGTTATCGAAAGTCCTGATAAACGCTTAATTCTCTTTTTCGCACGATAAGCAAACGTAATCGGTGATTTTGTGTGAACGGCGATCAAACGAAAGATTCGTAAAGAAATCAATCATAAAAAACAGCAATACAATTGGGACACAAGTAAGAAAAAACCAGTGTAGAAGAGGTCTATCATGTAAACATTTTCTGCAGAAAGTTGCAGTTGCCAAAACAGGTTTTTGCATGGAGACAGTCACCTGAGATTCCTTGTGCAATTCCTACTGAATTACCAATACTTTGACCCTGACTGCGTCTTAATGAGAAGAAATCGAGCATGTATCTCATGAAGTTAGGCTCAATTATCGTGTAATGGATTTTGATTTAATCAGGCTCATTGGTGAAATCACGTCTTTTTTTACAAGAGTTACAATTTGATCCCTAGATATTTTTGCTGATTTACAAGAAAGAGATAAGTTAAACTAAAAATATTCATCAACGTCAATTTTAAACTCCGCTTTGTTGCTCTGAGAATTGAGTTCAAGTATGATATGATGGATTTGGATTTCCTCAGGCTTTCTTATCTTGACTAAACTATTACTTCTTGAAAAATAAATTGCTATGTTACTTTACTTTCAAATGGAACATCATTACTTTGAAATAACAGGTAGTTCTATGATGTACTTATTTTTCAAACTAAAAATAGAAGTAGTATCTGTTTCTCAACCTTGTGCATAAGACGATAAGAATAACTATTCTGGAATGAAGAGGAGAAGGAAAGCAGAACAGCCAAGTGTTTCTATAAACAGTACATGATGTTGTTTCGAAATAATTTTCCTAAGAACAGTCAATGCAAAATATGAAACCACAACACTGAATCACTTTATTCAGTAATAACTCAGATATCAAAACTCAGTATGGAAGCTCTCATTCGCATCCTGATCACAAATATCAGTGTAGTCAAGCAATACATAACAATAACATGAGTGTAAAAACCAGTGAGAGTATGTGGAGATAATGCCTTTGCAGTATATATCCTTGAGGAAAAACCGTCTTTCGTGCACAAACGTAAGGTTACGATTTTTTTAAAGAAGCATGAAATAATGTAAGCACAACTCACGCCTTGTCCATGAGTTCACGCACTTTCCACATGTTCATCATGTTTGCTGGCAGTTGGACGAGGACGAGCCACGACCGTCGAGGATACACACTAAAGCACAGCTGTCTCTTGTGGTGCTAACCGAGGAAAACCGAACTACACGGACGTCATCACCACTGGCTCTCACGCTGTAGTTCCTTTGCGGCCATGTTAGAAAGAGACAGCTCACCTCTCACCTCTATTGAGACTGATGTCGCCCTCTCTTGTATTTGTTATTTTGAGGTTAGATTTGCTTTTTTAATGTGAAATATAACTATGTATGAGAAGTGTTTATTGAATTTTATTATGGCTGTAACGAGCGATAAAAAAATGCACTTATTGTTGGAGAACAGGTGTCAATTTATTGTTAATTAGATCAAGGTGATCTTTGTACTTTGAGATGGTATCATTGCGAGGCATTTTATCGACGGCCAACAAGATGTTAACTTGGAGGAATTTTTACATGTTTATTTGGCCCTCGCCACATATGCGCATATGCGCGCGTACGAGGGCGTACATACAAACGCGTACAAATCGCTAAAAATTTTGATAGTGCCAACAACAGAAAGTTACTACTATTCCTCGCATGCCCCAAACGAACACACTTACTCCCGGAACAAACGTATCATAACCTTCAATAATATAGCGTTATGGTACGTTTGTTCTGGGAGTAAGTGTGTTCGTTTGGGACATGCGAGGAATAGTAGTAACTTGCTGTTGTTGGCACTATCAAAATTTTTAGCGATTTGTACAACACGTTTGTACGCCCTCGTACGCGCGCGTATGCGCATATGTGGCGAGGGCCTTTGTAACTTCATTTTGCAGTTGAAAAATACGAGTGACATTTTTTTTTGTTAAACAGAAAGTCAGTCAGCTAATTGGACATTGAGCAATTACAATTTTAGAATATACATGAATAGTTTTTATAAATTTTTACGTAATGTTTACTTAGACTGATAAGGTGTAGGTGTGAATGAACCTTAAAATGACCTGAAATTGGGTATGTGGTCTTGTGGCAAACGTGACAAAGAAACTTACTTTAGTGCCGGTTCAAAAGAATCAGGTAACAGGTATAGCTGTGGTAAATTGTATTTGATAAATCACATGAAGATTTATTATAATAATAGCAAAAAACTTTACTAGAACGCTCCGATTACGAGTGCTCTAGTAGAGTTTTTGCGATTGTTTAATCGATAATCTGAATTGATATTTTCATGTTTATATTGTTTACTTTTTTCGTCATTCAAGTATTTTATGTATCACGTGTTTCATCAAAGGGAACAATACAAAAATCAATTTATCAATACGGAAATCAATTAATTTCAGTGAAAAATAAACATTGCAATGTAATTTGAAAATTCTAAAATATTGTTTTCTAATTACAGACTTATAATGGCATTTAAACTTTTAAAAAGCTGGAGTCGCCTACAAACTGTAGTGACCAATGAAACTTTCAGAACCACAGTTTACAAATTCAGATACCTTGGAGCTGGACTGGTAGCAGCTAGTGTAGCAGTTTACAGTTCATCTAATGACAATGTCTATGCAGCCCAATCAGAATTGGACCTTCAGCATTTTATGGCGGAGCCTATAACAAGCATTGAACACTTGACAAAGAACAAAGATGACATGAAGACTAAAATGGAATTATTAATAATGAAAATTCAAGCAGATGTTGTTAAATCTTTGGAATCTCTGGAAGAATTTGAAACCAAATTTAAAGTTGACAGATGGACTAGGAAGGAAGGCGGTGGAGGTATAACTTGTGTACTTCAGGATGGCAATGTTTTTGAGAAAGCTGGAGTTAATATTTCAGTGGTCAATGGTACATTACCTTCTAATGCTGTACAGCAAATGAGAGCTAGAGGTAAGACTATGGATGAAGGTGCTTTACCTTTCTTTGCTGCTGGTGTCAGTTCTGTTATTCATCCCAGGAATCCAATGGTAAGATATTTTTTAATCACTAATTATGTAAGATTGTGAATGAAAGTAAAACTAATTATATAAGATTAATTTATTGATGTGCTATTGTGTAGGTGCCTACCATTCATTTCAACTACAGATACTTTGAGGTGACAAACAAAGATGGTTCTAAACAGTGGTGGTTTGGGGGAGGTACTGACTTGACACCCTACTATTTGAATGAAGCAGATGCCAAGCATTTCCATAAAACACTCCAACAGGCATGTGATAAGCATGATCCATCGTACTACAGCAAATTCAAGAAATGGTGCGATGATTACTTTCATATACCTCACAGAGGAGAAAGAAGAGGTGTTGGAGGTATATTTTTTGATGATTTAGATACACCGGATCAGAAAGAGGCTTTCAAATTTGTCGAGTCATGTGCTGAAGCTGTAATTCCATCATATATCCCACTTGTGAAGCAACACAAAAATGATGGCTATGGTTATGCTGAACGACAATGGCAATTGTTAAGGAGAGGTAGATATGTAGAGTTCAATCTAATTTATGACAGAGGAACCAAGTTTGGACTTTATACTCCAGGTGCTAGGTATGAGAGTATTTTAATGTCATTACCTTTGACTGCTAGATGGGAATACATGCATGAGCCAAAATCAAATACAAGAGAAGGGCAGTTAATTGAAGTTTTGAAGAATCCTAGAGACTGGTTGTAAATTTATTAGTTTCCACAGAGTTTCACTTAAGTATTAATCTTAATAGATGTAAGTGTTGGAGGTGATGGGTTATGCGTGTGATTATTATAGAATATTATTATGTTTGTTATAAATGTTGTTAAGAGTGAATTAATTTTTATAAATCAAGGAAACAAATAAATAATCATTGAAAAACAATTTCATACGATTATGGTTTTTATTATTTTATTATCAAATAGCATTGCATCTAGCGTAAAATATTAAATGACGATTTTTCTTTGTAACAATAATTTGCGATAATAATTACACATAGACGTAAAGCGGATATAGTTAAATTCTAAACAGGCAACTTATGTAACCAAAAATAAATTCCTGTAAAGCTTTTTTCGTCGTTTTACACAAAAATCATAGTAAAACATATTTTTCCTCGAAAAAAAGAGAATAATAACACTGAAAAAGGTAGCCTTTAATTCAATATTTTTCCCATCAACTTTCTCCTTTGCTTTATAAATAAATGCAATACTGAACAAATAAGACAATGAAACTAAGCGAAATTGTTCAAAAACACATTACTTTCATCATCGCAACAAGAATTAACAATAATTGTTCTCGCGCGTAAGGAAAAAAAGAAAAATATACATATGTTCTTTTTTTCGTCACTGAGTTATCTCTATGTACATATTTACAAAGTTCATCTTACAAAGCACCAAATTTCGTGATTTTTTCCTTTCTTTCATCAAAATTATAAGACATTAATTATGTCACAAAAGTTGATTTTGTCATTGTCGCTAATGTTTCCTTGTCGAAACATTAGGCGAGTATGTGTGTTACGATAATACTATGTACAAAAACAAAACACCAAGCGGATTTCTTCTTTCTTTTTTTCTTTCGAGCTAACAGCCAATAAAATTTACAACAAACATTCGCGCGCGCGTGTGAGTGTAATGTGAAAAAAAAAACATAATAAAACGTCAAGTAGCAAAATAGAAGAAAAAACAATTTCTAAGGCCCCAGACTCGCTTTTTTAGTCGAGTTTTTCTTTTCATAAGTGCAAAGCGAAAAGAAGCAATACTCGATAGTAAATTAGTCGTTATGCATATTATCATCGTATAACGTCATAACGCAGTCCGTTTATCTCTCGTCCCTTATTTTTTTGTAAGTGATTAAGTCATCATTAACTGTTCGGGATCGTTCTCTCCGCTGACACCAACGAGTAGAATAAAAGATACGCACTCGTGCTTTGACTCTTTACTTGATTCGGTGGCACTTCGCTTACCGTGTGATCGTCGTACTTGTACCATCTATGAAAACGAAAAAAAAAATAAATTTGGTTATGTAAATCGTTCGCCAATGAAATTTTAAACGAATTCGAGCTTTTTTTCGCAAGTTAAAACAGGAACATCTTTTTAATCGAAGGCGGAATAATGAGCGAAAATGAGTTATACAATGAGAGTATGACGCAATTGTGTGATTGTTTAGATAACGCGCGTACAAAAATAGAATAGTCACCCAATTTTCTCAAGTTCAGGCGTGATTATAAATTGCCTTACGTATCATTTTTTAAATCCAAACAACACCGAAATTCAGTTCAAATTTTTTACTCACTTTCTCTGCGTGACACTCTTGCAGTAAGCAGTATAATGTCCACCGTCCATCGTGCCGTAATGATTGGACATGGCGTACAAATTATATTGGCTCGACGGTGAATTGTCATCGGAATCGGCGACGACGTATGGTTTCAAATCGAATTGCATGAGTGGGAAATCGACAGCCGTGTTCTTCTTCTCGAGCCAGCCACCCGAGTCGCCAAAACGATTGAGATGGATAATTATCGTGTGCGGAAGTTTTGCTATATCGAATTTCTTGACACCGTCCCGCGGTGCCTTGCAATTCGGACACTTCCAGCCGGACACCTTCTGACCACTCACGAATTTTTTCACGCAGTCCTGTTTACAGAGCAAGAGCAACATTATTATCCAATACACCTGCGACTCGTCGGTTTACTTTTGTCCGCGCACTTTCGGAAACTTACGTCTAGCGTGCATTTGTTCGTTGTCGGTAGAGACATCGTTAAGCTGTTGAACGTCTCGTAAGTGGTGCTGGTTTGCATGCAGGTGGTACACTCGATGGTCGATCTCAGCTGACCGTAGAATAAGTTCGATATGATCGAGCTCTGACCTTCCCATGACTTTTCCCATTCCTTTTCGGCCACGGTCAGTTCTCTATTGTACGAGACTTTGTTCTTCTGAAAGAAGGAAAAATAGGAGCGCGGCTTTCGTTAGTTCCAAGTCTCAAGTCCCGACGGCGAACGGGGCAACGCACCTGCTTCAAATCGTTGTGCATCCATTCGAGTAAGAACATCAGGAACTCGTGAGAGTCTTGTTGATCGTAGCTCTCGAATTGAAATTTGTACTGGCCGACGACCACCTGTCAACGAAAACGCTAGTCTTGGTCGTAATCGAGGAACGCGAACGTTCAACGAACCTTCAAGTCTCTCGGTGAAATGCTCTTGTACTGTCCTCTCCATAAAGCTTTGATGACCTGGGCCACCTCCTCGGCAACGTAGCCCGACGCATTTTTGTCGTTCTTTTTAGTGAGATCGTTGCTGTACTGGTTGTGATTGAAATAATTGGCCAAGTGACAGGTGTTGCTCAGGCACTGGATGATGCTGTTCATGTAGCAAGAGTTGCCGAGATTTTTCAGTCCCGTGATTCCGGGGTGCTGCAAGCAAACGGAAGCTCGGTTAAGCGGTCGTGCGCGCGTGCGTTGCCCTTTCCGTCTCCTCGCTCGGTTGTACGCAACGGGCCCCCGTCGGTCAGCCCCGAGTCGCGCGGCCGTCGGAGCTTGGCCGTCACGCGCGAATACCTTTTTGAAGTAGGCGGCGATGTTGAGCTTCAGCTGGACTATCGCGCTCCGACGTCGGGTCGGCGAGTGCGCGTCGCGAGCCGCGTGCTGGCGGCGGCCTTACGCGCGTGCCCGGCAAATCGGATTGGCGAAACCCTTCGAGGGCCGCGCGACGCGTCACGATCGGCTCGCTCGTCGATCGCCGCAAAGCTGCAGGCATCGCGCCGCGGCTAGCTTCCTTCCACTCTGCTGGCGCTGCTCTTCCGCCCGACGTCACGGCCAATCGAGACCTGCCCCGCCGCGCTCGCGGCTAACGCTCTGAACTTGACGACGCGATTTCGCGGCATTGTGTCATCGTATCCCCGCGTACGCCCGCGCGCGCGCGCAAGAGAGAGAGAGAGAGAGAGAGAGAAGCGCAGCCTTACTCCGGCCCTCGAAGCCGGCCGAGACGGAGAGAGCGACGGCGAGAGCGAGTCGGCATTCCTCGCTCCGAATCGCGAAGGCGAGATCGCGACGATAATCATCGACATTCCAGCGGCGTGCGATAAGCGCTCGCTCGCGCGGCCTCTCGCCCGAGCGTAATTAGCTGATCGACCCTGCGCCTCGCCAGCCTCCCGCTGTCCCTCGCCCCACCGTGATCGGAATTCGCCGCTCTCGGGGGCCAGAGTCCCGTCCGCCAAACGATCGCGAGACTTACGGGATTACGCTTGTCGACGACGTTGAAGAACTTGATCTGCACCATCGTTACACGGGAGCACAAGCACTTTGGTCGCGCGATCGCGCGGCTTTATACGTCCTGCGATGTACTGGTGCGCGTGATAGAGTGAAAAAATCTGAGAGAGAGAGAGAGAGAGAGAGCGAGAGCAACAGACACTCGCGCGCGCGTAGAGCTTTTTCGGCGGTTGCCAGCGGACGACTGGCACGTGATAAGGAAATTATCGGCCGAGATGCTCCTCCGCGCCGACACGTCACGTGGTGCGCGCCCTGCTCCCCGCGCCAATTACACACGCGAGGCGCGTGTGTGCGCGTCGCCCGCTCTCCCACCTTCGCGCGCCGAGAGCCCGAACCAATTTGCGCGCGCGCACATGCGCTCCTTCGCCGCTGCCGGTTTTCCTCTCCTCCCCCCCCCCCCCCGGTCAGATGAATTTTGTTTGCTTTGTTCTTTCGGGGGCCGCGACGCGCGAGGACGACGCGCGTGCGGAAGCGCGTGAGCGTCGTTCTTGACCACGTCCTGCCCGGTTTTTTCGCCCGGCCGAGGACGATCCCGGGGAGCCGGTCGGGCCAGAGCAGCGACGCAGAGCCGCGAGAGAGGACGACGAGGCGGCGCGCCGTGACGAAAGCAGAGCACGCGAAACAACAGCGGCAGCGGCCTGGCGTCGAACGGCCAACATTGCCCCGCGGCGTCGTCATTGTTATTTCTGCGCAAACAGCGCGTAGAGCCGATTTCCGAATTGCCTCAGCTGCGTCGCCACCGCGACGATGATGACGACGACGACGACGACGACGACGACGACGACGACGACGACGACGACGACGACGACGACGACGAGCCACCCCACGGCTTGCGTAACCAGTCGTACGACGTCTCGCACCTCCGTCGCGACTAGTCGTCGGCTCTCGCGATCGCGATATGGCCACGCACCGACACGCATGTCAGTGCACTCGGCAATCGGCTCGCGGACGACTTTTCGGTAGAAGCCGAGGGAACGCTCGCGCGAGGCCGGTCTCGTTGCTTGTCGCTCGTCAAGCGCGATCCGACGCCCGCCTGCATCGTGACCGCGCTCATTGCCAGGCGAACGCGGAGCTCGACGGGCAATTTGCCGCCGTGCCGTCCAGTCACGCGAACCGCGAGGAGTCCTCCCCGGTCTCGTCCCGCCGTAGCGAGCACGCGCGGCCGATCGATGCGAAGCAGAAGCGAAGCGCCCGCGCCCAAGAGATACAAGCCACGAATCCAAATAGTTCCATTAATAGCCGAGCGCAGTTGACGCGCGACGCGCTCGGCGAACATCGCATCGTTCGCGTCGCACCTGATCTTCAAACGACAACGACAGGGCAGTCATTCCCTCGAGCGATCGGCGCGGCAATCTCGCGACGAGCGTACGCCTAATTGGACGACGGCATTATGGATTTCGAGGGAGACGCGCTCGCTGATAAATAGCGCCGGCGCGAAGGCTGAGATGCTCGACGATTTATCGCGCCTAGGCCCGCGATAAAAACGCGCGCTTTCGCTGCGCGTCGAATTGCACACTGTAGGTGAAAGAAAAAAAATAAATAAAACAAAACAAAACGAAATGATGAGAAAAACAAAAAAGACGGCATTCGGTTTGTCCTGCGATGATAATTCACTCTAGACCGACCGTTCCGTCGACTTCCGTCAGGAACAGGTAATGATTTGCGACGGGGGCAAACAGCGCGACGAATAAAATAAAATTGATCTACGTTACGTCAACGCAAGTGTTTGATCGAAAACTTGGTCGAGGGAGCGAGTCGTTACGTAACGACGCAATGTCGAACCGTTAAAAGCGCGCATCATCTCATTCGCGATTTCATAGAAAAGAAAAGGAAAAAAAAATGAAGAAAAAAAACAAGCATGACTATCTGACGTACTCTTACGGATTAGCACTCGAGGTATATATGCAAGATATGTTCGCGTGACGTTCGTGGACGCTCGTTGCGCATTTGAGGTTTAAAGAGTGGATGTTTTTCTTTCGCCTCGCCGATTGTTATTCCCAGCTGCCTTGGCTGCGACTCCGAGAGCCGATGTGCTTTTTTTTCTTTTCTTTCAAAAAAAACACGAGTGGCGTAATGGTGACGAAGAATTCAGTCGGGAGGAGGAACGCGTTTTTTAACCTAATTAAATTTGAGAGCGTTTGAGCGAACAAAGCCAACACAAGCAGTCGGCAATAAAGCACAACGTGAAATTACTGTTTGCGTTGTTCATGAAAATTACAAGTCTGACATCGAAATGGCCTAGATACCCTCCTAGAATAGTGATATTATCAATGACAATTGCTTTATTATCCTGTGATTGTCTTTGACAAACTCTACACTTATCAGTAGCTCGAAAATTTTACGCTCGACAGACATTGACACGTTATACTTGCACGCGCTCAATTACGTGACTACATCATTAAAAATTCATGATTGAACTTTTGCGCGTACACCCAGCGGCGCCGATCGTGTTGATTTTTCGTCTACGCCGCCGTTCGATGCGCAAAATTTCGTATTTATTCCTGGCGGCATGCGCGTGCGTGCAAGTGCCAGATGTCGACAAGCGTTTTCGCAAAAGAAATTCGCCGATAACCGCGCGACCAGTAAAAGAATCAAAATATACACACACTAGCCAAAACATTGCGACAGGCTGCCCAACGATGTAGTTATTTTCCAATTTGTCGGTGTTGTTATTGACCGCAATCGTCATCGCGCTGCACTCGAGAAAAGTGTGTTATCGCGTAGACGACGGAGAGAGAGAGATGGAGAGTGCGCGTGAGAGAGAGAGAGAGACAGAGAGAGAGAGAGAGAGAGAGAGAGAAAGAAAGAAGCCAATGAATTACCTAATTGTTGTATACACGTGTCGCGCGAATGCGAAGTTTATCTTTATTTGTACATAACGTATCTGCCCGCCAAAAGATTCACGATAAGTTTTTTACCTTACGTCTGTAGATTCTTGCGATGAGGCAGAAAAAAGTGAAGAATATGCGCGTTCCTTGAACTGAATGTTAGGAGTTTGTGTGCGCGCGTATGTGTGTATTTGTGTTTGTTAGGAGATTATCCTTGATTTCGCTTTGACGGCAGATTGACTTTCCTATATAAAAAAATGCTAACAAGAACCTTGGAAATTTGCATTAAAATTCGTGCGTGTGTGCGTGTGTGTTTAGAAACTAAATTTTTTTGTGGGCTTTATTCATGAGCATTTGCAGGTTAATAGGCACACGCGGCAGGATTAATAATATCGATTTTGTTTTGTTTATTTATGAAGGAGAAGCATTTAGCTGACCTTTCTTAAGTTCGTGTCATACTTATAAAAATAATGTTCTTTGCCTTGACGTGTAATTCAGTCAAATTTCCTTTTATAGAAACACGCGGAAAAATTATAATTTATCTTGACAAATTATCATCTTTATCTACACATTGTTAAGTTGAACGTTGAGTCTTAATTCATTTGCCGCAATTTTCCAATGATGACAAGACAAGTAAACGACAAGAACAAAGATGTCAAAACTCTTGAATGCTGTTGCACGGAAAAAGATTTTGCTTCGAACGCATAGCGGAAAAGTAGAGTCTTTAGTCAAAAGATCAATAAAATACTGTGAAAAAAGTAAATATATCAAAAATATACCAATTTATAACTTCCGACAAAATAATTGTCAAATTTGCATTCAACAAAAGGAAATAAAATTCTTCCGGCAAAAAAAAATCTATTGAGAAAAAAAATATATCAAGGCACGAAGTAGTTTACAATTACAAAACAATGTGTAGCATACAGCAAGTTGTTCGGGCAGCGATAAAAACAGATAAGCTAACGACTTGACGAGTTCCAAAAGAAAAATGCAATCGCGCGACACGAGCATCACCTATTCAGCAGGTGCTACGTAACACGTAAGACATCATAAAAGAGATAAAGCCAGTTGTCGATTCGAGAGAAGAAAAAATCCAACTGCGTCGAATCGATCAACAAATCGGAGTGCGAATATTTTATGAATTCCATGGACTCGTATGCGACAGCTGCGTCGGGTCAAAGATTGCATTCGTAAAGGAGAGACGAGATCAGTGCGGTGCGAGATGATTCGATAATCGTCGATCCGCGCCGCTGATCAGATGAAATAACGGCGCACCGAGTTGCGCGTCGATTTCAATAATGCACGTCGACATTATTCGCCACGCGCGAAAATACGATTGTTGACCCGCCGCGCGCTGCTGCTGCTGCTCCTGCTGATTTCTCATTAACATTCGAACGCGTCGTCGCGCGCATGAGTTAATCAGCTGTTTTTTCCTCGAAAAATACAATGTGATTTTGTAAGATCTTTTGTAAGTTATTTATTCCCATGAGTCAATGGAAGTTTCGAACGTGACGTCAACGATGGCCGTTGAAATAGTTTGCGCATGAACGAGTTTTTCATTCTGCCTGCGTATACGAGCTTTTTTTCCAAACCGAAATGAAAGCGAATTTTGTAAAAATACTCACATTGTTACCGTAGACTGGTTCCATACGATCCTCACGATGCTTTGACGACAAAACAGGCACGCGAACATTATTTTCTGGTACCTGAGGCTTCGATGACCTATCGATCTCCGGTATAAACTTTCGCCCCTCCTCTTTGTTCTGCAAAGCCTGTGAAAGTAAAATCGAATTTTTGAAAATCTCGGCTAATCGAATGCAGCATATGAGTAAAATTTTTGAATTGACGATAAGTGAAGGCGAAATTTTATCTCATGCGTAGCTTCCGATTCTTTTGTAATTTATTCTGACGGAGACTTTACCGGTCGAAAAACTCAGTGTAAATATTTAAAAAGAACTCGTGACACAATACTGTACAAACATTTATCTATTTGTACAAAGGTGTGATTAGAAAATTATATTTATTGCCGTTGCGCGTGGCAAGGGTGATTTCTGTTTACATACGTACGTTGAATCGTGTACGTAAATAACCTGTATAAGTAAACCAAAAGAGTCGTAGCATCAGTAGAAAAAGTAAAGCTTTAATTACACACGATAACTAAGAAACATTCACCAGCAGTCAGCCGCATTCAACAAAAGAACTCGACTCACGCAACGAAAAAAGAAGGCAAAAAAAAAAAGATAGCGATAATTACTTGATGCTGGGCCTTATGCTTCTTTACCTTCTGAAGATTGGGACTTGAATAGGAACGTTTGAGTCCTGAATTGGATGGCGTTGTTGACTCAGATCGCAATGGTTCACGATATGTTTCTGGTGGCTCATCTATTTCCATTCGTTGAACTTGTGGTGTTGTTGGTGATTGCATTTGTTGCTGTGGTGGAGGTCGTGGCATTAATGTTGATGCTGGTGGATCGATTTTTATACGCTCGATCTTTACTTGTGGCTGTTGAATATTCTCTTTATCATCATTCCTAGATGAAAAAAAAATTATTGGACTATGAGCATTAACTGTTTTATATGTTTCGCATCGTTAAATATTCCTTTTGGAAAAATATATATATGGTTTCCTATAACTGCGGTACTTACAAAAAAAATGTAGATTTTTAATTAAATCATCGAATGATTTTAACTTGAGTTGGTAAAACATACAAAACTGCAAATATCGACGCGATGAGGTGTAAAAAGAGCGGCAATTAATTTAAAATTTCAACAATCTTTTTTAAAAGCGTATATCGATCATAATAAAAAGGAATGATTTTCAACTTGCATATATTAAATCATGCTACCTTCAAATAAACCATTTCAAAAAATGATCATTTATCACTAATGAATTGCAATTGATCTTACTTGATATCTGGTTTCACCAGACGAGTTGAGCGAGGTTTATTATTCAAAGCAAGCACTGAGAGATTAGTTGTTAAATCAGGATAAAGTTTGCCATTCTTAGGCGCCGATGGACCTTGATTTTTTAACTTTTCCAGCTCCGTACACTGCAAAAATAAGTGTTTTATTATTATCATACATCTATTTTCGTTCTTATCTTGAAAATCATAAATAACTAACCAATTCCTCTTCCTTCTTTTTACAAATATCATACTGCTCTTTACTCCAATCATCTAAATTACCTCTTGACATCGTCCTCTCGAACTGAGCAATGATCGACCTAGTATCTTGAATATCTCCCTCAAGTTTAACAATCTGTGTATTGTCATTTGAAAGTTTTCTACCCGGTATGGGTTTGTTACTGCGATCGACAGTAGGTTTTGCAGGAGTTAGTTTCTCGATTACCACCTTCGCGGTTCTCATTCTTGGAGCTCCATTGAGTGTTGGGTAGTATCCGTGATTGGTTACTGATGGTGGAGCAGACACTGGATGTGGTGATGGAATCTCGCTGTAGTTGGAAATGTCACTTAACAAAACTGACGGGCTAATGACAGAGCTTACCTGTAAAATAAATTTTAGAAATTGAGAAAACAATTTTGTTTCGAATAAACTTTAAATTACATTTTTATAAAATATAAGTGATATGACAAGCTGTAAATCAGAAGCAGAAGCAGGATTGACATGAAAAATGCATGAAGGTGCTTACAATGCCCTGTTGACTGTGCGTATTGAATGGTAGCATTTGCTGATCAGATGTCCTATTATTGGATAACAATGAAATATTGTACATTTTCAAAGTATTATTTTTCTGAAATGATTGAATGATAGCATGAGTAAAAAAATTAAGCCATGGGAAATTGCAGCATGATTTGATGATTTTACTTACTGTTTGATTTGGTACAGGTATAAACGGTGGGATTGCTTGAACATCCTTATAAGTAGACATGTCATTGTTACTCTGAAAAATAATTTTAATTAAAAAAATAATAAAAATCACAGAGAATTTAAAAAATATTATCACCATAACTTGTGGAGGTGTAGGTGCAAAAGACACAGATTTAATTCCAGGTGTTTTTGTAGACAATGTAGGTGATGATGTGTTAGTATTTTGGTTTGGTGATGGAGGACATTCAAATCCAAAATTATTTTCAATTTCTTTTTTTATGTCATTTTGTTGGTCCTACAAATAAAAATTACATTATTTCAGTAACAAAACTTGAATAATTTAAAAAATTTTGATCAATGGAAGTGATGTACATACCACATTTATTACATCAGGCTTTTTAACTTCTGGTCGCACAACAAGCTTTGGATAAGTCTTCATCCATTTGTCAAATCCACCTTGTAAAATAGCTACTCTATTGTAATTTGTAACTTTATCGTGTTCTTCTAAAAAATTTTTAAATAAAGTAATAGAACTGTATGCTTTGTTTGATAAGCACGTCTCGTCAACTAGAACAATAAGATCCATATCTGCCCTCCGTTCAAATAGTTTGATTGCTGCATCGTTGTCCATTAATGTCATTTGATAATCATTTGCTGTTCTCCTGTGTAAAAATTTAGACCAATAAGTCACTAAATCTGGTTATTACTAATTCAATATTACAAATAATTTACTTTGGCCAGATTTTAGATCCAGGAATATTGATCATATAATCCTGAAAAGCCATTTTGGCAGCTGCAAAGTCATCTGCATGCCTTAGGTCAATGATAAGCACTCCTTTTTCTCTACTTTCAGTATTATGCATGATGTTGTATAATTCTGTACAAGTAATTTCATTTTTGTTCTTAGGTTCTGGCTCTTCAGTAGGAACATCTGGCAATAGTGATTCAATGTCTTCTTCATCATTTGCTTGAGAAATACTTTTCCTTAAATTAGGAGTGTTTTTATTTTGTAATTTTCTTTGTCTTTTTTCAAGATCACTCTCTATTTTGAGTTTTATTTCCGTAAATAATCGTTTAACATCCATTTGCTAAATAAAAAAAATACTTGAAAACTATGTTTATATTTGCTAGGAAATTGTAAATATAATATATATGTTTAACAGAATTACCCTCTTTGAAGAATAATACTTCTGCGCCAAGTCTTTATCTATCCTTTGCCTCTTCAACCAGTCAACACACAAGTTCCATCTTCTGCAGAATAAATAGGCATCATCCCACTTGTTTTTATTCTTTGATGTCAAAATCATATCATAAACTTTATCAAGTCGGTTGATTATTTCTTGTGGTTTCTTCCCATTTAAGGAAAGTTGTGATTTCTCATCAAGATTTTTGTAGACATTTTCAACGCTCATTTTTATTTTTTACTGTGGTCTCTAAATGTACAAATGAAAATTAATTAAACAGAGGTAATTATTGAGTTATACAGTACAATGCTTTGCTCCCTTACAATAAAATGTAGTAATTAAAGTACTAGAAACAAAAAATTAATTGGTACAACCTAACCTGTCAAAACATACGCTAACAAAAGTAAAATTACTCACAACCAATATTTTACAAAAAAACTTTTAAAAAAACGACCGAAAATTCCCCAACCCCATAATATGACTCAGTCAATTAAATACAGAAATATATAACGTGAATATAAAAGTAAACAAGTGTTTCCGTTAAAAGTGTATATTCACATTGTGTGAAAATAGAATCTTAAAAAATTTACAGCAAGCACAATATCAAAGGAAGTAATACCATTAGAACACCAAGTAATCCTGTTTGTTGAATCGTCAAATATGACGTCCTCGCCAAGAAAACAGCAAGCTACCTATATATCAAGGTTAATGCACGTTTACGGAATAAAACGCGTCTGGCGTTTTATATATCCTATACGTTTGACAGTACTTTTTTACAATGCCAAAGCGCCCCTCAGTTAAAATTCTTCGGAGTTGATACTGAACGGTTAGTCTTGTGCATATGCTTCTTCTTTACAGATGCTAATTAAAGTCAGGTGGTTTAATGGATTATAGCTTTTTTTATTTTTGTTCACAATAAAGAACTTTTTTGTAAATGCGTTTTTCATCAACTATCACGCACTAACTGTACATCGAGCTTTTGGCTCGTAATGTATAGTATCTCGAAGAAAAAGATTCCAAAAATAATGTAACTATATTTTTCGAGGAAAAATAAAAAAGTTAGTACCCGTTTACCACAAAAACATCAAATCAATCGTAATCTCCCACTCCACCTTTCGCTTCCTCTCAAATCCAGTCTGCAATGAAATAGATATATATCCTACAAGCTAAAATTGTATATATCGCGGATGCGGTAAAGTTAGGTTATGTCACGACAATCGTAATAGAGGCTTGGCATTGGCCATTGGGTGGGCATATCCCGTATATCCATCTTTCGGCGGGTCCATAGTCCATCGTAAAAACACGTGTTTACACGTCGAACGATCATTCGTTCGTTCATAGTTCATTGCAGTACTCGAAGAAAATAACGTTATCAAGCAACAAGCACATTTATTTATTATCTCTCGCCAGAGTCTCATTGTTTCATACTTACATTTAACGTTCAGTTTGAATCACTGTCAATGGAAAATCGACGTTCTTAAGAAATTTTACCAATTACATACGAAGTTCTATTACGCGCGTCTTTTGTTGATATACGAGTTGCTTTGCTAACATTCGTGGAAGGAAATTTCGACTGATAAATTTCTTTCAAAGTGTTTCATTATTAAAGTAATGATCTTGCATATTCAATTACTTAAGGATCAGTTCATTTGTAACTTAATAATTATTGCTTTATTGTGTTTAGCTGTGCTAAATATTTAGTTTGGAGTTGGATTTATAATATTAGCAATGGTTGTTTTTACTTGCAACAATTGTGGAGACTCGCTTCAAAAGCCCAAAGTTGCTAAGCACTATCAGTTTCAGTGCAGAACTGCACCATTCCTCACCTGTGTGGACTGTTTTAAAGATTTTAGGTAAAAGTTTTTTTAGCATAATTGAATTCTCTAAATCTAATCTTAAAAATTAAATGGTTTATTTATTTTTTAACAGGGGAAATGAATATGTAGCTCATACTAAATGCATCACGGAAAATGAACGCTATGGGGGCAAAAACTATATACCAAAGCCAAGTCAAAATAAAGGAGAGAGAAAACAACAGGCTTGGATTAATGTTGTACAAAATGTTTTAGCTAATTCCACAACACTAACTGTTCCTGAGAGGAATCTACTCAGTTCTATTGCAAAGCATGAGAATATTCCTAGAAAAAAGGCAAAATTTTTGAATTTTATCAATAACATATCTGGCAACAGAGTTAACATGACTATAGTAAGTAGCGTTTGGGATAAAATGGAAAGTGCATTCAAAGAAGCTAGTGCTCAGATTGATAATGAAGAAAATAACAGTGAAAAGAGTAAGTTGAAAAATAATGTGTGAAATAATGATTATGAAAATTGATTGTTGATATTGATTTTATAAAATGCAGACAAAGAAGAAAATCAAAATAACTCTAATATTTGCAAAGAGGATGGTACTGTAGTAAATAAGTTAAATGAGATTGAATCGCAAAACCAAAAGAGTAAAACATCCAAGAAGAGAAAACACGAAAACTACGAAAATGATGATAATGAGCATGCTAATAAAAAGAAAAATGAGACTGAGAAGAATAATGTAACAATAGAGGATGTTACTGAAAATGGAGATAGTAAATTCAGTTGGAAGACTACTATTCTAGAAATTGTCACTAGCAAAGGAGAAATTACATTGAGAAAACTAAAAAAAAAAGTTATTACGCAGTATCTGGCACATTTTCCAGATAGTACATCTGAAAAAGCAATGTCCAAGTTTGAGAAAAAGCTTGGAAAAGTGTCAGACATTTTAATTGACGAAAATAAAGTCAAATTAGTCACTGCCTCTTAATTGTTGCATTAAATAGATAATGAGCTTGCACATGAATTTTGTAAAATATTATTAATTTTGTAAGATTTAAAATTAAGCTACGAAACAATTATCAATTACATTTGATATGAAATTTTTACAAACCAATAAATTTGTTTATCATAAACATCAGATTAACTATGATTTATTTCACATTGTTACGTTAAGAAAGTCAAAAAAATCGATATCACTCTAAGTATCTATTTCAAATGCACCCGCGTGCAGTAAAAAATCCAACATGGTTCCTTTTACTCGCGTGCGCATGGCGCTTATTATTGTTTTTGGGGGTGGGTGGAAGTTGTCATAAAATAAAATTTAATTCCAGTATCACGTGGTTAAGTCGCAGGTAAGAAAGCGTCGCCACTGCCTCCGCCACTGTACACCTTTACTTTCTCGTAGACTTTTGCACCTTCCCTTTTTTTTTTACTTCTGGCTGCAGCAAAACGGCCCCGACCGGATTATGTGTCATCAGAGTAGCGCGCGACGCGCCACACCTGTTCCTACTCAGCTTATACAAAGGACCGAGCTGCGACTAGCAAATAGAAATATGTGAGTGGCCGTTTTTTTATTCAATGTTTCATTGATTTTTACGTACAAGTGCTTTTATTGAAAATTGATGTTTGGTTTTGAGTGACATATGTTTGCAAGTGCGTGCTTGCGAATTGTGATTGCCGCTATAAAGGATATTACGTAACGAGATTGTGTAAATTAATAGAGACTGATGTTTATTTGCATTTTCTTAAATGGTAAGGTCTCAAGATCAAATGCTACTAATTCTTAATCTCAATTGAATGAGAATGTCAAATGAAATGCTTGAAATGCTGGGTAAAACATTTTAATTAAAATTATTTGACTGATGATGCAGCTTTTTGTAGTTGCTCTAATTAACATTCATTGCCAGAGAAAGTAATATTATCTACTTGCTAATCAGATTGTAATATGCTGCTGTCAAATAGATTTTTATTCTGAAGTGTAGTCTCAAATCTATAGTTCTCATGTTTCATTTTTTATTGTTTGCAAAGATTACATTCTTTATTTATCGCTCACTTATTAGAAATTAAAATATTATTGCGAAATTGACAAAGTGTCATGAATGTTCTATTAATGTTATTTTATCTAAAGGAAGTGCAGCATATTCTTCATTGTTTAAAATACTCTTCACCATTTTAGATGAATTGCATTTTGAATGCTTCCAACGCAAATGCTATTTGAACCAAAGAGCCAACTTCGATCTTTCATAAGATGACTGTAGAGCTTATGCAAAGGAAGAGCAAAAGAAAAAGAAAAAGATTTTGTAAACTGTCACTTGTACTACCAAAATGTTACAAGCTGTCAGGTTGCTGACAGAGATGGTAAGGACCTCAGATGACAGGTCTCGGGAAGATGGCTCGGATCCACAAGCTTCTACTTCCACTGCTGAAGGTAAATCAATTTATTCAACTGATAAACAACAGAATGTAGTTGAGAATGAAATATAACATAGATATGCAGAATCTGTACCTAGGTGATTATGCGTATTTAAATAATTTATTTAGTTCATGTTTGTATACGTTTGATAAGTAATGTTTTGATAAATCATCTATTGATATCTGAAAGTACTCAGAATAAAAAAAATAGATTTAAATAGATTATGATTACAAGATTATTTTTATATCTTATCCAAAGGTTCAATGTATCAGAAAACTTATATCAATGAAACTGATTGTAAATCGGTATAGATTTCCACTTGCAGTACACAAGTTTTAATAGAATAAATAACAATTACTTTTTTCCATACTCAATACTTTCAATGAAATTTTTCCTCAATTGTAGCACCAGTGGTATTCCGCGAGATTCACAAGAACGGATGGTTACGTCGCACAGACGCTGGTAAACCAGACGGTGCACGTTACTGGGTAGCTTTTTGCGTTCATGACGACGCGGATCCACGTCTGGAAGGCTTTCCAGATCAAAAACAAGCGACCAGTCACAATCCAGTCTGGTCGCAATCGTTGCGCACGACATTGCATTTGTCACCAACATTGTGCGCTACGTCGAAAAACGATTACGAATTTTGCGTTAATTTCAACGACGATCAGATACTCAGATTGGCTGCACCTACGTATCAAACGATGCTCGACTGGGTACAAGTGGTTACGAGAAAGTTGACGGATATGAGGATTGTCAGACCCAAAGAGAATTTATACTCGAGAGGGCCTGAAAGAATTGCTACGAGAGATCCTACAAGTCCATTACCACCTCCACCTCTTAGTCTAGTAAATATTAAATATTTGTTTAATTTTTAATTCGTTCACCAATGGAATTTACATTATTTTCAAATTTTTTAGGGATCACGTTTACCACAGTCATCATCACCCTCAACGTTGAGTACACCAAATGTATTCACATTCGACGACATACCAGCTGAGGAGCGCAGGCCGCCCTCCAGACAGCCTTCCCATCGGTCTACAAGTCATCCACCAGCTAGTCCAAGATTTCCCAGCGCTTCAACTAGTAATGGTGATACTGGTAATTCGAGTTACGAGAGTGTCTTTCTCGCGCAAAGCGGCGAAAGCGCTAGGAATAATAATTCAAATGCTGGCAGGTGAGAAAATCTATCAAAACTAACAGAATATTTACCATGTAATTATCATGATTTAAATCGAATGCTCGTTGTAGGACCGTATCAGATCTAGAATTTTTCTTTTATTAAACGTTATAATACGGATCTCGAAATTCAAAATCAAACCTCATTAATTTATTTTCAATTAGATCGTTAATATTGAAATTACATTTCTAAAAAATCTAATTAAAATTTCCAACCAATCGCGAAGTTCAAGCGACGAAGGCGAACAATACGCAGCACTAATCGAGTATCGTACATCATCGGACAACGCACCAGAAAATGCAAGTTCGACTACGAATGTTAATGCGAATTTGACATCAACCGTGTCACCACCTCCTACGGTAGCAACTAGTCAGAGCCGTCGGCCAGCAGGCCAGCAGTTGACTCTACGAGAACAGCAGGTATTACAATTACGCAAGGAGATGAGCCATCCTGCCGGGGTTAGACTTAAACTTGGCAGAAGAGATTGCAAAGATGGTATTGCATTCGTTGACTGTTTCGGTGCGGTTTGGTAAGTCAACAAAGAATTTTCATAAATTTTTTTCCACTGATTGTTTGATAAAAACGATGAATATTTATTTGATTATTTAATTTGTAGGATTGCAGGGTGGAAGCACAAGGAGCATCCATTGTTATATAATGTGCTGCATATCGGTGATTTAGTATTAAGTGTAGGAGGAGTCCAACTTACTGGAGCTAGTTCAGTCAAAGAGATACTGAAGAATTATACATTCCCTCGAGTAAGTAGTACTTTACATTGAGAGTACAACCCCCCCCCCTCTCTCTCTCTCTCTATCTATCTATCTCTCTCTATCTCTCTCTATCTCTAACCTGAAAAAAAGGAAAAAAGGATTACTTCTATCTCAGCGTTTATTGATTAGGAATTAAAAAAAATAAATTTTCATCAGCAATGTGTCGTTGTTTACGAGATTTTATATTCGATATACCTATTCATTATTCCAATCTAGCCTTATGTACTTTAACAAAATGTACAGAGATTTCTTTGATAAATCGTCATTAAAAATGTATCATTTTGAAGAATAAAAATTTTTAATGATTTTTCTTTTTACTGTAATTTTGGCAGATAGAAATGATAGTCAGACGACTGCCGCACGGCCGCGTCACAACGTTGAACCGTCGCATGGAATCAGAAGATTTCGGTTTAGAGGTAAACTCGGCGAACGAGGTGACCTCGGTATCACCGTCCGCCCAAGCGCTTGGACTTTCAAGTATCGCTAATCCAGCAGATCCATCTGCGGACGTCGGTACTACCGTCACATGGACACTAACCGAAGTGAACAATCGACCGTTAAGTCTTTACGAAAGTAGTGCACGAGAACGCATGAATGCACTCGGTAGAGATGTGTCGGTGGTATTGCAACCTTCGGATCTTGTCAATGCGATGAGAAAAAAATTACGCACCGTCCGGGGCTACAAGAGCTTCGTTTTGCAGTGATTATGACGATTTTGCGTGTACGTGTGTATGGCAGGAATGACTGATTTATCAACGTGAGATTGGGGTAAGTACCCGCATCTTCGAAACTGCGATTAAGAATTCGAAATATGCGTTCTACCAACGCGCAACATTTCAAAGTAAGATATTGTTTGTGAAATTAAAGAGACATGGCTTCTTATGTAAGCCGAGGGAGTAAATCACAAGCTGTGTAATAAAGATTTATAGCTAATTTCAAGGTCCGGAAATGCTATTCATTTATTTTTATTTTTAATGATGTTTGCGAAAATCATTTTTTTGTAGCTAAATTTTGTACGAAAAATAGTTTATTGTGCAACACTCTTGTTTCGAAATCGTTAAGAAAAGTAAAAAATAGTATAGAGTATCAATGACCGTGTAATACGAATTGATATGTACTAAATTTTTAAAAGTAACATTCACGGAAATCCATGACGACATCGAAGTTTGCAAGTCTTGCTTCAACAATCCTTGAACGATTTATTAATCATCAATCTTCAAAGCATAGCAGTAATTACCATGGCGGTTATGCAATAATTACTTATTAATGATGTATTTAGATGAGTACCTTTCAGTTTGTGTTATCACTTCGAAAATTTTTCGCTGAATGCCATGAATAAATGTCGATTGTCGTGATTTTAATTCGACAAGTCAGAATAATCTATTGGCACATTTTCTTTCTGTTCTAGGTGTGTTTCCTTAATTAGACAATTACTTATCCTGTACTGTGCATCGACACCAAAAATTATATTCCTTCATCAAAGTCAAGTCAGACAGTGAGAAGAATTTTATAAGTGAGAGCTCCTACATGTGATAAATATTAATGTAATATAACTTTAATGAATGAAAACGGAAAAAAATGTCATAAAAAGACGATAAATGTTTAATGAAAAGACTGCAGTGATAGATGTGCTACAATCGCAGTTTTATTTCATAATTTATGTACACTTAACAACTAACGCACTTAAGTATTATAATGTAAAATACCAACAATACCGGTTCCGTAAAACTGTGACGTTTCTAGTACGTTTGCTTACCGAATAATATGATTATTCTGTCTCCTTTGGATAAATTATGCCGTCAACATTTTTGTAAAATTAAATTAGCAAATTTATACGTGAATTAAATAACAGTATATTTGAATGTTTTATCGACTGTTGTATTGAGAACTTTTTGTAACAACTTCATTTATATCAATATATCATATAAATTTCAACGTGTACAAATACAAAAACGTGTGTTTCAAACTACAACATGTATTCATACAATATTCTTTTCCATTGATGTAAGCGTAAAATAATTTTGATGAAATTTACTTTAAGGTACAATTAAAAGTATTTATCATCTACACACTTGTTACAAAATCAGTAGCAGATTGTAAATAACCTAATTTACGAAATGAATACGTAAAATGAGTGGATAATAAGATTTATATATCGCTCATGTAAAGGAAGGACCACTGATTGATTATAGAGTTTCGTAAGAGTACGTTTTGAGAGAAATAAAAAAAAAACTTAAAAGTTATGATCAAAATCTAGGCTCTACCTCCATCATCAGTACTAATCGTTCTTATCAAAACAACATTCTATCGTTGTACTGTTAGAATGTTATAGCTCGAATATGGTTACTTAAAAATAAGCAACGAGAAGTTGCCGAGCAACTAGCGTATTTTCTATGACAACATTGATGCACTACCAATCCAACGAATTCTTACACGACTCATAAGTCGGACTATTCTCCGAGTAAAACTGCTTGTACCACCTCCGATATTTCTTGATATTCGTGTCCTCGTTGACGAGCATGGGATTCTCCATGAATTTCTTGTGATTCCACACCCTGACGTCCCTCTTGAACATCAAGCTCTCGCCGATCAGTATGATTTTGGAACAGGGCGCAGCGAAAACCGGCGCGAACACCAAATGCGTGACCTTCTGCAGAAGCGGCTCCACGGGCGTTACGCTCTGAATTATGCAGATCGGGCCGAAGGCGGTGCGTAGGTGCAGTTCCACGTAAGCAGGCCCGATTTGCAAAGCCACCACGTCCATTTCCAGCAGCGAGAACTTGTCGAACAGTATGACACTGTGGCGTAGGCAGCTCGTAGCCACGTGCTGCTCGCTCGCCTCCTTGTCGGCGTGGAGCAGCGTCGTGGTTGGCGAGGACCACGACGCGTTGGTCCACGAGTGGCGCATGACCTTCGCCATGAATCCAACGTTGAGCATGGACGCGCCGTGCACCGCCTCGAGGTGCGCCCAGTCGGCGCCGTTCTCGGGTATCTCCTGCAAGCCGGGTTCCGCTCGTTATCCGATTGCCCGCAGCTCGCGACGCGACGCTCGCGCGCGCGTACCTGAATGTGACAGTTGATGTAGAATTCGTTGCGGCCTTGATATCTCCACGTGCCGTTCGAGATGCCTTCGATTGGCTTTGGGTACCAGTCGGGCGCCGCGGACTCGGCGTGATGCCAGACGAAAATTAGCCCGTTCGATTCGCTGCTCTCCCAGACTTTCGTTCTTACGGCGCTCGGCACTGAAATCGCACGCGATCGCACGATCACTTTGGGAGCCAAGGGCCAGCGGCCTCGGCCTTACCGTTTTTCGAATAAGGTATGCTGGTGCATTTCCCGGTTTCCCCGCAAAAGCGCCAGCTGTGAAAAGGGCACTCCAGCTCTTCACCTTTGACTTCACCGCCTTCGGCCATGTTGGCACCCAAGTGCGGACAGTACGCATTGATTATTCTCACTATGCCGCTCTCGGTGCTGAAATCCAATAACCCGCCGCGTAACGACGATCGACCGGCCCAAGCTGCATAGTTTCGCTTCGGATTTCCGGACCGCTCGGGTGCATTCGTATCGAAATTCGGAATTGGCGGGAGACCGTTCGGGGACGACGAAATTTATTGCAGCGCCGGCCCTTGCAATCTGCGATCTGCCACGGCTTAATGGCGAGCGTTATTTATTAATGTTGTTGCGACGGCTCGGGCGCGCGATAAAAATAGACGAGCGCTCAAGTCGAGCTGGTGTCTGATTTCGGGCGTTCGGATTCCTTCATCTCGAAATTCGAAATTTTAGAGTCCAGCGGTGCGCGCGCGCGTAACGAAAAATAAAGGAGCTGAAGTCAGTCGGTATCGAATTTCGGGGCACGTTCGGATTCCCTCGCCTCGAAGCCGGCCTGCGTTTAGCGCCCCCCCCCCCCTCCCCCCCGCCCCACGTTCCCAGCGCGGTGTCCGGTCGATCGATCTCTCGGCGCAGCTTTCGGGAGCTTCCGAGCGGGAGCCCCTCGGAATCAATCGAGCGGCGTCGTCTCGGTGGTCCCCGCGGACTTCCTTCCGCGGCTCGGTAGCCGCACTCTCGATTTCGCCGCACACGAACGCCGAACGCGTCGCGCCAGCGCTTGTTTACCGCGGTGCAGCCACTTTAGAAAGTACTTTCGCCCCGCGATTCCTAGAAGCGTGATTCAGCGTGTACCACTTACGTGTTTGCTCGTACGCGCGCACGTCTCTCTCTCTCTCTCTCTCTCTCTCCCGGTCTCCGAGGCGCGCTCGCGAGAACCCTTGGCTGACGCACGCGCCGAGCGGTTGCGCAATCGCAAACCGCGCGGCACACGGTGCAACGATGCTCGACGGGAAACCGTTGGGAAGGACCACCGCGAGCCGGAACCTACCGAAACACCGCGAAGTTCTGCCCGAGGGCCGAGACGTGCTCGACCTGGCCCTTCCTCAGCGACGAGCTCTCGAGCAGGGCGAACCAGCCGTTCGGATACACCGGCGGCAGCTGCCCGATCTTCCGGCTTTGGCCTCTCCTTGACGTCGCTCTGCTGGGTCCGGTTGCGAGCTTCTGCAAAATGACGATTACGGCCGAATCTACAGTTGCGCGTCTCTGTCCTCGGACCTGCCTGGCGTAATGGAAGCCAGCGCCCCGCGCCCCTCGTTCGAGCGGACAAGCGGGGACCAGAAGCTACAGCAGGCGTTCCGTTCGCAGGAGTCAAGCTCCGCGCGAGCATCGATCTCGCCCGACGCATTTCCGTGTGCTCGATCGGCGTGGGCGACGAGGGAGCGACGCCGAGCTTGTCTTTGACGACCGACAGCTCTGATTGCCGGCAATCCGTTAACGAAGCAAGCTCGCCGTCGCTCTCTCGTGACCTACGCGGATCGAATAGGAATCGAGAACCCGATCGATCCTATCGCGAAAGAAAAAACATTACCGCTCGAACGACCAAGCAAGAGCGTCTCGCTCGGTAGTGAAGCCTAGATCCTGAAAACTGTACGAGAACTGCGCGTAACCGACAAAGCAGATCAGCTGCAATCTCGCATGGTTTTCGAGCTAGCGTATCCGGATTTTTCCGACCGCGAAATGGGCGTGGTGAATGGAGCCACGTGCGAATAGCCGAACCCGCCGTCGGCGATAGTCCATTGAGAGTGGGTGGAGTGCAATCGATCGCGCGGAAGCTTCGGAGGATGAGTGCGTCGCTCGTGGTCTTGCAAAGTCGCCTCGCGACGCGTCACGGCGCGGCAATTGTTTCGCGGCTTTCGCCCGGCTGCCGCGCACTTTGGCGCACGGTTTCATTGTGCGCGCAAATTATCGGGCACCGCGACGTAGCGTTAAGAACTGATACACGCTGATTCACGGCGTATCGCTGCGTGCACAATTGTTTGCGTGCGCAATTAAGCCACGAGCAATTGTCTGCACGCCCACGCTTTGGACGCGTCTGTCGCGCTTATTTTTCAGATATCCTCGTAAAACTGCAGCAACGCCCGGAAGTCCTTGCGACATTTAGGTGTGATTATTTTGTTTTTTTTTTTTTTTTTTTCCCCCTTGCAGTTTTGCGTTCTCTCGGCTCCGCACGCCCTACGCGCACGTCGATCGACAGCTGCCACGATTCGGTAACGCGAAGAATGTCCCCTTTGCGCGATCGCCAAGAGTCTTTTCCTTCGGGATGCAAGGCGAGGCGTCGCGGAATTAGGCCCGCGGGAACGAATCGGGCGAGGGGCAAAACGGAGCTAGCCCGGTTCCCTTCGCCGGCGAGGCGAAACGAAGGAGTGTAAGAAAGGAAGAAAGAACGAACGAGAGAAGGAGAAAGATAAGTCGCGAAGTCAAACGAAAAAAGTGAGAAGGTATTTGCGTCTCACCTGCACCCAATTCATCTTCCAAAAGAAGCCAACGAAGACGAGAATGCCGAAGGCGGCGGCGGCGGCGGCGGTGGCGGCGACGGCGAAGCCCACGAGCATCATCCTCACGAGATCCGCCGACGGACTGTCCGCGTGTCGCGCCATTGGGGCGAGCGCGAAAACGGAAAGTGTGCTATATAGAGCGCGCGCGCGGGTACACGTGCACCGAGAGAGGCGGCACACGTGTAACTCTCTCGGTACGCGCGCACCCGCGCGCGAGAGATGGACGCAACGAGAGAAAAGGAGAGAGAGAAAAAAAAAGAGAAAAGAATAAAAAAAAACGAAACGCGCGGGGATGCGGAGGGGGGGGGGGGAGGAGGAGGAGGCGAGTGCAAGCTCTGCCGGCTCGGTGCGCGTGCACCGAGGCCGAACGAGGGAAGTTAAGTGCGTTCGTTAACTCTCGCAGATACCATTAAATACGCGACATCTATTGAATGACACGCTAGATATAGTGCCTGCCGCGGGGCGGACGGTCGCCCCAACTATACACACGGCCAATTCCACAAAGCCAAGCTGCTCCCGTTCGCCGCCTCTGCCCAATGTTAACGTCCACCGGTCAGCGAGCGTCTCCTTTTCTCTCTCTCTCTCTCTCTCTCTCTCTCTCTCTCTCTCTCTCTCTCTCTTGCCGTTTCCCGTGGAATCTTTTGGGAAATCGGGTGGAGAACGCGCGCGACCTCGGGAGGAAATCGAGGCGGCGCGCGGTCGCCTTTAAATGCTCGATTCGACGGGACTGCGGCTTCGCACGAAACATCCGCGGTGCGTTCGACCGTCGCGCTGCAATTGCCGTGGCTGTCGTTGTCTCTCAATTTTCAGGATGAAAGTTACAATATAACAGCTAAATTGGTTTTTAGATTATTCAATAGCAACGATCGGCCTGTCACAGCTACGGTAAATGTGTCCGAGCATGTATCCGGATTATTGACAGCTGGCAATTGTCTCTACCATTTTTAATAAAGTATTCTCTTAAAATGTTGAAAGAAGCGCAACGATAAACAAACGAGCTATAAGCTAATGTTTTGATACGAGCATTAGAATCATTTTTGCGTTAATTTCAAGCAGATGATAAGGAGAAAAAATTGATTGACAAGTGCGAAATTTTTTGGATGCTGCGTTCTTAAGAAAAATTTTCTTAGATATCGAACATTCGTCTCGATTCAAGAAGTCATTTATTTTTTATCTTGCTTCATTTGCAACTGTGCAACGGAATTGAAAGATTTCGACAGAGGAAATTATAATTAAAAAGGTTACTTTTTATCTCAAACGCAATCCAGAAACAGAAGCCATGATCGACATCCACGGCTTGTTAAAATTAGCGGGAAAAAACGATGAATATTTACACTGACGATCGAAAAATCCTGCGTAAGCGTTCCTTCCTGCGCCACCATGCAACGTACTAAAAACATACTTGCCAGAGGGAGAGAATGAAAAAAATCGTCGGCGGGGAAAAATGGAGGGGATAAGAAGGACGGAACTCGCAAATACCTCCCATACGTAGTTCGAAGAGAGAGAGAGAGAGAGAGAGAGAGAGAGAGAGTTTGCGGGGTGGGGGATGTCCCGAAGACCAATGGACGAAGGAGGGGTGGAAAAGTCAAAATAGCGCGAAACGAGGACACGCGCTAAGGGCTTCTTTTTCACGCGCGATCCGAGAGTCGAACGGGCGAAGTCCGGTGAGCTCGCTGCCGTGGCATTCCGACGTTACGCGCGTCAAGAGCACGAAAAGAAAAAGAAAACAAACGAAATAAATAAGCTCGCGCGGGCCGAATTTAGCCGAATCTGAATTGCAAACGCATCTAGCTTGGTACGAGAATAGCGACGAGAGAGAGAGAGAGAGATAGGGAGAAAAAAGAAGTTGCACGATTGCCCCGCAGCGTCCCGTTCGGATGCCGATCGACTCCCGAAGCAGGATATTCGTACGTCATATCTGGCTCGCTCTTGCGTCCCTCGTGCTCTCCCGGTCGGTATATCACGCACGTTAGTTTCGATGACGCGGGCAGCGCGGCTCGAATCGCCAAGCCTGCGGAATTTCTGAGGAGGCTCGCAAAATCCGCTCGTCATTCGGGAACGAGGAAAAACGCGCGCGCGCGCGGGCGCAGAGTCGCGGCATCGATCGCGCCTCGTTAGCGTATGCGAGGGCGACTCGCCTGGTCTGCCGTGATCAATGAAATTCAGTACGAACCGCCGAGCAATGGGGGATAAGATGTCCGGCGAGAGAGAGAGAGTCGGAGAGACGCGACTCCGTTACGCGTGAAAATTCATCGCCGCGTTCGGCTGTGGTGGCTGCTCGGCGCTCGACTGGAAATCCGCCGCGGATGGATTTGCCTTTTTATATCCTCGACCGTGTGCACGCGAGCACCGACACGGCGGCGGCGGCGGCGGCGGCGGCGGCGGCGGCGGCCACTCAGGCGAATCCCCTATGCATTTTATGCCGGCATTATGCATGCCTCGGACACAGATACATACCTGCGGCGTTTAATCGTCTTCTTCTTGTTCTTGCCCTCTCCGCTCCCTTTTTCCTCGCGCGCGCGCGCGCGTGTCGGCCGCCTCGCGTCGCTCGCCGCGCGGACCCGCGATCGCGCATCTTCCACCTCGGCCGCGGAATCGCCCTTACGTAACCGCGTCGATTTTCTCGTTTTCATTCGTTTCGGCGGCGCCGTGTCGGAATCCGATCGGTCGTTCGGCCGCCGACGCGATTCGTCGCACCACCCACCCGCGCACTTTCGTTTTTATCTCTAAGCCAGTTTGCTCTCGACGTCTCTCCCTCCCCCGCCTTTTTCTCTCGTTTTTTTTTTCTCCCCCTACCGAGACCGTCGCTCCGCGCTTGGCCATTTACATCCGTCCGGTTTTCCTCTTCTGCATGGGAAAACTCGTTTATTTCCTGTCTGCCTGCGCTCAATAAGGCAAGATAACGATGATCGATCGAGAGAGGAAAACGAGGAACGCGACTAATTATTATACCGGATCGCGGCGGATCGGAAGGTGGCTCGAAAATTTCGACTGCCCGCCGAGGCTAACGTCGCGCGGTCGTGTCCGCGCGTAACGAGAGCTTCTCGCTCTCGGCACCATTGTGGAGCCCCCGCGTTTATCTTATCGTAGTGGCCGACAATTGCGCGAGAAGATTTGACACCTCTCTTCAGGAAATACTCGAAATTCCTGGAGAGCGAGCTCGAGAGCCGTCGCGGCTCGGAACGAGAGCCGAGTGAATCGAGTGATGTGTTGCATCGGATGACGAAATCGATGCTTTTCACATAATGAGATGTCTTCAGTAAGTGGGTCAGCGATTGGGTATACTTTCAAAGTTTTCGGGGGGTTTTTTTTTCCGTCGACGGAGCGACAGCTTCTTCGCTTCTGCCACTCTTCGTGTGATAGATTTTTTTCTTCTTCTTCAGTTTTTCACATGTCAAAAATCTGACCTTATCGAAGTAGAAAACCTCCTTGTGGTTTATCGTGTTTCAACTGCTTCACCTTTTGATAATTTACATACCGTGTCTGTGACACTCTGGAAAAATTTCAACTGGCGTGACGGTCTACATTGTCACCAATCTTAATTTGGCATAATAAAAGCGACGATATCTTATTTTAAGATAAATTTTAGCTCCGAGTCAGTTATTTATTAATAGTAATCGTAAGAATAATGAGTTTTATTAAAATTCTTACGGTAAGAATTTTTAGCATTAAAAAAAATGAACTTCAATATTAAGAAAGTTACTAGAAATTTAGCAATGCATCGTTCTTATCAACGTTGCTTCCCCCATTGGAGAATTAATTTTTTAATTTCATATATACTGTACTGTAACGTAATGTTTTCTTTTCGATATTTGACATCTCCATATACAAAATAATGAAGTCGAATGGATTCTTGAAAATATTTTTGGCGAATGAAGAAAATTTTTCCCAAGGTGAGAATTTCGTGTGCCTGTTACCAACGGGAACTTTCTACTTTTACGAAAACTTTTTTGACAGTGCAACTAACTTCAGAGCTTGAGCTACTGTGTTGTATCAGCATTGCTCAAAAGTTTCCTAAGCAATAATTGCGATAAGACCGTTGAGATCCTCGGTCATCTTACATAAGTCCAATTGAAAATGAGTCCAAATTGTATAAGTTTATATAACGGTGTGTCTCCACCATTTCTTTTTTTCTTCTTTTTTTTTTTTTTTGATCATCTGTAATCCGGTAAATATTTATGCCGTTCGCGAATCTGCCAGTACAAGCAGTCTAATCGTAGATGTGCGGTAATGAACGATTTTCCATGGAGGTTACGTAAATCAGAATTGCAAATGTTTGTCAATACTTACGGCGAACGACGTGTAACAATACGACCGGTGACGACTTGGCCACGCAAATCTGCAAATAAATCTCCGCCGAAAATCCGAGGCCGAAAGGCAAGACGAAGTAGAAGACGCTCCGACTATCTGCTCCTGCCGGCTAATGCTAAAGCTCGAGCGATTATGTATGTGGCTGCCTTATCTGGCTGGGTGTAGAACTGGGATCTCGTAATTCATTAAAACACTCGTGAATAATATATAATCGGCTCGAACGCCTCTGCGAGCGGAGTCACATCCTCGCGCCGTCGTCGCGCACATAATCTATTGCGAACCGATTCTCAAAGCCGAAAAGGAAAAGGACAAGAGGATGAACGGCCGCGTCGTCCGCGAGATCCGAGCCGTAGATTGCGCGCGCGAAGGCCAATAAAGGCGACGCGAAGACCGCGGGATCGGTTATGCATTGGCGCGCAGAGTGCGTTTTGTTTCCGCTCGCGGCGGACTCCTCGCCCATAGGCCCTCGGATGCGCGCCTCTTCCGCTCCCGAAATTCCGCGCGCCGCCCATCGAGGAAAGCCGACGGCCGATCCACTCGACCGCACCCCTTGCGAAAGAATGCTAATTCGCGCTGGAGCTCGTTAAAACGCGGCTCTGCTCGTGGCCTTCCATTCGATTTTTCGGAACATATAATCCTACACGGAGGCGCGTTTTTTTTCCATTTCTTTTTTTTTTTTTTTTGTAACTTTCCGCGGCGCGCGCGCGCCTCCGACAAGGTGAAGGTTACGATGTTACCGAGATTATAATTGGATATACTCGAGATGATTATACTTAGATACTCTTCATTAATTCCGCCGGGTCACA